GTTCAAAGTAGTGGTTTGCAAGTTGAGTTAAAAGTTATTCTTTTTAAGTTTGCTTGAGGACAAGCAAAATCTAAGTATGGGGGAGTTGATAATGTTAATATTAGCATTATATTTGTGGTGGTTTATGTGTTGTTTTGAATATGATCTATGCTAATATTAGTGTTTTGGTTCTTAATTTGATCATAGGCAGGATTTGGAACAAAAAGAAGAAAAGTGTTGATTTTGAAGAGATTTTGAAGAGATTTTGAAGGTTTTATTGAATCAAGTTTCAAGTTGGAGAAGAAGTGGTTGATTTCCGCGTGGCAACACAAAATCCATGCTAAAATCAATGAAGGAAGCAGGAAATTCTAGAAACGACGTTGTATTCCCACGTGGGCACGCTGAAATGGGGACTAAAGTGCAAAATTCAATTTGTAATTTTGGCAAACTTTAGGGGCCAATTTGCAAATTCTGAAAAATTTAATTGGTTGCTGCGATTTCTGAACGGGCTGTACATGGGGATGCCCTAAATTTGCATATAGATAGTCTTTCTTTTATTATTAAAAAAGGGAGGAGAAGAGGCACAACACAAGGAACGATGGTCAGAGCTCAGGACAAGGATTTCTCTCCGTTTTCGTCAGTTTTAGCTCTGTAATGTCAAACATCAATTCTTGTGTTGTTGATTTCACCATGATTAGCAACTAATCCTCTTTTCTAGTTGAAGGATTTTATTGAAGTCTTGATGTTATTCAATTGTGAGATCTAACTGTTTGCTTTTCACCAACGAATTTTGAGTATTTATTTATTCTCTTTGATGTGTATTGATGATTATTTGGCATTATTTGAATAGCTAGTAGCATTCAATTCTCCTAGATAATCTAATTTATTGAACAACAAGGTTTGTTTGTTCCTTATAAAAGACAATGCAAATAATTACTTGGTAAGTAGTTTACTTGTGTTGTGAGAATAAATAATTAATTTTTAATGAAACAAGGTTTGTTTGTTAGAAATTGAATTGGGTGTTTGCTTGTCAAAAACTAAATCCTAGGAGGTTCCAGGTAGTGTTTTTTTGCTATAGAGTGATTAATGAAGGTTTCTTAGTCACTGGTAGTTAAATAAAAAGACTGAGTTGTTAGGAGGTTCCAACAACGATAACTAATATATTCATCATTTGTTGAGTTAATCTTTGCATCAATGATCAGTTGGATACATCAAGGTGGAAATTATTCCTTTGACTAGAGTTTCTCTTATTATTGATTTTCCAGAGCTATCTTTAATTGTTCTCCAGCCATTTTTTTTGTCATCCATTAGTTGTAATCCAAAAATTCGTCCATTTGGTTACTTTACTTTTGATTAGAAATATTTTCACTTCCTTGTTCCCTGAGGAGATGACTCTACTCATTGTTATACTACTAAAATTTGTTAGGAGTAGAATCTTTTATTTTTGTTGGTTTGACAACCCACCAAAAAAACAAATGAAAAATTCTATTCTCAGCTGCCCTGTTTTGCTTAATGTTCCACCGTAGAAATCTGGCTTTCAATTCAGCTTGAATCCTCTTCAGTATATCTGATGGTCCTTGTTCCAAACTCCCAAAGTGCCTCCTATTCTTCTCTTCCCAAATATGATACATACTAGCATTCAAAACTATCAGGAAGACCTGCCTTTTACACTTAGTTCTTTTCCAAACTGTCAAAACCTGTTGTTTCCATCTATCTCCCTGAGTTGACACTCTCCTATGACCTAACCATCTTCTGATCACCTTTAATCAGTTCAACTGCAAATGGACCTTGAAAGAATAAGTGGTCAAAGGACTCCACCTTTGACCTGTATAAGAGACAAGAAGGGTCCTGGATATCAACATTCATCTTGGCCAGCTTGTCTTTGGTAAGAAGCATTTTCTTCCAAACCAGCCATGAAATAAAGCAATGCTTGGGAATTGTCATTCTGTCCCAAACACACTCGAATTCTGGTTTCTTTTCACCTTCACTAATCAGCCAACTATAACCAGAACTCATGGTGTATTTGCCTTGTTTCCCAGCCTTCCATTGTGCTCCTTCAAAACCATTCTTCACTTGATCCCTTAGCTTCAACAAATGCTTCTATTGCCAACTAGCATCAGGTTTAAACTGAGCTTCCCAGATAGTGGTCTGCTTAATATAAACACCATGAATCCATTTGACCCATAGTGCTTCCTTTTGTTGTGCTAGATGCCATAATTGCTTGATGATGGCAGCTTTGTTCCACAATTTGGCATCCCTGATACCAAGTCCTCCTTCAGCCTTCCTTCTACATACAACTTCCCAGTTGACCAAAGGAACAGACCTGCCTGAACTTTTAATACCCCATAGATATCCCGACAAATTCTATTCACCATATCCGTTATAGATTGTGGCAAAAGAAAGATGGAACCCCAATAATTTAGCATAGACATCAAGACAGAGTTAATCAACAACAAACGCCCGGCATAGGACAAATGTCAGGTACTCCAACACTTAACCCTAACCACAATACGTCGTATAATGTCCTGGTATTCCAACTTTGACCATTTCTTAGGAGACAGGGATGCTCCTAAATATTTCATGGGAAAGGAGCCAATACTAAACTGAGTCATTTCACAAAACTTCTCTTGTATTTTCTGATCAACCCCACCAAAGTATATAGAAGATTTATACTCATTTGCAACAAGGCCAGTAGTACTAGAGAAGTCCTTAAAAACCGACATGATTCTCTTAACAGTAGCTACATCTGCTTCGCAAAAAATCATGAGATCATCTGCAAAGCAGGTGTTAGTCAGTTTCATCTCTCGACACTTTGGATGGAACTTAAAGTTTGAGTCAGCTATTCCTTTCAAGCTTCTAGTTAAATATTCCATCACTAGAACAAATAAAAGCAGTGAAACAGGGTCTCCTTGTCTTAGACATCTCCTACCAAGGAAAAATCCAGCAATACTTCCATTTAAAGACAATGAGAAGGTTGTTGAGGTCAAACAAGCCATAATCCAGTTCCAAAACTGCTCCGAAAATCCAAAACCTACTAACATTTCTTTGACAAACCCCCATTCTACAGTATTATAAGCCTTTTGTAGATCTATTTTCATCAATAATCCCCCACGAACCCCTTTTCTCATATAATCTAATCAGCTCGTAGGTGATCAATAAATTATGTAATATAAGGCTATCTTTTACAAATGCATTCTGATTTTTGTCTACTAAAACAGGCAAAACTACCTTCAACCTATTACAGAGAATTTTAGAAATACATTTGTATAAGACATTACATCATGATATAGGACGAAAATGTGAAGCACTCAAAGGAACCTCAGATTTAGGTATTAAAGCAAAGTACAGTTGGTTTGCTTAAGTACCTGGCATGTGGCAAAGAATTCCAAAATTGCATCCGTAACTTCTTCTCCAATTACACTCCAAGCTGCTTTGAGGAAGCCAGCTCCAAATCCATCTGGACCGGGGCTTTTATTTGCATTCATTTCCCATATAGTAGCCTTTACTTCTTGCCTCTTCACTGGATGAATTAAGCCAAGTTGTTGCTCCACACCCAAGGTTGACCCCATCTAGAATATCTCCTTCTTTGCAGGATTCCTGAGTGATTCTTTTCCCAGTAGTTGTTTATAGAACTGAACAAAATGGGTTCCAATCTCCTGCCAATCATGAACAACTTCCCCAGAGTCCTTAGTAATACTCCATATGTGATTACGCATAGTTTTAGCCTTCAACAAGGAATGAAAGTACCTTGTATTCCCATCTCCTTCCAACATCCACTACTCCTTAGCCTTTTGTTGCAAAAACCAATTTGTAGCTTTGCTTGATTCCACATCTTCTTTACTGCTTCTCTTTCATTAGCTTGCAGAATCAGATTAGAAGGATCCCTGCTTAATATTCCCTATTGCCCCCTTAAATAGATTTGATCCTTATTAGCCCTTTCCACCATATCTGTGAACTGATCCCTATTCAGCTGCTTCAGCAAAGGTTTAAGTCTTTTCATCTTTGTGCAGACTTGAAACATCTTGGTCCCTTTAACAGGACTTGTCCAACTGGTGCTTACAATACTCAAAAATTGTGAAGAATAACTCCACATATTAAAGTACCTGAATGGTCTCCTAATTTTCTGTGGAGCTCCAAAGACCTGAACTACCATAGGAGAATGATCAGATAAACCCTCCATTTGCATAGAAACGAGTGCATCAAAATAGTAGTCCATCCACTCCCCATTGGCGAGAACTCGATCCAATTTAGCATAAATTCTGTCACATCCCAACCTCTAATTACACCATGTGAATTGCTTTCCAACTTGTCTCAAATAATTTAATCCACAATCATCAAGACATCCCTGAAATGATTCGACATCTTGAAGAACCACTGGTCTGCCTCCCAACTTTGCCTCCGCTCTTAGAATGTTGTTGAAATCCCCCATGACAATCCAAGGAGCATTGATGTTTTCTGCTAACCTCTTTAGATCCTCCCACAGTACCTCCCTCTCCTCAGCTTCATTTGATGCGTATACAAAAGTCAAGAAGAAAGCACTGTTATCCTTCTTAAAAATGCCCTTACAATAGATGAATTGTGCAGACTGTTGCAACTACATTAGGTCTAAACTATCATCCCAAATCACCATAATTCTCCGTCTATTACTACTGCCATAATTAGTAAACCATCTCCATCCTTTCCAGTCTTTCAATAAATATTCATTCCCCCGAGATTCCACCAACTTTGTTTCCACTAAACTTACCAAATTAAATTTATTCTCCTTGACCACCTTCTTCAACTCTTTTTGTTTAAGGGGAGTGTTCAAACCCCTCACATTCCACGATAAGAGACTACACATGAGAGAGGGGTCCGGGATCAATCAACAAGTTCTCATTGGACCCAACTCTATCATGCATATTAACCTTCTCATCAGAGTATACAACAAATTTTTTGGCTATCTCACTAGGAGACTGCACAACAGTTACATCCTCAGTAACTTTGATGACTAGTTTTTTGTCTCGTTCCCCTACATTTCCTACCCCCTTACTGCCACCAATGATATTCATAGGGTGATCCTGAGACATGGACTCTTTTTGAGTTCCCTCCTTGGGAGGATTCTCAACAGAGACCCCCTTAGTATCTGTGATCCCCACTGAATTACCAGAGTTGCCTTCCTGCATCATTCCTTTGTCAGTCTTTTTCCATTCTATTTGTGGCACCTTAGGCCTCTTTTCAACCTTGTCAGTCTTCTTCTTACACATCTCTGACAAATGACGAAACCTTTACAATGACAACATTTAGCCGACAACCATTAATAAGTAACTTTTTGTATTCTAACCATACCTTTTTCATCCTCATACACTATCTTGTCAGGCACTATTTCACTTATTTCCATTTCCACTAACAATCTAGTAGATTGAACACTTGACTTGTTAACAGTAAAATCATCAATAGTTATTGGAGTGCCAATGGTACTTGCAAGGATCCCTAGAGAAGTTAAATTTCAATAATTGAGCTCTAAACCATGTAGCTGAATCCAAACAGGTACCTTATCTACTTCTCTATAATGAACACCCATTTCAACATTCCAAGGCTTAACTATCAAAGGTCTAGAACCAAACTGATGGATATTTATCTTCAATACCTCTTCTCTAGCATGCAAAGTATGAAATCGAATAACAAATAATCCACTTGGCAATAAAATTACCTTATTGATGCCTAATCAACCCCATCTCCATCTGACATAGTCATCCATAACCCAGAATGGGGGATTGGATCCCAAAACAAAACAGACCACTGATGAATTCCAGTATTCTTCTTCAGTCTTCACATCCTCTTCTCGAATCTTCCCAATCTTCAATCCATCACTGGTTCTTGGTTGAAAAAATTGAAGCTTGCCAGAGGGAGTTTGCTGTTTATCCAGGTCAAAATTATCCCAAGCCTTTTTTTCAGCCACACACTCAGCCTTTCAGACCACAAAAGTTGGCGTTTAGCATCTTTCCCCCAAACCCTAGACTCCTCCGCTCTCTTTCTGCTGCCAATACCGCTTCCTACAATCGATTTTTCCGAGACTGTTCTTTCACCCCACTAGTTCCCACCATTAGAGTGGCCAATTGATCTTTTGTCAAAAGAATTGACCGATTCTTGGATGAAGCCCCTTCGATTTCAGCTACTAGTTTGTCTAATTCCTCAGCCTATCTCGCCACCACTTTCTGCCCAGCGCTCTTCGCCAGCGATCTTTCTTCAGTGCTTAATCCAACAATCTTAGTAGCTTCATTTACTGCTTGAATCTTAGATAATGCAGCTTTTCCTTTCTTCTTTTGACCCACCATGGTAGGCGCACATTAGTGACGTGCGTTGAGAGAGAGGAAAGAAAAAAACCTTTTTTTATTATGGATATGCTTTTGTCCTAGTGTTTTTTTTTTTCGACAAATGCTTTTGTTTTAGTGAATTGATTGCCTTGGTTGTTATTTTAACTGTATGATTATTGATTAATCAAAATTGAAACCAATTTCATTACGAGACATCAAATGATTCTTCTTGGCTGATTTTTTAGCACAAGTTTCACTCAAATATATAGATTAATCCATCAACATCATTATCTTCTCTAGTTTTTTCATCAACCCCTCTTTCTCTTTAGTCTTTATTAGTATTGATTTATGCATGTGTTTCTTGGATGATACTCAATCGTTTAGAGATATCATATTGTGGAATTGGCCTCACATTTTCTGACAAACCAAACATTCACATTTTTCATCCTTTTCATTTTTAATTTTTGCAGAAATATTGTATGTATATTGAGGCCCTCATTCGTAGCTATCTTTTTTGTTTAACTTTTTTTAGAAAACCCAAAAATAAAAGTAACACAAACAATTTTACATTTTGTTATAAGTGTAATCAATACAAAGAGGTATATACTTGCCTATATATATTACATCTTTTACAAAGTAATAACAAAAACAAACATAAATATGAAATAATCACCACATCACGAACTTGGAATCGTTTTCACTCTCCTCTCCCCCCTCCTCTCAGTGCATGTTAGCACTCTGCTAACTTGCGCCACACCATGGCAAGAGGGAGAAAACCAGGGCTGAAAACGGTGCAAAATGCTGTGAAAGAAACAGAAACGAAAGGGGAAAGTAGCTCTAAGCAAGAAGAAAGGGTGATTGCAATGGAAATCGTGGAGAACGTGGGAACGGATGGGGAATCAGCAAACCCTAAATTGAAAGAGCGTATTGTAGAATTGGCCAGCGCTGAACAAAATAAGGGCAAGAAGCAACAGAATGGAGTTTCAGAGGAATCGGGGAAGAAGAAATCGACATGGGAAGAGAGTATTGAAGGAGAGAATCGAGCTACTACCTGGGACACATTCAATGTGAACAAAATGCGTAGATCTGGAGCCAAACTCGAATTCATTCAACCAAAATAGGTGGATCGTGTAGCAATTGAATGAATCAAACCACAAAAAGTGCAAGAAGAGGCTGAGTATTGGAAAGGGTGGTAGCTCTGTCCTTGGGGCGAATCCTCCGTTCAGAGTGATGGAAAACTTCTACAAACATCTATGGGGAAACATGGGTGTGGATAAGGTAATCCTTTTGCCTTCTGGGTTGTTTTTAATTCGGTTTCAGTCTATGAATGCTAGGGAGGAAGCTTTAAAATTAAATATACATCATTTTGGTAATAGCAACCCTGTGATTGTAAAGCCATGGTCTGTGGAATTGCGAATTAATGTTAAGAAGATTAGTTAAGGTCCTGTTTGAATCCAACTCCCGCGATTAGAACTAAAGTATTGGAATTTTGATTCATTGAGCAGCATAGCTAGCACTCTTGGTACCCCGATAAGGTCAGTTATGCTAGAATACTAGTCAAAGTGGAAATTCAAAAGGAAGTGCCTAAAAAGATTTATTTTGAAGTTGAGAATGGTGTAGTACAGGACTAGGAGGTTTATTTTGAATGGAAACCTGTTTGCTGTGACGTATGTGATGGTTATGGTCATGAATCAAATGTATGTAGAAAACAGAAACAACCAATCCAAAAGGCCCCTGCCACAATGATAGTGAAACCGAAATCAATAGAGAAGGAATGGAAGGAAGTTGGGAGGAAGAGTAATGTAGTTAATAGCAGTGGAACTACGAAAGAGGAAATCACAAGAGCTTCAGTACCTGTCCAGAGACTCGGAGGTAAAAGCCCTATTAGATTCTCAGCTTTAAGTAGTTTATCAGAGGATGAGGATTTGAATGAAGGTGTGAATGGAACATTGAATGCCAGCCATGATAATTTGAAGCAAATAGTGCATATTGATCTGGAGCCAGTTCTTGGAATCAATGTGTAACATCCTGATATGGAATATTAGGGGCCTTAATGGCCCTTTAAAGCAGAAAGAACTCGCAAGAGTCTTAGCTTGTCTAGTGGAGACGAGATAGCAGGAAGAGAAAGGGAATGAGATTGTGAAACATTCACCAAAACAGTGGCAGATTATAATGAGTTTGGGTCACAAAAGGAAGGCTAGGATTCTCCTTTGCTGGGATGAAACAATGATGGTACGATTTTTGTGCAAATTAGAAAAATATTTGCAGTGTAAGATAAAGGATAAGGAGAACGGGTATGAATTTTTTTTCACGGGGATGTATGCAGAGAATGAGGCACAACAAAGATTGAAGCTATGGGAGGACTTGCAGGAAATCAGTAAAAGTATCAATGCAGCCTGGATTGTAAGTGGAGACTTCAATAATGTAATCAGAGCTGAGGAAAAACTAGGTGGTCAACCTTTAAAACTGCCTGAAATAGAAGCTTTTCAGTATTGTGTAGAGGAGTGTGAGCTTCAAGACCTGAAGCAGCAAGGATCTACATACACCGGGAGCAACAAGCAAGTTGGGGAGGATAGGATCTATGCTAAATTTGATAGAGTCCTATTGAATGGGCACTGGGTTGTTCAATTCAACCAATCTATGGTAAACTATCTTAATGAGGGCATTTCTGATCACAAGACTTTGTTAGTGAAAATGGAGATAGAGATGGAGAAAACATATAAGCCTTTCAAGTATTTCAATATGTGGAAGTTGGATCCAAATTTTAAAGAGATAGTGAGGAAAAGCTGGCAAGATGAAATTGGAGGGACTAAGATGTTCCAAGTGGTGAAAAAGCTGAAAAGGTTGAAGAAGGAACTTAAGATACTAAACAAGAAGAGCTTCTCAGATATTCAGGAAAAAGCAGTGAAAGCAGGGGAAAAGCTCAAACAATTGCAGAAGCAACTGGTGAATAATCCTACTAATGTGAACGTACAGAAAAATAAAAGAGAAGCATACAGGCAGTATATCACTGACAGCATTGCTTATGAAAGCTTCATGAGACAAAAGGTAAAAGAGGACTGGTTAAAACATGGGGATTTGAATAGCAAGTTTTTCCGTTCAAAGTTGAAGCAGAAACAAATGAGGAACCAAGTCTGGGCTGTGATGGATGATATTGGGTAGATAGTAACTGAAAGGGAGGAGATAGAAAGTCATTTCATCAACTTTCAAAATCAGCTAGGCAGAAGCAATATGAGAAGTGGAGTCAGGAAGAAAGTATTTCTCAGAGGGCCACAACTAAGTGTGGAAAGGCAGTTGCAACTCATCATCCCTGTTACCAAGGAGGAGATCAGGAAAGCACTATGGAGCATCAATAGAAACAAAAGTATGGGCCCGGATGGCTATGGAAGCGACTTCTTTAAGGCAACCAGGCATATTACGGGAGATGACGTTACGGAGGCAATCCAGGAATTCTTCAATACTGGTATGTTGCTCAAACAACTTAATGCAACTGTCCTTGCTTTAATTCCCAAAATTTAAAAATGCTTGTAATGCCAGTCAGTTTAGGCCAATTGCATGTTGCAATGTACTTTACAAAATTATTTCTAAAGTTCTATGTAATAGGCTTAAAAAGGTGTTACAAGTATTAGTAGATGAGAACCAGGGGGCATTCGTAGAGGGAAGGTTGATTCTCCGTAATATATTAATCACCCAGGAACTTATTCGGTTATATAAAAGAAAAGGGGTGAGTAGTAGATGTATGATGAAAGTCGATTTGCAAAAAGTATACGACTCTGTAGAATGGGGATTTGTGGAAGACTGTTTATATGAGTATGGGCTTCCAAAACAATTTAGGAGCTGGATTATGGCATGTATAACATCTCCAGCTTTTACGTTGAGTTTGAATGGGGTGAATGTTGGTTTTTTTAGTGGTAAAAGGGAGTTGAGGCAAGGGGACCCTGTCTCTCCTCTGATTTTTGTACTATTGATGGAGTATCTAACGAGACTCCTTAAGGAAGCTGCTGAACTGCCTAAGTTTAAATTCCATCCACTCTGCTCTAACTTGAGGTTGTCGAATATCTATTTTGTGGATGATCTTATGATCTTCTATAAGGCAGATATCCCAACTGTAAAGTGTATAACTGCTGCTTTTGCTGAGTTTTCGCAAACTTCGGGAATGAAAGCCAATTTGACCAATTCTGAGGTGTTTATGGGGGGTGTAGACGAGAGGTGTAGACAGGAAATCTGTAGTAGCACTGGGTTCACAGAGGAGAAGTTTCCTATGAGATACTTGGGTGTGCCATTATCCCCGGGAAAAATGGAACCAAATGGACTGTCAAACAATAGTAGTTCGTATAGTGAGTCGCCTAAAATGCTGGAGTACTCGAAACCTATCCTATGCTTGTAGGCTACAACTGATAAACTCAATCCTATACATGTGTACTGGACAGTACCTTTCATCTTACCCAGTAGTGTAACAGCAGCAGTGAATAGGAAGTGCCGGGAATTTCTATGGGGAACAACAGAAACATGAAGATACAAGGCACTAGTTGGGTGGGACACAATATGTAGAAGGAAAACTGAGAGGGGGGCTAAGAATTTATGATACTAAAACCTTGAATGAAGCAGCAGTTATCAAACAGGTCTTATGGATTTGTAGTAACAAAGAGAGTTTGAGGTCAAAATGGGTTCATGAAATCTACCTAGGAAAGGATGGCATATGGGATATCCAACCTATACCAGGTAGCAGCTGGTCTTGGAAGCAAATCCTCATGACAAGGGAAAAAGCGAGAAATGGATTTGCAGATGGGAAGTGCCTGGGTAGCAGAAATGGAAAATATTTAATATCTTCGGGGTATAGGTGGATACAAGGGATTGGAAGTAGAATGGCTGCATCAAGTATGATCTGGTCCAAGTTTAATGTACCGAAGCATGCATTTGTATCTTGGTTGGTTTGGAAGGAGAAAGTTTGGACTAGAGACAGACTAAGCAACCTGGGAATCCCTGTTCAAGATCCTCTTTGTTGTCTCTGTGGGAATGAAGAAGAAACGATCAACCATCCATTTTTCAGCTGTCAATACTCCAGAGAACTTTTGGAAAAGATTCTAGGGTTTAGGGTTTATAAGTCATGGATGGGAGTAAGAAGGTTAAATCCTCAACAAGGTAAATGGAAGATGGAACTGCAAATGGTGTGGAAAACTACAATGCTGAAGAAGAAGATTTATGCTGCAATTATGGACTGTGTTTACAGTGCATGGGAGGAAAGAAACGGTAGAATATTCAAGGGAGCAAGGAGTGTGGATACTGTCTTTCAGGAGCTTTACAATGATGTTAAAATCAAAGTACAACACTGCCGGAAAAAGAGGCTCTCAGCAAAGGAGGAAATTATAATAGCAACATATTTTAGAATGTAAAGGTTAGCAAGAATGTTAGAAAATTTTGTTTCTTTTGATTTGGTGACATGTAAAAAGCCAATATTATACAAGGCACAATATTATATACTACTCCCTCTATCTAAAAAAAGTCCCCATTAGATTTTGAAATTTGTACTATTTTTAATACAAATCCTAAAATTCAATATAAATAAGTTTTTGGACATAGTTAGTATAAAACTACTTACTTTTAAACTGTACCTAATGGATACGACCGGGAAGAATAATTTGACTACATGTGTTTAAACATCTACTGTACTTATGCAGGTTAAGTAGAACAAGATAATTAGAGGATTCTAGCTTACAAATTACGAGGAATCAGAGAACAAGAATCATGACATTGATGGATTTGGCTGAAACATAATTCTTCGTCATTTGCGGTCTCGTTCGTTGATGCATAATTGAATATGATCCTGTTATTGAAGGCATTTGTTCAATAAAATGAAGTTCATGATTGAAACAAAGAACTAAATGTTTGATTTATAGATACCCTTTGTTGAAATTTGATTCTTATTTTATATACTACATCCGTCCCAAAAAAAAAAAAATAGTCTAGTTTTCAAATTTGTACTAAAAATATTACAAAACTCAAAACTCAATGTGCACTATTTTTGTGAGACGGAGGGAGTATATTTTTTTCAATAGAAGAAATTTCCTCCTACATAGAATCAAGTCACCGGGAAATGGTTAGTAGCTTTTGGATTATGATTGCCAACTAACTTAGGTTCATAGGTTGTTGATCGAAGAAAGAAATGAGACCTAACCCATGAGGTAAGAATTCTCGGGTTGAGAAAATGGAAAATGTGTATTTCAATTTTTTTTCCCCAATCAACCTCAAGGAAGAAAAAATGAAATGTTCAAGAGAAATTTAACAAATGATATTTCTATAAGGCGAACTGAACTTGCGACTAAGTATATATACGGTTTTCAAATTACCATAACTTGATAATGAAACATTTCTACACAAAAGAAAATGCATGCCTAGGATGGGGTGGGAGGCTTGGGTGGGGTGGTTAGGGTATTAGAATGGGGGATGGTTATTACAGGAGGTCGAGGGTTCGATTTTCTTTGGGGGCCATCTAATTTGTTGAGAGTCATGTGGCAAGCATTAGAATCCCACATCGGAGGCATGAGAACATGTGAATCAGTTAATAAATAAGGTGATCTCAAAACCCATCAGCTTCAGCTTTTGAGTTCAGATGGGTCTTATCTTATTTATTGGGCTCCATGTCGAGTTTTCTCCTCTAGATAAATCCCCAACAGTGGCATCAGAGCTACGGTTCGGTAGTTGAGGTGTTACACCAATAGAATGGAAGAGTCATCGGGTGCTGGTACGATGATTAAATTAACTTCATCCAATTATCATATGTGGAAACCTAGAATGGAGGACTTGTTGTATTCCAAAGATTTGTTTGATCCTGTTCTAGGGGATGAAGGTAGGCCAAATAATATGGCTGATAAAAAGTGGGTTGATATGCACAGGAAGACTGTTGGTAATATTTGACAGTGTATTGATCAAAGTGTGTTTCATCACTTTTCGGGAGAAACAAAAGCTGATGAACTTTGGGAGAAAATCCAAGAATATGTACTGGAAGAAGTCCAGCATCAATAAGTCATCTGCGCTGAAACAGATTACCAGGTTGAGGTACAAAGATGGTGCTAGCATGAATGAGCACTTGAGTTCGTTTCAGGGTTTGTTGAACCAATCTGTGAATGTAGGTTTAAAGTTGGATGATGAGGTGCAAGCTTTGTTATTGTTTAGTTCTCTTCAAGACAGTTGGGACACTTTGGTAGTAGCAATCAGTAATTCAACCCAAGATGGTGTCTTGACCTTGGATCAGGTCAAAGAGGCTTTGATGAATGAAGAAGTCAGAAGAAAAGAGCAGAGTATTGAGTCTGAGTCGCAGGCTCTGGTGACAGAAAAGTCAGACATAAGAGGGAGAAGTAAAAGCAGAGGGCCACGTGATCGGAATAACAAGTCTAGGAGACGGTCTAAATCCAAGAAAGATGTCGTGTGCTACCATTGTCAAGGGAATGGGCACTTTAAGAGGGAGTGCAGGGTTCTCAAGAGAGAACTAGCAGCGAGAAAAGGTAAAGGCAAGAAGGATGAATCAAGTGATGATGACACTACTACAGTAGTAATTACCAGTGATGTATTTGTGTACTCTGATGATGATACAATTAATGTTGCGAGTCACGACAGTGATTGGTTCGGTGATACAGGTGCGTCTTATCATGTGACGCCTCACAGACACTTCTTTACCTCTTACACACCTGGAAATTTTGGTCGTGTAAGAATGCGCAACCAAGCCTCATGCGATATTGTCGGCACGGGAGAGGTATCATTGGTAACGAATATAGGTTGTACTCTTGTCTTGAAGAATATCAGACATGTTCCAGATATGTGTCTGAACCTTATTTCTGTTGGTAAACTTGATGATGAGGGTTATCATAGCTTTGAAGGTGGTGGCCGTTGGACAATTACCAGAGGGAATATTGTTATTGCTAGAGAAAAGAAGTTGAACTCTTTGTATGTGTTGAATGCAAAGTTGAAGAATAGAGAGGTGAATGCGACTCACAATACCTCCATTGATCTCTGGCACAGAAGGCTTGGACACATGAGTGTTAAGGGGTTGCAGATTCTTGGTAAGAAGCAATTTCTCCCAGAGGTGAAAGGTACTGCTCTAGAACCTTGTGTGACTGTATCTATGGTAAACAACACAGGGTTTCCTTTCAAAATTCTCCTCCATCTAGAAAGTCCAGTCCTCTAGAGTTAGTTCATCCAGATGTATGTTACATGAAAGATAGGTCGTTGGGTAGAGCATTGTACTTTGTTACTTTCATTGATGACTATGCTCGAAAGGTTTGGTGTTTTTCTTTGAAATCTAAAGATCAGGTATTAAATGTGTTCAAAGACTTTCACCTTAGAGTTGAACGAGAGACTGGCAAGAAGTTGAAGTGTGTTCGAGCAGATAATGGTGGTGAGTACAGGGGTCCGTTTGAGAAGTATTGCCGAGACCATGGCATTAAACTTCAGAATTGTGTTCCGAAGACTCCGCAGCAGAATGGCGTGGCAGAAAGAATGAACAGAACTATTACCGAAAAGGTTAGCTGTATGCTCTTGAATGCAAAGCTGCATAAATCTTTTTGGAGTGAAGCCATGCAGACAGCAGTTGATTTGATCAACTTATCTCCCTCAGTTCCATTGGATGACGATCTACCACAACGAGTTTGGACAGGGAAAGATGTCTCATTTAGGCATTTGCGAATTTTTGGTTGTCGTGCCTTTGTTCATATTCCCAAAGATGAAAAGTCGAAGCTTGATGACAAATCCAAACAGTGTATATTCTTGGGGTATGAAAATGATGATTTTGGGTACAGACTTTGGGATCCTATAAAGAAGAAAGTTTTCAGAAATAGAGATGTGATCTTCTTTGAAGACCAGACCATTGATGATATGGGAAAAGGCGAGATGCCAGAATCTTCACCTGAGATTCCTGTTGATCTAGATCCAGTTCCTCCACAATCAGATGATTCTCCTGAAGGGGGAGCTGAGACAGAGTAGGATGGTGAGTTTGATGATGATCCTGTTACTGAAACAGAGACACCACCGGTTTCATCACCTCCTGTTCTGCCTAGGAAGTCCACCAGAGACAAGAGACCTTCCACCAAGTACAGTGCTCATGAGTATTTGTTGCTTACTGATGGGGGAGAGCCAAAGTCGTATGAAGAGGTTCTTAGTCATGAGCAGAAAGATCAGTGGTATCAGAGCCCAGGTTGAGCCAAGTGGATAGGTGATTTAGCCCAAATTATCTCGGTTGATCTGATTGAATTCAAGTAGTCAAAGGCCCACTACGAGCGGAAACGTAGGGATGGGCGGCCCAGTTACTCAGGTGGAGTACAAATTTGGGCTTGTCAAGATAATTTGGAAGCCCGATGTGGAGATTGCCCATGACGGTGGAGAATATTGAGAGTCATGTGGCAAGGATTATGAATCCCACATCGGAGGCATGAACACATGTGAATCAGTTAATAAGTAAGGTGGTCTCAGAACCAATCAGCTTGAGGTTTTGAGTTCAAATGGGTCTTATCTTACTTATTGGGCTCTATGTCGGGTTTTCTCCTCCAGATAAATCCCCAACATAATTTAAATAAAAATAAATAAATAAATGCATGCCTTACCTATCTAGCAAAATAAGACAGTACATGTATTCAGAATCTCGATAAAAAAACACAAGATCAATTTTCACTTCAACCCGCTAGTTAATTTTTGTTCAGACCAAATTTTTGTTCTGTTAACCAAAAAAAAAAAATATTGTTATGACATTATGCTACTCTCTCCATCCCAAAACTATTATCCAGTTTGAATTTTTATTAATTGTTCAAATTGTACTAAAATTAAAATCTCAAAATGGACAATAATTTTGAGGCAGAGAGAATATGCCCTACGATATAATGTCCCGTACGTGTTAAGGCATCTTATCCTTAGCAGAAACTCCATGATGCATCAATTTGCCTGATCAGCAGAGCATCGATCCAACCATTTAATGATCAATGCGAATAACTTCTTTTGTTTTTTTTAATTTAAAAGTGCAGGAGCACCATATTCTAAAGTTAATGTACCCAAAATATCAAAAGGCTACATGAACGCTTGATTAAGTTTCTTCTGACAGGAATAACAGAATGAATTTCCACTTTTGTTTTTTTATAAAGCGATTATACTTGCGGGTATAAAACGCTGGCTGGTGGTAGTATAGTAATCCAGGGCTCCAAAAATTGAAGTAAATGGGTACAGGTTCCTCGAAATATGAAGCTTCAGAGCCTCAGTCTGGCGATCAAGGGAAGCATACACCACTACTACAGATGCACGGCGACGAGGCTGCCGGAAAAGTTAGTATCCCTGCTGCCCCGGTGCTGAAGTTTCCTCATAATCATGAACAAATTCTGAAAGAGGCTGATGAAGCAGTTGATAGGACATCAACTGAGAAGCTGTTTGATCAGTTATACCATGGTGTGTTTTTGAACCAGCACAACAAGGCTAGTAATTCTGTACTTCATCCAATGGTTGAAAACTTGAAATTATATTTCTAAATTCCTTTAAATTGCATGAAAGGTGAGATCACGTCTCAACTTGTCTAGTTAATGATGAAATATAGTGATTTCGTTAATAAGACACAATTAGTACATAATTCGTAAAAATAGATTATCTCAGTAGGATCTAAGTACCACTATCATTTCACTACCTATACTCCATACAACTAGTTTACTACACAAGAATTCATATTTGGGCTTACCGGAGACCTGATATCACGCAGAAGTACTGGGTTGATAAGAATATGAAGAACTGTTTCATGTTATACGCAAAAGGTCTCTCTATAACCTGGGCAGAAGACAGTTCCTACTGGCGTTGGCCCCTCATAAATGATGAACCCAGGTATCATTTTGGGACCTCTTACAAGATTTTTAGTTTTCTGGAACAGAGACTGACAGACATACTATTTATCTTTTCCACAGGGATTCTTCTCTTGTTGCTGCGGAGCTGATCAATGTTTGCTGGCTAGAAGTTCATGGAAGGTTCAATACTGTCAATCTTACACCAAGAACTCTCTATGAAGTTGTTTTTGTAGTTATGTTGAAAGATCCGGCTTACGGATGGGAAGTTCCAATCAACTTCAGACTGAGTCTACCAGATGGAAGCAGGCAAGAGCATAAAGAAAACATGATAGACAAGCCAAGGGCAAAATGGATAGAGATCCCAGCAGGAAATTTTCAAACTTTACCAGAAAATATAGGTGAAATGGAAATCTCACTGTACGAGTATGATGGAGGGATCTGGAAGAAAGGACTGCTCATTAAAGGGGTTCTCATCAGACCAAAACACTGAAGTAGTATGCTAAGATTGATGATGTCACATTGTGCCACTGCAAGTAAATGCTGAACTTAAAAGGAGCATGAAAACTGAAATTAATCCAGCAAGAGCTGAGTGTAACAACAGAAATCTGAACCGCGCATATGCATACATCAATAAAATGGTAACTTTCTAGAAAGCCTGAGATGCTATTCATACATAGAAAGAAATATATATATATAGTCCTATGAAATCGGGTTTCCAGGGATGATTGAGAGAATAAGAATAGCATAATCGTGTTTCTTGTAGATTGAAACATGCCACATGTTCTTTTTGGAACAGTTCAACCCGGCAACCAGTTAGGTAGCATGATACCCATGAAAACAGTGGGTCGCTGAAAGCAAAACAGCATTCAGCTGCCGGTCCTGTTAGCATCCAACCTAACAGCAATATGGCCTCCTAACCTACTTCGAATTTAATTGAGTTCCATTTCAACAAAAGTCAGTACAGAAAGCTCTTTAAAATAATTATTGACAGAGATCATTGAAAGAAACTATTTTTGTCCTGTATAATTTCACCACGAAAAGAGGCAGGACGCAGTACACAATAAATCTACAACAACAGAGAGAATCCCATAGCCGAACAAAAGGTTGATTGATCAATGGATTATCACTACAGTCCTTAAGGAAGAACACCTGTGATGTCAAAGGTCTGCGTGGTAATCTTCCGGCTTGAACCACCTTGTGAAGTCAATCCCTTTGTCCTTCAATCTCTCCGTCGCAGGACCAATTTTCTCCAGAAGCTGTGTTGTTAAGCATATTTAGGATACTCTCCAAATAAGCAGTAAGAACATTTAAGTTCAATAATGGTGAATATCCAGCTAAGCTAAAGTAAACTATTTTCAGAAGCTGCATGCATGAATTACATGAAGGGGACCTAATGATAACAGAAGTGGTTGCAATTGCACGATTTTGATACAACAAGAACACAAAATGCCATACAGAATATAATCTACATCCACATGTCCAATTCAAAGTACAACATCTGAAAAGATGCCTGAAATAAAATATGAAGAGGCAAGCTATTCGAGAAAGCAATCAATTGGTACTAGATTGTCTTTGGTTATTTTCCAGTCAAAAGTTTGTATTGGTGCCACCCTTTTGGGAACATTTGCTTTCATTTTCAATTTAATCTCAAGATTGGGAGCAAACTTCAAATTTTCAACGTATCTAGTAAACCATACTGCCAAACGGTGTAATATCATTAGAATAAGATCGCAGCAGTCAACCTCCCTACCCAGATATGGTCAAAGTGAAGTGTGCAGTGTCAAGTACACAAATGTCATCAAGATCATGTTTTTGGTAAATGCAATCACTCGGACTTCAACCTATCAGGCTTTAATCGATACATGTCATTTAAATTACAGAAATCAAAGAAAGGATTATGGCTTGCAAGGGAAATATTCAATCAAATCCACCAATACCAGGAATATTTATATTTAAATACTTGCAAGTAGGTCGATAACCTTCCTTTTCATGCAATACATAATTGGCTACCAAGACTAGTCAAACTTGAATACGAAATGCAAACAGGTAAGATAGACAACCAACCTTTGAATGCAAAACACCATTTGATACCAAGACTGATCTATCAAAAACTGAAAACTTAGCACCATCCATGCAAGAAACTGATCCTCCAGCCTCCTCAACTATCTGCTACAAATAAATCAATCGTTAAACTGTAGATCAAAAGGATATACTAGCGGAGCTCACCATAAAATATTTACACAGAAGTCAAAGGTGAAGACTTATGGCATAACCATGTGACTATCGTGTAAATCTTACTTGAACAAGCAAAGCAGTTCATTTTACAGAATTCGAGCAGAGAAGTTGAAAATTAGTCTTTTGAGAAAACTAAACAACATTTTGGAGAAAGTCATATCCAAATTACATTGTTTCACCTGCTTAGAATATAAAGCATTCTGTTTATCAGACAGAGGGCTCATTACAAACTTTTCTTCACTCTGCTAAAACATCCCATCTCCAGGATAACAAGAAAATGAAGACCTACTACTCAAGCTCATGCTGGTCTAAATCAAGTTTCTAGGTAGACAGATTAACAGACATAAAATTTGGAAATAAAACTACAAATCAAAGCTAATATTTTTGTCCCAATGGTGAATTTATTATAAAGTGGGAATTCCAGATAACTCAATTTTTTTAAATCACTTAGTCCTTGATTAGTGATTACTGTTAAGGTAATTGGAGAACAAGTAAACAAGAAGACAGACACCAAATGTGCCAAGTGGTGCAGAGATAATCTACGACATGAAAAACACACATTTCAGCGAGCTTGGAAACTGCAGAAATAAGCAACAATGACGTCTGCCAGAATGTATCATGAATAACCAGGAATTTGGCATAGTTAACACTCATTAATAGTGAAGTCAAACTGAAAACAAATTACCAATACACCAGCTGCCATATCCCAGGGTTTCAGACGATATTCCCAGTAGGCTTCAACAATACCCAGAGCGACATGGCACATGTCAACAGAAGCAGCTCCGAGCCTTCTAACACCCTGGCTAAGTACGTGAATGAGGAAGATAAAGATGCGTTATTGTAAGATCCATCAGTCCCGAATTAAAATGAAAAGTCATCACCAGAGGAAATTACACTCATTTAGAGACAATAAATAAATAAATAAAAACATATATATTAAAAAAATAAAGAAAACAGTACCCTGCTGATGTCTGTGAATTCCTTAAACAAATCAATGTTGGTAGCCCATGCATCATCATGTTCATAACCAAAACCAGTCACCAGAAGTGATCGTTCCACCTAAAGAATGAAAGACACTCAGAATATATCAAATCCATTAGAAACATATCCGTATCATGACAGCCTTAGCTTTATCAATAAAATTTGCAACAATCCGGCGGTGAAAAGCATGTTGCCAATGTGAAACATTCACATCTGACTAATGGCTTGATAGTGAGCAATATCAGATTGTCAACAGAAGAAAGATAAGTACCCAAAACTGAGAGTAATGTTTAAAAGGTCAATAAGCATTACATTGTGTGTTAAATAACAATTGCAGAAGATTGCCATATCCTTACCCAGAAAGCAGATCAACGTAAAACAAGTTATTTTGCTTAACAATTAGACACCACTAAAGGGAAAATTGAATCTCCTCATCATATCACTAGCATGACTAGAATAACTGACCTTATCTGTTTGACTGACATGAATCTTTTCACCATTGGCAAATGCGCCTTCACCTAGAAGGTCACACGAACATATTAAGCTAATGACTCATACCTATCTTTCAGGCAGGAGAAATCTGTGTAGGATAGAAAGCCAAGAGGCTGTTCCCGTGACTCAAACAAGAGACATCAGGCAATATGGAAACAGCTCTTCTTACCAGAAGCTGCAGAAAATGTGCGAGTATTCCAGCACATGGGGCCACCGACAAATTCTACCTACAAAAAGGGAAAAGAAAACAATTACCTGCTGTGTAATGATAGAATTCAATGGCAAACAAAATTAACTTTCCATCCTTGGGACTTCTAAATTCTTATCAGATCCTTATCTTTAAACATGATGTCTATGTCATCAGTTGGTTATGAAAGCTTGTAAGAAATCTTTAATGACTAAAAGCAACAGTAATTTCAAAAACAGCTAAAAGCACGAGGTGGATTCAAATTCCCAAGAGAACCAAATACACCCAATTTGAATCAGAAGAATGCCAGAGAAATAACATCTTGCTATCATAAGCCAAAGTTACTAAAAAAAATATTTAAAATAAAATTTTTTAAAAAAAGAAAAAGAAATAAAAAATCCTTTCCTACTAAGAATGCCAGTTTGTCAATTCATGATAGGGTTATCGATAACTATAGTATGTAGCTGTCCACTACTTACCACACTCGCAGCTGCGGGTTTCCCTCTGAATAAGACTCCAACAGACACTGCAAAGCTGGGATAACCATGAGCAAAGTTTGTGGTCCCATCTACATTACCAAAGAGAGGAACAGAAGTTAAAAGTCAATTTGAGTAGTAAGTACACACGGAAAATCCATCCACATGTAGTCCATTTCAGAAACCAATGAATAACTCAATAGAGGCTAATTAACCCAGACAAGCAACATCATTTCTGGCGATTGGGGAGAAAGATGGCAATGATAATGATGACCCAGAAAAGGTATCAGTAAATAGTATGTATTGACACCACAGGAATTCGATGATTCCAAATTTTCAAACATAAAAATCCCTAGCAAATAATGAATGTTTAGGTGAATCGGGATTGGAAACTAATCAGTTCAAATGAGAAATGAAGAACTATAGTCCAGATTTTTTGGCAGCTTGAATTGAACTAAAACATGAAAGCAGTTTTCAGTTTAATGGTTCCCTATCTTCCTCAATCAATTCCATAGCCTATCCTTCTTCGAAAAATTCTTTCCCCATGGTCAAAACTTCTGTATCCTCCTTGGATGTTCTAAATGTTAACAAATAACACTGTGTCCTAAGTAACTAAGATTCGCTTTGCCTATTTCCAATGCTAGTAACTTGCAGGCAGAAACTAGCCCATTGAGATATAATCCAACAAAGTTCATCAAATTCTGACTAAATCCAGTTTTATCTTAATAAATTCATCATATTCTTTAACGTGGAGAATTTGGATAATGAAATTAAGCTGACCTTAAGACATTGTTACCAAAGTTTAGAGACTTGGGCAACGCCAAGCCTTCCACAAAACCTGGGAATCTTTCCATAATTCCATTTGATCATCTTAAAACCTTTAACTTTCATCCTTCAACAGTAAGGGCTTGTTTGGCCAACATTTTGTTTTAGTTTTTATTTTAGTTTTTTATTTGGGTTTGAGATGTGATTTAAAATGTGGTTTGAAATAAAATTTAAGAAGTTTTTTGGATAATATTTTAAATAAAATAATAATATTTTTAGACCACCATCGGACCACCTCCACCACCGGCGGCGCCGCCGGACCACCCATTGCCGCCAAGCTGCCACCGGCCGGCAATCGGCCGGCCAAATTCCGGCCAAGTTGCCGGAATTTGGCCGGAAACTGGCCGGCTGGTTGCCGGCCGGCAGATGGTGGCGGCGGAGGTGGTCCGGTGGTGGTGTAAAAAAATGGTATATATATATATAATGTTTGAAATAAATTTTAAAAAGTAAATTAAAAAGTTGTTTGGATAGTTTTGGGTTTTATGTTTGAGATGTGTTTTAAGAGGTAAAATGAGACAAAATGCAAAATGTGGTGTTGGCCAAACAAGACCTAACTTTCAGAAACACAACTTGTTCTATTTTCTTTAACAAGAACTCACGATTGGAGAAAGAAAGAGAACCAGATTAGTTGCTAAATTAGTAGCCAATTTTCCCAAATTAGAGTTGCAATTCTAATAAGATTAAAAGGACCATTAGTCAAGCATCAGAAGGAGGTTGAGATTGTGATTTACAAAAGAAATACACAAGTATCAAGCAAATACTAGACAATAATAACAATAATGATAAAAAATTTCATATCACAAACATAAGACACCCCTAAATGGTAAAAATTAACGATCTCAACAAGATATCCAATCAATTAAAACTGTTTGTCCTTTTTCAATTTTTTTATTTTTAAATCTTTGGTGGGGGAGAGAAGACCAGTTCAATAGTTGAAAAGGTTTACGAGGCAAACCTAATGGATCAATGCACCAAAGATATTCAGAAGAAGAATCCCCAATAAGCCCTCCCTCCTCCCCGAGAATTAAGTGATCTTGAAAATTCTTCCTCACAATATCTAGAATTGCATCTTCACTCATTTTATCTGTGCTGCAGGGGAATTTAGTATGGTATCAATCCAAAATCTCTATAAATTTGAAAAAGAAGACGTTAGAGAAAAAGATTATCAGATTCAAAACTTAATGAAGGTTCACCGAGTTCATAAAGAAAGCTCATCTGTATTTCAAACTTAAGGTCCTAACTGTAAGAACAAACGGCAAAGAAAGAAGAGCAATGCAGCAGTTGTACAGCCAACATACAAAGAACAGAAAATTCCTACCCAAACATCAGAAATTCATAATGTTGGTAGCATCCTCTTGTTTACAGCTATTGTTCATTGATATTGTACATATACATGCTATATCAATGCAAGGCCATAAAGATAAACAGAATTTGTTAAAATTGTTTTTAGGAGGGAGCTATTTTCAGAAGTTGGCTGAAGTGCTAACTCACACACCTAGTTCTATGATATATCATAAGAGATAAAATGGTTCAAAATGCACATAGAAATCCAAACATAAACATGAAGGGTTCCATGAGCCACTTTTGCATTTTAAGGTCATGTCAAAAGAGGAGAGAATAATGTCTTACATGAACAATCCTCACGAAAAGCATATTATGTTATGCATCAGTTGGCCTAAAACTCAATCAGTGAGTGCCAAGGACCAAAACTCATGAATGTATCAAGAACCAAGCAAACAGGGAAATTTGATGAGAAATTTGGAAAAATCTGCTTTGTCTTTTGCAGAAAATATGATTTAGTAACTTGCTTACAAATTCTGGAAAGCGCCTATTTTAAAAGTTACTTTGATTGTCAAAAGCAATGACAATAAAGTATAATTCGTCCACCAGGTGTTCAAACTAGACGATAAAGGTAGCATATGTTTCTTACTCGGTCACCAGATCTGTGAGTCCCTTGTAGGTAATATTTCGAGGCTTATTCACTGCTTCCATGACAACCTAAACCAATTTATAAAAATATTAGTGATACTAGTAATTCAAGAATGCATAATGAACTAAGATTTAAGAGCTTGGATCGAGTAAGCGAAAAATGGAATGTGCAAGGGATGACACAGAATGGTTATCCAATAAGTGGAAAATGGAATATGAGGACACAGAATGGTCATCCAGTTCAGATATCATTGCAGTTTTAACGCCATGTTAGGAGGATGTATGGATTGTTAATGAGGCATCAACATTGGTAAACTAATCACTCCAGTCAATTGACCATGCAACAGTAGTGGATTCAGGGAAGAGATAGGAAGTCTGCATAGCAAAATCAAACTCTTTCGGCATACAATTAATTCTACTCATTCAGTAGCAATTTACAGAAGCCAAACGTCATACTCTTCTGTAATTAAGTTCTATAAGAATTTACAAAGACAGATAAAATAAAAAAAAATTGAAGTTGCGGCAAGGAGATGATCAAGAATATAGCCAAGAACATTCTACCCAACTGATACATAAATTCCATTATTAATCAAAGGCAAAAAACATTTGATGACCATAATCACAGACTAGAAAGCGAGACCTAACCTGAGCACCAGTCTCAGCAGCAGTTTGAACGACTTGAAGAAGCTGTTTGGAAGAAATTGGGCCAGTTGACTCAGCACCAACTCTGGAGTACTGCTTTCGAGATGGATTATTAACTTCAGACAACACACTTTTAGTGCATAATAATCTCCTAGTTTTCATCGCTTTAGTAGTAGATGAAATCCCGGAAATCCCACCTCCGATACCCCTCAAACAACCAAAATTATTTCCATCAAAACTCCTGCAATTCGGAACTTTAAAGCTGCCATAATGCAGAATCGGACTGGGTTTCTGGCAGAATTTCCAGGGCGTCGTCACGGTTGGTGATAGGAGACACCTCCCCATTTCAAGAAGATTAAGGATTATTGTCCCAAATGAGAGTCAAGATTTTCGCAGGTTCTTGTCAGGATTTCCTCGTATTGCTGCCAAAAACTCCCTCCCGTTCGTCCGTGCCTCACGTGTGAACGGCATAATTTTTTTTTTCTTTTTTTTTTTTTTTTACTTCTTAAAATTTTGGATGCTCATTGGGCCGTGGGCGATATTTTCTTCGGCCCAAATCTGATTTTTTTCAGCCCAGTGGCATTACACGAGCTTCCTTATTGCTCTGTGTCTTCGGTTTCAATACTTTAGGCTTTATTCTATGTTCTTCTGAGCTTCGCCGCCGCTTTGTCACCGCCAACGGCCGCCGCTCCTTATTTCGCCTGAGAAAATCGCCGTTTTCGGTAGGTTTAAGGCCAGTTTCAGCCTCAACCTTGACTCTCGAACTTCAACTTCAGACTGCTTAAAGGTTTTGTACCCTCGAACCTGTATCACAGGCATGTTAAAAGAGTTTTTTTTTTTTTTTTTGAATTTTAAATTCTCCCGATGATAGCTAGTAGGATAATTTCTATTCCATAGTTTCAGCTCTTAATTAACTAATGAAATCGGTATCCTTTAGCAAATTGCTTCTATGAGGTTTCTTCGTAAAAACCTTTACTTGTGTCCTATGAATAATGTTAGTTTTTTCCCTGTGAAAGTAATATCGAGGATTTTGTTTCATGTTTTCTTACGGAGTTGGTTTACCTTTTTGAATAACGATGTTATAATTTTAGCTTTTTTTATTTTTGATATTTTGTTTTGTGAAGTGTGATATGGTAAACAGGACTAACCGTGAAAATTATTGGTATTTCAACTTGTTTTTGTTGAATTCCTCACATGAATTGTGTTATGGGCTGAGAAGAATTTGAGTTTGGAGAAGTAATAGTTGCGCCTGTCGAAATCATAATTCTATATCAGATTATTAGCCTAAAAAAATTATCACTTGTAGCCATCTTTACTTTTGAAGATACCAAATTCGCGTAGTCTTAAGATTCTCTTCTTGCTTATGACGGGATTGGAACTTGCATTCGAAAAGAAGTTGTGAATTTCGATAGAGATGCAATAGAATATAAGTTTACCAGGTACTGAGCAATTGTGGCTAATTGGTTATGTAATGCTCACAGTGTGATGGGAACTAAGGCGGCAAAAAAGAAAGCTATGGTCAAGCAAGTGAAGGAGGGTTCTGCTCAATTAGCTAATCCTTCTATAACCAATGATGAAGCTCCTGATTTCCTGGTACAATCATACTTTATTCTTTTTGAATATGAGTTGACGACTGGATATATATCATTTAGTTAAAACAAATAAATAGAATGAAAATAATAATGGGTTTTGGTGTATGGATTATGTAGCCATTGGAAGGTGGTCCAGGAAAGAAGATTCCTCAGTATGAAATGACTGATACAAAATCTTCAGTGTTATACATTGGGAGAATCCCTCATGGGTTCTATGAGAATGAAATGGAAGGTCGGTTTGGATTCGATCTCGTTGCAACCGTTGTTTTCTTATTTTGAAGAAAGAAATCAATTTGAAACTTTTCCTTATGCTGGTACAATAATTCTAAGAAAATAACTGTTGAACACGCAGGTTTTTTTAAGCAATTTGGTACAATAAAGAGGCTTCGAATCGCTCGCAATAAAAAGGTTAGTTTCCTCTTTTCTTATCTTTTATCTCCTCCCTGGCTTTGTTAATTTCGATCTCTGCAACTAATCTCGAGATCCAAATGCTGGTAGCTGGGATTAGCAATAAAATGGACTGTTTTAGTTACTTGAGTGTAATTATTGCCCTAGTTCTGCCAGCATATGTTTGTTTAGATGGGAAGGTTGTCAAAATTCTCTATAGGAAAGCTTGCATTTCGCAAATAGCTTGTAACTTTTTTGAACGTTTTATTCCCTTAATTACACAGACAGAAGGACCATGGTTATCAGTGAAAATGCTGATCCAGAAGGTGGATAATATATATTATGATTTAGATGGATGCATTAAAAAAAAAAGAAGCATGTGATTGTAGCTTTTGCACTTTGTGTATCTCGGCATCTGGGTTTGAAAATTTTCAAGTGTTGTGTTGTCATGACCTTCAGGAATTTATAATCATGTCAATACTGTCTGATTTGAGTAAGAGCATATTTGTGTTGTCAACAATCACCCTTTTAATCCATGCTTTTGGGCAGCACTAAGTGTGGTCTTTAAATCTAATCCGACGGCACATTGAAATGCATAGGGTTTTTTTTTTCTTTCGTTCTTTCTTTTCTTGTACTGAATGATTATATCCTTTCTGGCTCTGCTTTTGTGCTTGACAGACAGGAAAATCCAAGCACTTTGGGTTCATAGAATTTCAGTCTCCTGAGGTAGGACTTGGAAGTAATTGGTTTATTGGTCAATTAAAGAAATTTGGGTTCACATCGGATTTATGGTTTTTCCCCTTCGAAATTTGACATCAGGTTGCAAAAGTGGTGGCTGATTCGATGGATAACTATCTTTTGTTTGAGCACTTGTTGCAAGTCCGTCTCGTTCCTCCACAACTTGTTACCAAAGACCTGTAAGAGTCTCAAGATACTTGTAAATATGGATTTTGCATCTTGTGATTAAATGTTGTTTCAATCAATCTTCAGTCGGCTTTTCTTTGGGTGCTATCTATCGCAGATATTACTTTAGTCCTTAGTTCCAGGATTGATTTTTATAGTTCTTTTGAAACAGGTGGAAAGGCGTTAACCGCTGGTACAAACCCTTGGATTGGGTCAGAATTGAGAGGAAGCATCATGACAAGGTATTCTCTAGATGAATCTGGAGTTGATAGGCCTATGCTATTAATATTGATTAAGTTGCTAAATAAGTTGGCAATTTTTACCCCCTTCGTCCCGAAGATTGTCGGGTTTAGATTTTCATTTTAGTACAAATTGTACTAACAAGTGAAATTCCAAACAGGATAATCATTGTGGGACAGGGGGAGTATTAACTTTGATTCTGTTTGCTTGAGGTTACTTAGAGATGTAAATATTTCTCTGCAGGAAAGAACACTGGAGGAGCACAGGAAATTGGTTGAAGGCATTAAGAAACGGGACGAAAAAAGGCGGAAGAGAATTGAAGCAGCCGGAATTGATTATGAATGCCCAGAAATTGTAAGAGTGCAGTTTTTTTTTATTTTGGTGGATATCATTGTTTAAAATAAAAATCAATGAACCTTTCCGTACTCTCGTAGAATTGCTGCATGGTTATGTTAGATATATTTAGTAAAGTCATCTTTCATGTGGTAAAAATGATATTATTGCACTAGACTCCTATTCCACACTGGTTCCATTGAGTTACATCCTTCTCGAGGAAATTTATCATTTTGTTATTTTGGTTTGTTTTCACTTTTACCGCAGGTGGGTGTCAACCAGCCTGTTCCAAAGAAGATAAAATTTGCCGAAGAGTAGGGCTATCTGGGATTTGAAATACCCATGGTAACTAAAACACAGCTTTCAGAAAGGATCTCTACTTGTGCGTTGGAAGTCTATTGGCTATGCGTTGGCGAAAGATTTGGAGGCTGCAACTGTCCAGAGAATGAATCTTAGCATTAAAGGGCATTGAGCATCATGGCTAATTATGTTGTAATGTGAATGTGGTTTCTTATTTTGAACTTGAGTTAGCTCGGTTCTTTTGGGTTTGCAGTGCCCAAAGATCCGGACCTTGAGAAGATTTTGTTATGAGTAATCTATGAAAGTTTCTGTAGTTTGGTTAGATTTGTTCACTCTTAAACTTCCTTTTTTTCTCTGCGTTCTTCCTGCAAAGTTGTAACTCCTTAGTAATTGTAATTTTTAGGTCTTTTGGTTGGGTAGTGAGTCTCAAGCGTGATATCTTAAAGTAAAAAAAATAAATAAATGAATAAATAATTTAAAAATAATAACTATAGTGTAAAAATAAGAACAGCTTGTGTGATTAGCGGACAAGGGTTTAACACCACTAAAGCAATGTTTGGCAACGCGTAGGCACTATTGGTCCATTATCAGAATGAATGAATGATTCCTTCTCTCTTGGTTTTTGGTTCCTTTTGTTTTCTTTTTGCGGTGTTGTTTTGGGGGGGTCAAGATCGAAAACCCTTGTGTCCTGGTTGCTCTAAACACAGGAATGTCACGACCAGGTGAGTGCACAATTGTAGTGGCTTTACAATATTCCCTTTGTCATAGTACAAGTGAATTCTAAACTGTAGCCTTTGTACTCCCTTCGTCCCAAAATTATTGTCCAGTTTGAAATTTCTCTTTTAGTACAATTTAAACTAAAAATGAAATTCCAAACTGGACAATAATTTTGGGACGGAGGGAGTATGTGCCAATTGAAACTGTGCTTTTTTTTTTTTACTAATAATCATTTGAATGCTTGAAATTGAAATAGTAATTGGAAACCACTCGGACAAAATTTTTTACTTCTTATTCAGAATTTCACTATCGTCAATTTCATAGTTTTATTCAAAATACAATAAATAGATCTCTGTATCAAGCCAGTATCAATCATACACAAGGGGTGAATACAAAACCAGGTAATGGGTTATCAAACTGTAATGAGATTGGGGCTTTCTCGAAAGTATGAACAATCTTGAAATATAAATGCAGAAATGAATTCTCTCGCCAAAGATGAAAACCAAAAATTTTGAGTGCTTCAAATGAAATCCACCAATTCAAATTCCCGTTCATGATGATGAGTCTAGTAATTCCTTGACAATAACTTTATTAATCTTTAGTCCTCCTTTCCATTTCCCACTCCAAACTTCATACAACCCAAAATACAGCTTTGTGTCCTCTAGGTTTTCCGGGTCAGGTTTGCTGGTAGTCTTTATGTAAAATACCTCTGAACCCTCATTTGAGTTATTATTATTACTGGTGATCAATGGTTCTTTTTTCCATGCAAATTTACCCTTCTTCCCTCTCTTTGCCATGATGTAGACCGGAGCTCCGCCCCATCCGAACGCATCCGGGGTTAACGACACCTCAAACGCCACTTCACAACGCTTCTTCGGATTAATATCCACTGAACCAGTTACTTCCAGCCAACACACTTGTAGAAGCTCTGCGGGTTTGTTGCTGTCACTGCTAGAAGGGACTTCCCAGTACCGCGGATCGTTGCCCCAAACAATGTTGAGAGCTCTTGGCTTCACATTGTATCCCTGTCCAATATGCAAGATTGATCTCTCGTTAGTTCTTCTCATTTTGATCAAACCATTTCATTTGTTCTTACTGCTTAAGAAGAAAATAAACACAGAAGAAGGGGGGAAAAAAAAAAGGTTCACAGATATTTACATTATTGATCTTCTCCACAGCTTTTGGATCTCCTTCGTAGTGAGGATTGCCTGCCATTTTTAAATCCAAGGCAAAAATCTTGACAATTGAGATGCAGAGAGAAAGAGAGATTGATTGAAATGAATTGAGCTTCCTTGCCCTCTTGGCAACCTCACATATAACCATATTTATATTGGCCACACAAACCCAACCCCCCAAAAAAAAAAAAAGAAAAAGAATACATAAAAAAAAAGTACAAACAATTTGATTTGTCTTAGTGCAGAAGAGAATGAAGATATATTCCCAGCCTCACTATCATGCACAAAAAGATACTAAAAAAATGCAAAGGAAAACAGGGAATCAAGCAATCTACTAGGGCCTCTAGAAACTGGAAAAAAGGAATGAAAGTTGGCTTCTTTGCTTGGCTGGTGTTAAAGAGAATGGAGTCAAAAGCAGTTTTGTGTAAATTAATAAATTAATCTCCAGGACGTACGTGCTCTGAAAACACGTAAAGAATATATGCTTTGAATTTGAAATGGCCTGTTAGGAACAAATTTGATAGCGTAGTGATTAAAACGCTCGTCCCAAATCCTTTTAGTTCAGGATTCGACTCGGACACCTTCCGCACAAACAGGTTACTGTATGTCTGTATCCTTTTACGTTCTCCCCCGCCCCCCACCCCATTGTTGAAGCGTCATCCATGACAGGACGATGATAAAGAACAGGTGCATTACAACCAGCCACCAACTTCAAAAGATTCCATTATATCAATCACGTCAAATCGACACCCGTAATTAGAAAAATTTTAAGATTTCCGGCGCCCAATGGTTTTCAACTTTCAAGAAAAGGTACGTTCCAAATTCAAAGTCCAGATTCCACCACCACTTTAGTCCGTACTACTTCCCACTCATCTTCTCTCTTCTTTCTTCCAGAAATCTTTTCCTGTATGTTATGTGCACGAATGAATCAGCTATTTATCATCGCCTCAAATACTGACCACCGAACTTGTAACAAACTCAGGAAAGCATCGTGGAATTTTCATCTGTCTCAAAAATATTGTCATGTTTATAAGATTATTGTGCGATAATTTTGGAACAAAATGAATACAAGAGTGAATTCTGCGTTCTCTGCTATTACTCCACTTAATTGTCGTATAATAATATATCAGTTTGTGGATGACTAATCTTAAATATGTGTATGTTTGATATGAAGAAGAAATTGTACCTTTAAAGAGACCAAATATTAGAAAAAGATGGGAAGCAATTCTAATCGTGGCAGGCAATATAATTGATTTAAGTATCTTATCTCAAGAAAAGAGTATAATAATCTTTATTCGTAAAACTTATTTTGTTAGTACAAAATGAAGAAGAATCTAGGCTCAAGATTTTCACACTCTGCATGATAATGCTATTCAAAAATTAAATACATATTTATACCCATATATTCAATCACAATCCCATGAGGTCACGAGCACATCAAGATTCATTGTTTACTATTGCCTATCATAATCCATATTATTATTACAGCTTAGCTTCAAAGGAAAAATAACCTCAACTTATGCGATGATCATAAGTAAAGATGGCGAAAGAGGGAATCAGTGGGTGATGAGCACACTGATCAGCTAGTGGTAATATATTCACCTAGCTGTCACTTGTACAGGCAGCAGCACTAATTTGTAGCGACATTGTATTTTCACGTGGGCATATTAGAGAAGTTGACTGAATTAATACACCCAATTCAAGCAATTATATTCCTCTTACAAGCTTTAGAACTAATACACTAAACTCACATGGGCATATTAGAGAAGTTGACTGAATTCATTACACCAAATTCTAGCTATTATATTCCTCCTACAAGCTTTTGAAGCTCCAAAAGAAAAAAGGAGGACGAATAAAGACTGCACCAATGCAATGCCTTGCATCATCTCCGACACTCAAACCACATTCTATTCTAGAACAATATCATTCTTTAGGTTTCTTGACACACCATTAAAATGAAAAGAACAAATATACACAAAAGGAGGCTTCCTAAACTTTGCATCAGATCTTGTCAAAATGACAGTAAAAAAAAGTGACTTTGCATCCAGGTAGTGCAATAATGAACTTTCATAGATCCTGGCTATTTTCACTACTACATTGTAGTGGGCATACCACTACCACTGGAAGCCAATATGTAAAGCTAGTGAGATAAGACAAACAGAATATCCTGAGAAAAGGAGTGAGTTGTACCTTCGGGGGACATCCAATAATATTAGAACGATGCAGAGAAGATTACATAGCCACCGCAGAAAGATGACATGCATAAAGCCCGAGCAGTGAAATGGCAACAAAGTTAACGTTTATGTGTCCATCTCAAATGTCATGAGTCAAATATCATCATTTGCTAAGGTGCCAAATGAACACAATTTATATGCAAGTAGTTTACAAACAAAAACCGAAGAGAACAACAAAACATCCTATAGTTTTGAACATGGTTCTCTACTCAGGTTGCAAAATAATCATCATTGTTTTTCTTCATATTCTTAATTGATTTCAAAAGTTTGGAATAGAAGGGCCTTTCATAATTCTTGTTTTCACATGTCACAATCCTCCTCTACCATGATTTTTAAGCCTCTTGACCTTACAGGAATGCTAATCTTATTGTTCTAATAGCATCCTTTTCGGACTAAGTACAGTTCTTGAAACAAAAAAGTAGATCAAACTGCTTACCGTATTAGTTTAGAATAGCAATTGATTTAACTTATAACCATGTTGAGCAAAATTAAACACAAAACTCAGCAAGGATCTCAATGTCTTCATCTAAGGGTGGCTGTGGATTATCATATCTTTGAGCATACATCAATCCAATTGTAGCCTACGATATTGCTAGAAGAAATGAGATACTATTCTTCATCACGCTTTGAACTTGTAAGAAGAAATAATTCATTCCATTCCAAACTAAACAATATCACAAATTATACTTCCTAAGAAAGAACACAAATGGGGGCCATAAGTGAAATTAATGTTACAGTTAAAAATTACTCCTGCTCCATGCAAAATAGTATGGATTCCAGATCTTCAGCACTGGCAGGTTGATGCAACTGCAATCACACAAAAAAATACACCCCTCAAACAGGAGAACGAGTTCACAAAATTAATTACTAGGATCTACCAAGACCAATTATTCTTAAGAATATCAATGAAGAGTTGACAATGACAAACAGTGAAGGTGCACATTTCCTCAACAACAAAGATATCATCTGTCTTTCTTAGAAAGCCTTTTGATGTCATAGCATAGACACGTCACCTTTCTTGACTACTAAACAACAATATTTGACACCAAAATATCCTCCTTAACCAAACAAGATATCTTGTTGATATAAATACTGCATCCATCAATATACTTTATAAGGATTGAAAATACGTCTTCTTGTAATCATACTAAAAGATAAGAAGCTTACAGCTTTTGAAACAGCAAACCAATGAAAGGAACGCATAAAAGCATCATCATGTGAAGGAAGACCATCATGATTCCAAACGCTTAGATTTTGAAACTTGGCATTCATCTCCCAGCATTTTGCATTTTCAGCAGAAGTTTCCTTTCTTAAGACAAACCCTGTGAAACACAAGCACCAAAATTTGTACATTCAAACAGCCGTGTTCCCTCTTCATCTCCCTAGCAGGGACCATGTCAAATTTCAGTTACAGTAAAACAAATATACACTCTAGAAAATCTTACGTTCCTTGACATAAAGGGAATTGAACCATATAACATTCTTCAGTATATACTATAGTTCCAACCTTCAAGTTCAATATCACAAGCTCAACTTCAAGAATTTAAAATTGTTATATGTTCTTCAATTCTCTATGACATACAGATTACTCAAAACGCCCGCATAATTTAAAAGGAAACTTATTCGGCAGATGTCAATTGACATGGTAACTCAAAAAATAGTTCCAAGGGCAAAATTTTCTCATGAAACATGAAGGATTAACATACCAACTTTCCAAATGATCCAAAGCTTAAGGAACAAAATACCTCAATGGATCCCGGGAAATAATATGGGACAGCTAATCTCCTAACACTGCAAAATCCTCCTCAAAGGCAGCACTTTCAATTCCTAAATACTAAAGTTAATTCATCTCTATGAAGTTTCACATACTCAAGAACCTTATTTTTTGAGAAGTTTCTCTGTGACGTTCTAATCAGTAAAGCATGAGAATGAGAAACATTTGGCATAAATTGATGTTAAGAGCCGACTGTTTTGGTTGATTCCAGTTTCATGAATTAAAGAAGCATAATAAAAAACTGAACTTGGTGTCCTCAGTTCCTGGTTCCTATTACTGTCGCACCAGTAACGGCTGCCAAAGCGCATGGAAGGGCTCATGCATGCAAGGCCAGTAAAGAATTGAGCCATTAAGGCCTTATGTTTTCACAACTATTGGACCTCTGAATGCAGCTTAAATCACATTGATGAGGATAATGCTCCTTCATTGACAATTTTTTAGCTTCACAAACTCACACATAATCGGTGACAACAGTCTTGTATCCAGTCGAGCTGTAGTAATTATAAATCTCAACATGAGAATCTATTTCACGGTCCTAAAGTATCATACTAGGCAAGTTGGCAAATTATGCAATCTAGTTATCTATCATGTAGATAATGGTTGCCAAGACATTAGGCTAACAGAGGTCCACCAAAATAACCTATCTGAAATATTCTCTAGAAAATCAAAACTTATACAATTGTCACACAAGTATAAAAGTAAAACATTTCAAGGAAACTCTCTGGAGATTTATGCCCTAGATATACTAGCTGTCCAATTATCTTCATCCTAAACAGGAATTTCCAAGTTCCAACTGCCCAGTCACCTAGCAGTAGAGACATTTTCCAAGCTATACTGAGTTTAATTCTTCCGGCTTACATTTAATCCCATACCCATTATAAACCCCTTCAATACCCATTATAAACCCCTTCAAGAACCAACTCCACCCCAACCCCAAACTCAAGGAAATTGAACGACTCGTAGAAGGATGAAATGATAAATGCATGTCCTCGGAGAAATTACTGCTCCATCACTTTTTACCATAAAGTCCGTAAGCACAAGCAACAAAACCACAACAACAATGATAATAGAAATAACCAAACTAAACACAGTATGTTATCCTTGAACTTCTCAGCAATACTTATCCTAAAAGATGTAGAATAAGATAGAAGCATATTACATTCTGTCGAGGATTATTATGGTACTCCCTCAGGTCCTAATAGTTAATTAAGGGGTGAAAATGCAGCAGTATTCAAAATTAAAGCTTTCCTACTATTATAAATATTGCATTTCACATTCAACGGTAGGGATATTTTGGCAGAGTCTAAAAATGAAGCTTTCAGACTATTAGGGGAAAAAAAGGGGGAGTACAAATGTGAAAATGAACAACGAATTAATTTAATTAAGGAATTCTTGTAAAAAGGTTGAAAGCATTACCGGAGTAGCCTTGGGGAAGAGGAATAGTTGTGCCCTGTAACTTCCTTCCTCTGAAGTATGCTTCCTCAATTCTCAATCCATCAATTTCCACCCCTATTATCATCGATTCATTTCTCAATTAATCAGAATTAACAATCACAAATTCAACCAATATCTTATCTCTCAATTCAATGGAAGAAAATGGTGGTCCATACCGGTATCCTTGGGCTTGAAGTAGTGAGCAACAGATGTCGGACCATCGTACTTGATACAACACGGCAACTGATGCACTTTTCCGGTAAGGTCCGGCACAGATTCTCCATTCCTGTTAAAATTAACAGTTCCTGCGGCAGTTGAAAGACTCGGACTACACTCTATTCCTTCATCCATTGATTTTTCTTTGAGAATACAATGAAATTGACCGGACCCTAGTGGAGTCGGTATCGGAAACCCTTGCTTTCTCAAAACCCCTGATTTTGTGGTTGTCCATTTTCCCGCGCTTCATTAAGGTCACTTCTTTCTTCCGGCTAAATTACATCCACCTCCCTGAGGTTTACGTTTATTAGCAAATGAATCGTGTAGTTTTTTTTTTTTTTTTTCAAATGAATCAAATCAGAATGGCGGTTATATCATCTGCCAATATTATAACCTTTGTTATTGGGTAGTTATTAAAATTGAAAATTTGTGATTTTGTTTTTTCATTAGTCACTGTCATTTTTCGTTATGATTTTTCGTTATCTGTATCATTGTTGTTGAAAACTAGTAAAATAGTGGTAATTGAAGTCATTAATGGCGACACGAAATTGGTAATGGATATTAAGTGATTATTGCTAGTTGGGTAAAGAACAGAAACTTACTCCCAGCAATTAACTTCTATGATATTCTTCAAGTGGTTGAAGTTCGATTCCTCCTAAACGCTGCCTAGGTAACAGTATTGCTACAGCTAGCTAGATCTGACAACAACTCAGTGAAGATCAAGAAAGAATCATTCTGTTATTCAGAATCCTACCTACCCGAATCAATAAGATTAAGATTTACATTCACTTTAAGCTACAGAATGTATATAAAGTTAACAGCATGAGTAGATCAACTTTCAGTGTCCGAGAAATTTGGGCTCTCTAGCTCACCCTCTGCAGAAGCAAAGCTTTCTGAGCTCTCTATCGATGAAAGGGAAGATGGAGAACCATCAGAGTCCGAGTTCACTTCGTCATGTAAGTCTGAGTTCCCGTCCTCATGTAAGATGATATGATCCTCATCACAGTCTGATGTATCCGATGCAGAAGCTACATGCAGGAATTTGTTGATTGCATTTTTTGCGGTTTCCACAAACCATTCATCCTCTGGTAAAGCACTGTCAAGTAAGAATTATTCAGTCAGTACCGCTTAAATTAGTGCTGATTGATCATCATTTGACAGCTAACCCTTTGGTTGCCCTGTCAGAGTAAGAATTATTCAGTCAAGTATACCTTTGTGGATCAACACCTTTTGCAGAAAATGCTTTGATTGCCCTTGCATTAATGGATGATGCCAACTGATGCAAACTTCTGCATCGATAACCAGCATAACGCGCAATCTCCACAGTGAAGTGCATATCTAAAATCAACTGCATGGAAAGAAAGATTTCAAAAATGTATTGACACTAAACCCATCCGTGCTATCAAATTGTTTGAAAAGAGAGCCGGAAACTTGTGATCTGAGTTTTACAACAATGACCTCATTTTCTGCTTCCTATCATTGAGCTACAGTGTCTAAGAAACTTAAACGAACAGATGAAGGCAAAATGTGCTCATGTCAAAATTGTAAAGCACCACCGTCATTTACACAAACATTTTCATCTCTAATTTATCACAGCAAAAGCTAACATTTCATCTCATTGAGTGTTTTTTCATAAGTAGTCCAACATGCACCTTCAACAAAAGTAGTCTGTAGAGTAATCCAGATACCGATAACAAACAACCATGTCGAGAGACTTGGAAAGGTTGACACTCATCTCAAGTCAAGCTACAAAATTATATTGTCCACTTCTACTACATAATTATTCTAAAATCTTAATAATAAGACGCGTCGCCCAACAAATGTCAACCAAGTCCCTTAGTCTTCAAGCAGATAAAATATTATTTGGCTATTATAGCACACTAGAAACTGTTCCATATTATCTTGCACGAAGTAAATACGCATCCATTCCTACTACTCAAGGACCATTGGTATAAGGAGGTAAATCTAATTATCTTGGTTTCATCTCGAGTACAATGACCTCAATTTTAGTACAACTTTTTACAGTGAAAGGTGTAGTTAGATAAGCTCGCTAACTTTATGAATTCGAGGAAAATGCCATTAATGATCTATGAATAGGGCCCTTTCTTTATTTCCTTCACCTTTCTTATACATCCTCAATGGAGTTCTATACACAAGAAACTTTAGCATCCACAAGATTGCTGCTCCAGACCTTGGTGCCAGTTACCATTGATTAGAGTCACATACACCACAGATGCTAGTCTTCCAGAAATTTATTATTTTACTTGAAAGAGGTTATTTAAATGTGATTTCGGCTCAAAGGAGCACATGCTAGGAGTTTTTTCAGGTTGTCAGCTTTGAAACAGTTATACAACTTATTCATGGCTTGAGTTCTACTTATTCTACCTCAATATTTAGCAATGCAAAGAAATAACATCCAAGCATTTATGATAAAAAAAAAAAAAACGGTTATCCCTGAAAATCTGAGAAGTAGTTCTCACTTTTAACAATGCTTGTTCCAAAAGTAATTGCAAGAAAACACACTGAAAACTGGAAAGTACTTTTCTTCACAAACTATCTTGAAAAGCGAGATAAAAGGGAAAAAAAAAAAAAAAAAGGGTTCCAAGATTAGCTTTTCCCTCCCAGTGCCAAGTTAGAACGAAATTTCAAACAGCCGAAAACTTGTATAAGCAGAAACAGAACTCTGTGTGCTGGCAATTTCTGGAAAAGAATTAGGAGAGGACGCAGATCATAGTTTATAACGTCAGCAGACTTATTGATATTTATGTGCTAATGGTCTTCTAATATCATAGGCCATTGTATGTCATGCGATCACGCTTGAAAAGGGTTAAGGATACAAATCCCTATTGAAGAATGCAAAATAACTATCTTGAGATTGAAAAGCTACGGTTAAGACACGCAACTAACCAAAGGATCTCCCAGGACTTATCTCGAGCTACATGAACCAGACCTATGTTTTAAATGTCAGCTCAACTGATCGAAAGATAATTATTACTATGGTCACAACCCTCAAATGTAACTTATGTGAAAACCCCCATTGGTCCCAACCCAGGAAAAGACAAAAGCTAGATGAGATACCGTAGCAGAAGTATAACAGATTTCCACCATCCCCAGTTCGAAAAGAAAACAGATAGTCCTTGTAGTATTCAGTTCTTGCATTTGGTTGGGTATATTTTTCAGATGTGGTAATTTATTTCTCCTAAATGACATAATTATATGTTATTTCTTCCTTCATCTTTCTTCTAATACCAATATTACAGTCTTACTCCTTTCAAAAGTTTGAGCAGAAGAGATTAAGCAGCTAATATTTTAAATACCTGCTGCAACCCCAAAGGCGTAAGAGGAGCTGACTCATCCTCTAAAATGCTCCAAAACTCTTGCTCCTGTGACAACCAAAAAACCACGGTCTCCGTGAGCCTGGCCAGCAAAACTCTCTGTACTTTTTCTCTTCCCAGAAGAACATCCCCAGCAACAGTTGCTAGTTGCTGTAGCTTTGCAAATAGTGCCTGCACACATGTCAACCCAGAGATCATTAACTTAACAATTATATAAAGGAGCCCAGCAAGTAATTTTCTAAGTCGTACATTTAGTTTGAATTACCAATTTTACAAAACTGAGTAGGAGGCATTCTATTAAAATACGTGCATGGCTGAACAGGGAATCATTATCTGAAACTGAAGTAAAACATTCTTCTTGTTGTTGGGAAGCCAAAATCATGCTAAAAAACATTTGCCATTGGAAATGGAAAACAAATGTCCTTTGTAAAGACAACCTCTTATACAGACATAACATAAGGGTAAGGTTGCGTGCAATAGGCCTTAAATGACCTGAAATATACCAATGAGAAGCTACCATAAAAATTGAAGAAATAATAAAAAAAGAGGAACAAGTAAATTAAGAATTCATAAACTAATCATACAGAAAATAGAAATTTCTCAGACCCAAGATGATTCAGTTAAAAGAAAAGGAAGATATAATTAATGGCAGAAGAAAATCATATCAAACCAAATAAATATATAACATAAAAAATGACGTATTGGTCAAGAAAGTTTTATAATTTGAAAAGACAAAACCTGAAAAGGTAATGTTGGAAGTGGATCTGAAACCCAAAACATATCTTCCTTTTCTCCACGTATATAATTCTTCGCGTCTAATCGGGTGTTGTCATCTCTGGAGTAGATAAAACTAATTATGTATTGTAGGCAGAAGTAGTTTTTGAGCTTGTCCAAGGAATGCTGAAGCTGACGCCTCCAATCTTTTAACTCTAATGAGTTATTAGCAGAAGTCATCGAGTTTTCTGGAAGTCCGCTTCCTGCTTCCTTGCTTTCAATCAGAACATTCCAGACTTTTGATACCACCATTGGCAAAAGTTCCTCAGCAATAGTAAAAGCTGCTCCCAGCAATGCAAACTGCTGCGAATCTGTTTCAGCTTTAAATGGGACAGCATCTTTTAAATCTGTCAGATTGTCATCTTCAGAAGTGCTAGGTAAAGCTTTAACCAACATATCCACATATTTTTCAAAAAGATGTGATATTCTTGTCAATACATTTCCTCCAAAGTGTAAAATGACCATGTGAGTGAGCTGTTCAACTATTTCCTGCAATGGATAAGAAAAGTCAAGATATTTAGACTTCTTTCTGCCACCTTATCACTAATACACATGTAAAGTCCCACAATATGAGCATCCGAATTACCAACATTACAGTGAAGGAATAGATGAAAAGGCAAGACACATAAATTATGTAATAAGACAGTTAATATGGCTTGTGAGCCACTTAAGAAGCAACCATGACTGCAAGCATTTGACAAATGATATTCAAACAGCAACTACAACTGATCCTTTAACCCACTAAGTGGAGTTGGCAATGTAGTTCAGATTTCCCCAATGTCCTCATTCAAACCACATTTCCTACACATGTTAAAGTAGTTTTAGGTCTTTCCCTAGTCTTTTTAGATTTAATAACATGATTTTGTTGGACACAGGATGCTATTTTCCTGAGGCAGATAGATAATACACAAAAAGGGAAGAAAAAAACTCAGCATTAGAAAAGGAAAATAACAGAGCATCAGAACATTTTAAAATTGAACCATAACTTACTTTGATCACATAAATAAATCGAATTCCACTTTGAACAAGCACACTTTCAGACGGAGTGCCAAAAGTAGTCAGAGGAGACGCAAACCGAGGAGACAATGGCATGCACTCGTCTTCCGAAAAATCAAGAATTTGCTTTCTGGCCCGCCTAAAGTTTAGTTCTAAAACCTCCTCAACATATGGTTGCAGAAGCACCAGAAGCAATTCCGAGAACGTAAACCCATGTGGCTCTAGAGCTGCGCAATGGTTCAAGCTAGCCTGAACACAAACGCTAGCTGCATGAAGAGCAGATGCAGAATCAGAAGCTGGAGCATGTTCTTTGGCCAACCTTACAAATGATTCGATCTCTGATTCTGCCCACTGAACAATTTTGTTAACATAAACGGGATTGTCCCCGAACAGCAAAACAGATTCTTTTGCAGTCAACAATATGGAAGAAAATACAAGATTGGATAATGAGGCAGAGTAAGTTTCAGGGTAACAGGGACACAATGGGAGAAAAGCCTCAACACTTTTCTGAAGACGTGACCCAGATGACTTGAGAAGCAACTGATGCGCCAATGACCCTTTTCCAAGCTTTAATAAGCTGGATAAAGCCTTCTTCAATTCGCCAACACTAATTGAAGGTTGCTCAGTTATTTCAACAAGTTGGTTTTCAAGTACCGATTTTCTTTTTAACAAAGCAGCCCTAAAAGAAGATTGTTCAGTAGCTGATGTGTCAGACGAAGCTTTGAGATCTGGATGACGTCTTTCTTCAGCGTCTATAGCCTCTATTACCTCATCTATTTTGCGCTCCACCAGAAGAACATCAATATTCTCCAAGAATGTCATCCTGTGATCCGCCTCATCAGTTGGAGAGGAATTTTCCAGCTGAACATTTTCATCTATATCTTGCTCTACAATGTCAATAGCACGAGCGTATTCTTCGAGTTCTTGAGAAACACCAGTCATCAAATCGTGGAGAAGAATTCTGTGTGCTGAGATATGCTTCTGGAGATCATTTAACTCATGCTCAGCCTCCACAACTTCTTCACATAATCTACAAAATATCATAGTTCATGGTGAGAGTTTCACTCATTAATTAATAATGAAACAGGAAAAAGAAATTCATACACAGAAGGAAAATAGTGTGCCAAAATAAGCATAAACAGGAAGCCCAAAGTTCAACAACAGAAAAGCAGTACTCATGTAATTTATCACCTACTTTTCAGGGAAAGATAACCAAGAAGCAATAAAACAGGTAAAGCTACTAAAGGCAGAAAAAAAGTAGAGACTTGAAAACCAAGAAGTTTCTGCAATCAGCAATCAATGCTAGGGCAAGAGTTTGAGGATATCCATATGATCTGTAGATTTAAAACTACTACTTTGCCCAAACCACGGCTAAAAGAGAGCATCATCCTGGCCAAACTTTTGAAATTATTGAAGTGCATTGTTCAATAACGAGACAAGTCCAAAACATGAACAGCATGAGAAATCTAATCAAGATGTCTGAGATGAAATTTTTCAGATTTTTCTCTCGTGTATTTGAAATAGTTCTTACAATCTTTGACCACGAGCAATATCGTTGCAAGCTCAATCCGGTATAAGGTCCTCCTCCATCAAGAAGCAATTAATTTTTGGAGAGACTAGATTCCAAATTTAAAATACTTCAACGAAGAGCATTAAGTTTAGGGAGCCAACAACTTCAAGAACATGCAAAAATTCTATATAGTCCAACTATCACAAACTGGCAAATAATCTGCACCATTGGCATAAAGGAATACAATCTCCCAGGAAGCAGTGTCTTCGGGTTAACATTCAATGTCTAAAAAATAGCACAAAATGATTCCTCCAAGATGTATCAGTTTGCAAATGAGCAAAAAAACGACGACATCTTTCATTGCACCATAAACTGAAGGTTACCCTAGTTGAATACCATAACATAGTCATTCCCAGGATTAACTGCAACGTATTCCAATGCTATGACAATTTCAACGGGTGAATATTTGAGTAAATATGACATCACAAACCTCACCATTTTCTATACTTTAATTATTTATCAAATCTTCCCAATACTTAAATTTCTTTTAACAAGGTATTCAGGACGCACTGAAAACCACATTTTAGTAAATAAGAGGTACATAGTCCACCATTCGATCTAGACAGAGTTTATTGGAATCCTGAGCATTACAATTAATCTTTACACCAACGAAATGGAAATCAGGGGATAAGATTGATAATATTAACAATAGAAAAGGCGAGAGCACACAAGCATGCACTTTATTACAAATTACTGAAGATGATGAAAGTTTATTACCTCAAAATAGCGGAGTATTTCGTTTGTGTATTACCACACAAGGTTTCCACAGCATCCTTCAAATCCAAGAGCTCGAAGCATATTTTTCTGATTCCCTATACAACATGCAAACCTTCAATTCTAAAATTCCAAAAAAAAATCTAAACTTTTTAGCTAAGAAACACAACCCTAGCGAGTTTCCAGTGAAATTACTCAAAACCCATTTTGGGCATAATAAACTAATTAAAGTAGCAGCTAACACCTCATTCTTAGTTTCTCACACACCATCAACTAAACCGGGAGTAATGCATTTCAGTGCTGTCGCAAAGTAAATAGGCGGAAAATGAAAATTAAAAGTGAGCATTTTTATGCAACAAGATACACAATGAATATCTCATAAAATGTAGATGATTGCAAACAAAGTCCTCTTTCAATTTCCCTTTTCTCTTTAGGAATAAATGGGGTAAAATCATGAACCGGAAATACACAGAATCCTTGCATTCTCCTCTCTCTCTAATCCTTCTTTACAAGTGAATACAGTGCTCAAAACAAATTTAGCCATGGTAAAGTGACATTTTCTGTTGAAGCTTAAAAGAATGCAAACTATAACAGTAGTTTCGCTTTTTAAAAAATTAAGCAAAATAACCCAAATCAAGACTTATTTTTGGCCAAAAACAAATCATTAAAATCACCAAAAAAAAAAAAAAACAAAGGTAAATCATTGAAACTGCCCTGCTGGCTGCACCATTTGAGGGGCGAATGAAATGGGGTTGAAGTGAGCAAAGATTCAAAAGGTGAGGAACAAAGGGTTTAGATGTTTAAAAACCTTTTCAGTTTTGGATTGGTAGACAGTATCGATCTTAGACTGCGGAGTGACACTCTCGATTGCTGGGAAGTCATCTTCTTCTTCGCTGCTTTCCATCCTCATTTTTCGTCGTGTTTGAGAAGAGGGGGCGGAGTTTGCTTGCCTCAACTCTCCCAGCAGAGAGTAGAGTTACTGTGTGAGTGTGTGAAAATTTTGTCTGAAATCTGGGAAAGTGATTTCGTTGCTGCTGATGATGAGTATCATCATACTGACAATGACGAGGAAGGTAGACCCACTTTTGAAATAATTTCTCAGCTGATTCTCTCCGCTTTTTCACTCACTTTCTTTTTTACCTTTTTTACTGTTATTCTTTTCCTGTACTTGAAAACGTTTACTCACTACTTCTTTTATGTCAAAATTATTTTACAGTTTAGATTTTCATTTTTCCAATTCATACTAAAGTGAAATCTAAACTGGATAATAATTTCGGGACTGAAAAAAAAGTATAGATGGATGAAAGTCCCAAAATAATGGTTTGTTTCCAATACACATATGACAATCATTTGGGACGAAAAGTAATAAAAATTAAACTTTTTTTTTTTCAGTAGTTACGAAATTTTCATGAAATTAGTTATATCCATCTCCAGCTAAAAAGAGTATACGTTTAACCCCACATTTGGCATTTGTTGGCCAACTAATTTTTTCCAAGTTTTGAACAAAGAATTATGAGGCCAAACCTAGCGCTCCTTGTAAGGAGATTAATAGATCAACACATGTTAAAAATCATTGCAGCACTTTAACTAGGATGTTGATTTACAAAGGGTTTCTGACCTTTTGGACTTGGGAGTTCTGTCACAATTCTGTGTAATAATCTGACTTCTCAACTTCTTGAGTATTGAAACAACATCTTGGATGTTCATTCTTTCACCAGGTGATGTAGCAGTGCACTGCAATGCAAGCTCCATAATAGTTGACACACACTGCATTTCTGCCTCGAAATTTGCTATCTGATGATCTTGTCTTAGCAGGTTGCAGTCCACAACTTGCATAATTTCATCTGGAAATGAATCATTTATCCAACTCCTCAAAGTTATATCGCCGGTAAACATGTCATCATTAGGCTTCCTTCTGGTGAATGTTTCCATCAACATGATTCCATAACCATAAACGTCGCACTTGGTGGAAACCAGGCCTTCAGTTCCATATTCTGCACAAAAGAACCATTTGTTAGGAAAGACAGAAAGTCTAAATGAAAGGAAGACTTGGGAGGGAAACTGAGGTCTTACCAGGCGCAATGTATCCCACTGTTCCCATGGTTTTTGTGCGCACAACTCCATCTCTAACACTTAGGAGTTTTGCAATGCCGAAATCACATAAATGTCCTACCATATCTTCATCAAGCAAGACATTTCCAGGCTTCACATCACAGTGCACCACTGGAAAATAGTAGTTGTTGTGGAGGTAATCCAGGGCAGAAGCCACATCAATCATTATATCCAGCCTTTGCGAAATATCTAGACAATAGTTGTGAGAATATAACCATCTTTCAAGGCTTCCGTTTGGCATATACTCCAGCACTATTGCTCCAATATCCAAGTCCCAACGGGGGCAACTTGCAATGAATTCAATTAAATTACGATGGCGAATTCTGCTTAATAAGTCACATTCTGTGAGAAAAGTCTCGCGGGCGGCTCTGGCATTCTTAAAGTGGAATACTTTTACTGCTGAATATGTGCCATCACTGAGACAACATTCGTAGATAGCGCTATAACTCCCAAGAGCAAGCAAGTTACCTTCACCGAATCTGTTAGTTGCTGTCTGAAGCTCACTATAAGAAATGTGTTTCTGTTTAATATCTGGAGATTCCACATTTTGGACTGAAGCTATTTTCTTCTTTCGATTTCTTATAAACAGAAATACCAGGAAAGCGGTTACAAGGCTTGCTGGAAAAATCCCTAGGAAGAGGTGCATGATCAAATGTGCTCTTCTTTTGGAGTGATTGATTGAGCAAGGAAGGACTTCGAATTGAGGAGCTCCGCAAAGGCCAGCATTTGACATGAATGATGAAGCTGTGAAATTTCGGAATGGTCCCCCAGTAGGAATTTGCCCACTTAATCTATTATAGGAGACATTGAACCATTTTAGGTAAAGAAGAGCCTCCAAGGACTGCGGAACTCCTCCAGTCAAATTATTCTGAGACAAATCCAATGTCTCCAAACTCATGATCTGCTGAAATTCAGGAATAGAGCCCTCGAATTCATTTTGCGCCAACGAAAGGTTAACCAAGTAGGGTAATGTTCCAACAGATGCTGGAATTTTTCCAGTGAAGCTATTCCTGGACAAATCAATTGTCCTCAAAAACTTTAGGTTTCCCATTCCAGGAGGTAGATAACCTCCAAGCGAATTCATTCCCAAATGTAATACAGAAAGATTCCGTAAGTTGCAGATTGCATCAGGAATTGTTCCCACTATGCGGTTGTCATTTAGAATCAACTCCTGAATTTCTAGTGAACCTCCAACTGTTTCTGGAATAATCCCACTTAACCAATTGTTACCAAGTGACAATGATTGCAATCTATGTAAATGTCCAATCTCAGATGGTATTGACCCTGAAGAATACATAATCCATAACAGACATGTTAAAAGTATATTATTCCAGAGAAAATATGACTGAGAAAATTGTATCATGAAGCCATGTTCTGAGTGCCTGAGTTTTTCTACTTAGTTGAATTATCAGAGCAAAACATGACTGAATTGAAACCAAAGGTTTAAATCATGCCAAGTTATGAGTTTTACTACAATCTTCCAAGGGAGGATCAGAAAATGTACATACCAGTCAATTGATTGTCACCAATATCTAGAACGACTAGCGAAGATAAGTTCCCGATTTCTCCAGGCAGGATTCCACTAAATGCATTAGATGACAATATCAGAAACTCCAACTGTGAACAGTTACCCAAACTAGCTGGAATTGGGCCATCAAACTCATTATTCCAAAGGTACAACCCATTAAGCCTCGGAAGATGAGAGCAGATATCCATCGGAAGATTCCCTGAAACCTTATTCCCTGTAAATGCTAAAATCTCCAATGATGACAAGTTAAATATACCGAGCGGTATAGGACCACTAAACAGGTTAAACTGCAGGTCAAGAACTGTCAAAGAATGAAGATCTGCTACTTCCATTGGAACATTCCCTGAAAATGTGTTATTCTTAAGACGCAAGGATTGAAGATTCGATAAAGACACAAAAATAGACGGTGGAATCGCCCCACTGAAGAGATTGTTACTTAAATCAAGATGCTGCAATCTTTGCAACAGGGCTATCCCTTCAGGGAAATTTCCATGGAAAGAGTTCCAACTCAGATCAAGAGAATGGAGAAAAGAAAGATTTCCCACAGAGGATGAAATGCTACCAGTAAGCCCCATACAAGAGATACTTAAGCCTGTAACTCGATTAACGCGAGGGTCATCACAGGCGACGCCATACCAGCCGCAGACAGATGATTCTGCGGTCCAATTCTTCTCCAGGAAAATGTTGTCAGGGCCAAAAGAAAGATGAGATTTCAATGCCAACAATGCGTATTTATCGGTTTCAATGCTTTGTTGTAGAGCTAATGACATAAAGCAATGCATAATCAAGGCTGTAACTGTAGTGAAGAACACAGTGCTTCCCATTAAATCTAAACAGCTAGATACGATGATCAAGTAAAAAATATTGGCTGGGGCTCTTCTGAATCCAATCCTGAAATATTGCATTTGTTATTGGCTTTATATGTAAGATTGTAAGTTGTTAAACAAAAACAGAAACATGGGTTTTATACATCGTACCAATTACCAACGTTTTTAATGCTTCTGTTTTTGCTTTCGCTTTCATCATTTTGGGTATGTTCTTGGACTAACTGTAAAGGATATAAGAATACCGCTGATTTGTTGTTGTATGAAGTCCTTTCGAAACAAATGGCTTTGAATCATGAAGTGAAGCCGAGTGGTGATTAGAAAAATATATACTCTCTTTCACCCACAAACAAAACAAAAATTGATAACTTTATTTTATAACAAAGTGTCCACTGCTCTGTCTAATCCTGAATTGAGCCGAAAACTGTGTTTATTTTATTATTTTAGTTTAACAAGATGACCTTTTATAGGAACATGAAGTCTTCATTTCATTGACGACAACGGAATCCATTGTACTTAATTAAAGTAATATACAAAAAGGACACATGTCAGCTGCACAATAAAAATTTTCCCCCAAAAAATATTTTCTAGTGCAAGATGAAAATTGACATGTGACACTCTAAAATTTCATGGAAAAAAAAAAAGATAAACCTACTTTACAAATCTTGCGAAAAATTATCCATCATTTTAATATCCTCTAAATTAGCCAAAATTTATGAAGTTATATCCTAAATCAATTAAAAATAAATTACAATGTCCATTTGAATTTCAAACACGGACCTGTTCCGATCTTACTTTTCCAGTTTATCTGCGGATTGAAAATCCCCTTTAAGTTATCTCTTCATGACTGATTATATATCTCATAAATTGCTCATCATCAGTTAATATCTCTCAAAATCTCCCATTAAAATTCAAATCCTCAATAGTAAATATAATCTCTAAATTCTTAATTCCCAAAAATCCATAATCCCTAATTTCATCTATTTCAAGATCTTTTGAATATGGTTGCACCCAGAAAGACGATGGGTTTGAGGCAGAAACCAAAGACGAGAGGATAAAAACGAGTGCTTCAGATCCATCTACGTCAGATCCGACCGATAAAATTTGATGAATACCAAGTTTCGTCCACGGTTCTCGATTCAATGAATATGGTAATGACAAACATTGATATCTGAGAGATTCATACTTTTTTCTTCCTTGAATTTTTTATTCGTTCATCAATCTGAAGTTTCTCTCTCTCTCTCTCTCTCTCTCTCTCTCTCTCTCTCTCTCTCTCTCTCTCTCTCTCTCTCTCTCTCTCTCTCTCTCTCTATATATATATATATATATATATATATATGGAAATTCTAAAGTCCGGTCGTTAGATTTCAAGTGAACCATTTAGTTAACTTATAACCAATCAAAAGATGAAGGACCATCTTTTATTGTGGGCCGAAAAGTATTCGAATAAATCTATTTTAATTTTAAATAGTTAATCAAGTATTCGAATAAATTCATTTTAATTTTAAATAGTTAATCATCAAATTTATCCAGATTTTCTAAACTAATCAAAGATAAAAATGAATTAATTGAGGCATAATTTACTCTTTTAAGTTTTACCCCAGGAAAAAAAAACTTATCTTTACCTTTAATTAAAAAATTATGTATCTAATAATAATAGAAACATCACAGACTCCACCACCGATAGTTGACCGATTGCCCATTAGAGGAGTTGGATTCATGTTCGGTCATTCCTAGCCCATCTAATTACTATATTTTTAATAAGAAAATATTCTGTTTGAAAAAAAATTAACAATGAAAAATCAAGGTAATGATTGAATCAGAAATCTAATTAGGTTTTTTTCGGAGTTTTTCAATCAAAATAGAGAAGACATGAATAGTTGTTTGTCGGAGTTTTTCGATCAAAATGGAAAAAACATGAATATGTTTCTCAGGTGTTGGTCAACATCCTTTCCTTTTTCTTCCTTTTTTTTTTCCCGTAAAACAAGTACAAACTTTTATTAAGTAAAAATCGAAAACTTCTTATGTTGATAAAATGTTAGTTAAACTGGGCAATTATTCTATGTAATCCGCTCTATTTTCTTTTTAAAACTAGTGTGTGTCACGTGCTTTGCGCGGCTTTGTCAATGTTGAAAATTTATATTTCAAAAGAATTGATTAGATAATGTAGTTACAAATATACCGTCCTTATTCTCTTAAAAAAATGTAGTTATTAATATTTCTTAAAACTGTAATATTTTTTTGATTAATCAGTTTTAGATCAAAATGAGAGGTATTGATATTATTTATGAGAGGTATATTTGTAAGATCTGGTAAAAAATATTACAACAAAGATTTTTAAAAGTTGTATAATAAAAATTGTCACCACTAACTAATGTTACGTTTGGTTTAAAAAATATATTTAAAAAATGTGTAAATTATGTCTAGATGCATATGGCCTATTTTTATAGGCAAGTATACTTTGGGGATTAGATGTAGTTCTAATAAAATATGAGATACAACTAATCGTCCTTAAAAATGTAAAATTGATAAACTTGAAAACTAAATAGCACACAAATGGAACTTTAAGGGCCAAAATGACAATATGTTAAAAATTTAAACTCGTAAATGAAAGGACTTTTGAAGTCGAGAGTTTCTCAGCAATTTTCAAAATATTCATTTTCAAGCTCACAAATCAAGAATTTGTAATATCTATAAAAATCTTATATACTCCCCCCGTCCCACAAAAATAGTCCAGTTTAAAACTGTACAATTTTTTTAATTTGGTCAACACACCAAATGTACAACTCATTTCATTCCCTTAACTTCCACTAATGCCCTTTCTAGTTATTTCTATAAAAGTTAACTACATATGCATTTATTTTACAACTTAAATTTGATCAAAATTTTTATCTCAAAAAATATTGACAATGGATCTTGATGGAAAGATCTCGTTACGTAAATTAATTTGATATATAAGACATTTTTTAATTATTCATGTATTAAAAGATATAATCATTTGAAAAATAAGAGAAAACTAAAAAAAAATGAAAATCAAAGGAAGTGCACATTGTTTTTCATACTACTACTCTTTTGGATATTTAAGTCATTTCAATTCAATGAATTTTGACTTTTATTATACTGGACTATTTTTTTAGGACAAGATTTTTTATTAAATTGGATTATTTTTGTGAGACGGAGGGAGTAGTAAATAATTTATTAACTGTTTACGAAAAATTTTAACTGATTAATGATCAACCAATTAGCAAATGACACGTGTTAATTGAGACTTGATGGTCTCAATGAGCGACACGTGTCGATTATCTTTCTTTCTTTTAATATATATATAATGATTTAACTAATTTAATCTAACGGTTAGTATTACTTCTAATCATCGTACGGTTATTAATACTAACTGAACCATTCAGTCGACTGGACTGTAGTCCCTCCAATATATATATATATATATATATATATATATATATATATATATATATATATATATATATATATCCTTTGACGCCTGGACAGGTTCTTCAATCTTCTTATTGAGTTTATTGTTTTTCTTAACTTTATAAATTCATGCTTGGATCATGAATTTCAATTATGTTGTTGTGATTATCGGAATTTTCCGGATCCCGCATTGCGTTGTGCTTCTATTCGCGGAGTTCAATATTCAGCTTTTTAAAGTGGTTTCAAGTTTGCATTTCTTGAATTTGGATTGTGAAACGGAACAGAGCAATATATGTATAAAGTTCTTGAAGTTGATGCCCAATATAAATTATTTGATGATTGTTTTTTGTTTTGTGGTGGGTGAAGGTGTCATTTTTCCTTGGAAGACTGCCAGTATTTGTAGCTTGGATATATTCGGAGATTCTGGAGTAGAGGAAAGTCTCTCTCTCAAAGTTGTAAGTTTTTGATAATTTCACAAGATTCTTTGTAACTTTCTCACTTTTTCTTGGTATCATTATGGATGTAATGTTTATCTTTGATGATTCTATAAAAATCATAACTATGTTTTGATTCTTAGAACAATTGTTTCATTTCTGTTTCCAAAGATTAGTTATATACTTAGTTGATCTCAAGCTATAATTTTTTGGTTATGTGAAGAATGATTACTGAATGTGGAGCTAGCCTCATTTGGCAAATGATGAAGGGGTGGCTAAATGAGCTGACAGAGACTATAATTAAGTTTTGTTGTCTGAATTTTATTGAAAATCAGGTTTGGCTCAAGTTATACCAAAATTAGTGATGCTTGCATCCTCTTTCTAACGAAAAGTGGAGAAAATTGTAGAGGTGAAAGGTGCGTTTGAAGACACTTTTCAGATGCTAATACTCCAGATCCTGTGGTATGCCATTCAATATTTGAACCTTCTGTAATTTGATTTCGTTGTACACTCCTTTTTTGAATAAATCAATTGATAATTTGTCTATACTAAATAATTAGTCCTAACTCGCCTCTTGCAGATTCGATAGACCTATTCCGCTAGTATTCTTTGCAGATTTAACGTTTTCATATTGGTGAGAATCTTTGTAGTGTTTTTATCGATTGATGGTTATGTGTAAAACAAAAAAAAAAAGGGTAAATGTACGGTGAAGGCAATATAGTGCGTGATTGTTATTGGGTTGTTAAGTTTCGGCATTATATTTGTTGGATGAAGACTTAGTTTTGAATATTGGATGAAGACTTAATTTTGAATATTGATGAACTTAAATCATAATCTCTTTGTAGGTGTTGAAAGACTTAATGGATGGAATATAAGCAGTGAATTATGCAGTGAAATTTGGCCATTGATGCCACTAATATAAATAACTTCAACCCGGCTATCAAATGTGACTGCAAATACAACAATCAATCCTTTTTCTATGTTACTGCGTTGTAAGCAAAAGGGGAAGGAAAAAAAAAGTAGTTTTGGTTTGTTTCTGGTGTCAAATTCCTGTTGACATAGGACATTTGTTTATTTGATTACTAGATGTTACCCGCATGATGTGCGAGATAGATAAATTATGAACAAAGTTAAAAATGATGGGTATCAAAGAAATATTTTTTATTTCTGTAGGATTAAAATAATTGGAAGAGATTATGATATATTAATTTCAGGAAATTGACGCTTTTGAAGGACTCATTTTATCCACGGATACTATAAACACCCATTATGTTTCCAAATGGGTTGTAGTAAATCAAATATCTTATACTCTTCTTTCATCTTCTACGTCTAAGCATCCACAGTCGATAATGCATTATTTGCTCCACCTTAAAAATAATTTAAATTTGTTACAAATTAATATATATATATATATAGTGACTAAAGTTCTCCCAATAAATAGATAATTCAATATATAAAACTTAAAAAAATTATATTTATTTACTATGATTCAATTAGTAGAATACCTTCACAGTCTCTCAAATTTTGCATTATATTTCCTGCAAAGCGATACAACATTTATATTGTTGTACCCAAATTAACGTGAAACAATCATTTTACAACTATATATATATATATATATAAACTAAGTTGGAACTTCTCTAAATTATTTTTGCTGATCTACCATAGTGTAGTTGGACATAACATAATCATTATCAAACACATCAGTCCAATATGATTAACTGGCCTCATCTAAAAAAATTGAAAATTGCTAAAACTCGTTAGCTTTTAAATTTCATAAGTAGACAAAATTGAGAGAGTATACCAAAATTGAAACTGTACCGAAATACCTTTTAGAACTTTTTTGATAAACTGCTAATAGTATGTATTTCAAACTCTCATATAAGTTGCATAAATTCCTTCAAAAATTTAGTCCCTTTCTCGTTTGCAGATCTCATTTCTTCTCCACTATAAATAATAAATCCAACAATAAAAACTCATAACCAAATTATCAATATAGTATAATCAAGTTAAACAACTGCGTCACGACATATAGAACAAACATGCAAAAGTCTACTAAAATTAAACAGTTAGTGATATCTAAAACGAATTGACATTCATCATTGATAGAAACTCCATTCCTAAAATTAATTAATTAACTAACCTTGATGAAAAATGGGCATGAACAATTGTTTTGCTGCAAAAAAATAAAAAATAACAAAATAAAAAAATCAATTAGTCAATGAGAGGGAAAAGATGAGGAGGTGAAGGTACAATACCTGTTAAATTTATATAGTCCAGTCAGCTATTAAGTTTTCTAACCGAATAAAATCCCTGAAGTTGAGGGATTTCATTTTTTCATCAAACGCTAAAATTAAACACAATTAATGCTTATCAGAATTCAAATCAAATTTTAAAATTAAAAATGTTAACATATTTTAGTCTAATTTACAACCTAATTAATAAAAAAAATCAGGATTATATATGCATATTGAAATATTAACATATTTAAGATGTTTAATTTAATTTTGTTTTGTGCAAAAAACTCGAATCAGCATTAATATTGATTTTATGATATTCAACTTTCCTATTGAAAAAAGATTTAGCATTAATTTTGATTAGTATTTTTAGGTAAGGTCATTGACCATAGTTTTTTAGGTAAGGTCATTAACCATAATTGGAGTTTTATCTAAGTCTATCGAAAAATTTATTCAAATCAATCAGTAATAATTATAAAAAAATCAAATCAATATTTACCTTTTCTTTGTGACACCAAATGAAAAGAAACTATTAATGTTGATTTTTTTAAAAAAAATGTTCCGTTTTTTTTTTTTTTTTGATTGACCGAATTCAGTGAAAGTTTACCCCCAAATAATTGATAGAATTTAATAACGGTTTGATGAAACTTTATTTACTGAAAATTCAAAGGACTGTTAGTAATTGTTGTAAATATTTTTTATGTCAACCTATAGGAAAATGACACATAAGATTTTGTCTTATGTGTTAACGGCAGGAGAAGTTTGATTTCCGCTCTCTAGTTTCTCTCTTAATATAATACTATAGATTTTCATCAATTGAATTGCTCAATATCAAGTACATGAGACTTTATGCAATGGACCGTAGGGGAGCTCTCCCAGATGATATCTGGAATTTGACTTTCCTCACATATATCGGAGTTTTTTAAAAATTCAAGTGAGATGATACTAATCTGTAAAACCGCGACTCATTTTTGTCCACCTATTTTAATGAATCAAGTACAGTTCTTGTGTAGGCATTTCCATCTCTATAACCTGAAAAATACCAACAAAAAAAAAAATGCTGTAATCAAATGACTAAAATCCCAACATGAAAAGCTCAACATATATAAGGAATGCCTTTTAGGTTTTAATATCTGGTGATTCAACAGTTTGGATTGGAGCTCTTGATCTTGTTCTCCATGTGATCAACAGGAATGCCAATAAAAATGTTACAACAATTGATGGAAAAACCACCAGATAGATGCGTATGATTAAATGTAGTTTTCTGTCGGAGTGATTGTTCTTCGGGCAAGCAGGCACGTCAAATCGAGCAGCTCCACAAAGGCCAGCATTTGACATGAATGATGAACCTGTGAAGTTTTGGAATGGTCCCCCGCTTGGAATTTGTCCGCTTAATCCATTGTATGAGACATTGAACCATTTCAGGTAGAGTAAAGCCTCCAATGTCTGAGGGATTCCTCCAGTTAATTTATTGTGAGACAAATCTAATGTCTCCAAACTCGGGATCTGGTGAAATGATTCAGGAATGGAGCCCTGGAATCCATTTTGCGCCAACGAAAGGTAAACCAGGTTCTGTAATGTTCCAACAGAGGATGGAATATTTCCAATGAAACTGTTCATGGATAAATCAATGGTTGTTATGGCCCTTAGGTTTGTGATTTCAGGTGGTAGATAACCTCCAAGCGAATTTGCGGATGCATTGAATATCACAAGGTCTTTCAGTGTCCAGAAGCTTGGTGGTAAGACAAAGCTGAAATTATTGGAATTCAGGTAAAGAAATCTCAAGGAAGTATTATTTCCTATGCAGGATGGAACACGACCCGAAACATGATTCCTTTCCACACGCAATTCGCCAAGATTTTGTAAGTTACAAATTGTATCTGGCAGTATCCCTTCTATCTGGTTGTCATTTAGAAGCAACTGCTGAATGCTTTGTAATCCTTCAACTGTATTTGGAATAATTCCAGTTAAGTCATTGTAAGAGAGATCAATCTTGAAAACGTTACTCAGGTTACCGATTTCTGCTGGAATAGTACCGCTGATTTTGCATCCAGAGGCATCAAAGAAAGTGAGCGTTTTAGACAAGTTACCAATGGAAGCTGGGAGTACACCGTAGAAAGGATTTTGGCCTATCGAAACAGCAGTCAAGTTTTCGCAATTTGTCAATGAATCGATGATGCTAATTTCTGAAGATGAAAATTTGATCTTCAAGTAGTTTGCCCGAATGAATAGGTTTTCAAGGGATCTCAAACTTCCTAGGCTTTCTGGTAACAAACCTGTGAAACTGTTGTTACTCAGAAACAGATCAGTGAGTTTTGAAGCATTTGAGATGTAATCAGGGATAGTTCCGCTGAGGCTATTAACTTCTAGACTTAGTTCTTCAAGATTTGGAATCCCTGAGCCCATAGTCATAGGAAGGTTACCAGATAGATTGTTTTCTGAACATGAGATGACTTGTATTGTTGAAATGTTGAAAATACTTTCAGGAATGGAGCCATTTAACAAATTATCACCAAGTGACAACCATTGTAATCTTTGTAGATTGCCAATCTCAGCTGCTATTGACCCTGAAGAATTCATAATGCATTAAGACATGTTAATATTTAAAGTATTTATTCTACTGATGAACTTATTTTGATCAGGTCGAAAAGATATGACTTGAAAATTTCATCAGGAAGCCATGTTCTGTGCGGGCCGAGTTCATCTGCTTAGTTTAATTATCAAAGAAAAACATGTCTGAATGAGTTGTATTACTATCTTTTAAGGGAGGCAAACCAAAAACAAAAAAAAATTATACACATACCAGTTAAATGATTGCCACCAAGGCTTATTTCTACTAGCGAAGATAAGTTGCCGATGTCTCTTGGTATTGCTCCAGTAAATGCATTAGATGATAATATTAGACCCTCCAGGTTTGAGCATTTACCCAAACTTGCGGGAATCGGGCCATCAAGCTCATTATGGTGAAGGACCAAGCCTTCAAGCATTGGAAGATTAAAGCAAATATCTGTTGGCAGGTTTCCTGAAAATTTATTCTCTGCAAATGCTAAAAGCTTCAATGATGACAGGTTAAATATACCGGGCGGTATAGGACCAGTAAGCTGGTTAGAGTGTAAGTCCAGAACTTTCAACGAACGAAGATCAGCCAGTTCCCCTGGGATGTTCCCTGTCAGGACATTCTCTCCCAAATCTAGTTTCTCCAGTTTCGACATGTTTGAAACCGAAACAGGAATGTTGCCTGAAAATGCGTTACCCGAAAGACACAAGGACTGAAGATTTGATAAAGAGCTAAAGATCAATGGTGGAATCGGCCCACTAAAAATGTTATTGCTTAAATTAAGAAACTGCAATCCGCGCAACTGAGCTATCCCTTCAGGGAAATTTCCATGAAGAGAGTTGTAGCTCAGATCGAGAAAATTGAGAAAAGAAAGATTTCCCAAATCGGGAGGAATGCTACCGCTGAGGCCCAACATAGAGATATTCAATCTTGTAACTCGATTAATGCGAGGATCACAGACGACGCCGTCCCAGCTGCAGACAGATGATTCCGCAGTCCAATTCTTCTCCACAAAAATATTGTCAGGGCCAAAAGAAAGATGGGATTTCAATGCCAACAACGCGGATTTGTCTGTATCAAGGGTTTGTTGTAGAGCTAATGGCATGACAAAATGAATAGCCAAGACTGCAGCTGCAGAAAACAAGATAATACTCCCCATTAAGCTTATTATAACAAACTAAAGAACTAAACAGCCAGATGGAAGTAGTATTGCTGAAATATTGCATTTGTTAGGTTTATATAAGTTGTTCAACAACAATCAAGATATCATGTCTCTTACTGAACACGTTTGTATATGATACCACGTTTTAAAGCATTTTGCTTTTGCATTCGCTTTCACTGTCATCATTGTGGCTATGCTTTTGGACTAACTGAAGAGGATAGAAGAATGCTGCTGATCTATTGTATTATAAAACCCTTTTGAAACAAATGGCTTTGAATCCTGAAGACAAGCCGAGTTGCGATTAGACGAATATCACTTAGGACTAAATCAGTAGTTTAAGAATCGTTAAAGAACAGGATGAGAATGATATTCACAATTGGACAAATGAGGACATTTCACAAAATAAACTAATAAAATGCTGTGATGCATAGCGGCCGACTTACTTTCTTTAAAACTGGAAAGCATTCTATTTTAATCAACCAAGAAAGGGACATAATCGAATGGAATTTTATTTTTGGGATTTGTGAGGCTGTCCATACAGGCCAATTAGTACATCAAAAGAAAGGGCCATATGTCAATTGGAAAATCTGAGCCAGTAAGAGCATGAACTCGCATTGAAGAGCAAAGTTGCCAATTTTCAACATCATTTCCAAAAAAGACATCCAATAAGGTTTCCACCAACACATGTTAGATCAAAACTACACACATTTGACTGATTTTGCATACATAGAGTTATCAGCAATACATGTTAAAACATATTTACAATACTTCAGGGTATAGATTTATGTCTGTCGGATTTTAGATTTCTGTCACAATTTTGTGTAATAAGCAGACTTCTCAACTTCTTGAGTATTGGAACAACATCTTGCATGTTCATTCTTTCACCAGGTGTTGTTGCAGTACATTGCAATGCAAGCTCCATAATAGATGAAACACACTGCATTTTAGCCTCAAAATCTGATTCCTGCTCATCTGGATTGAACAAGTTGCGGTCAACAATCTGCACAATTTCATCTGGAAATGAATCTTCTATCCAGCTCCTCAAGGTTATATCACCAGTAAACATGTTATCACTAGGTTTCCTTCGAGTGAAAGTTTCCATCAACATGATCCCATAACTATAAACGTCGCACTTGGTGGAAACTAAGCCTTCAATTCCATACTCTGCACAGGTAATTTTAAGCATTCAAAACCATTTGTTGGCAATGGAGAAAGCCTAAAAGATAGGGCGAATGGGGGAACGAGGTCTTACCAGGCGCAATGTATCCCACTGTTCCAATGGTTTTGGTGCACTCAACTCCATCTCTAACACTTAATATTTTTGCAATGCCAAAATCACATAAATGTCCTACCATGCCTTTGTCGAGCAATACATTTCCCGGCTTCACATCACAGTGCACCACTGGAAAGTAGTAGTTGTTATGGAGATAATCCAGGGCAGAAGCCACATCAATCATTATGTCCAGCCTTTGCAAAATGCCTAGACAATAGTTGTGAGAATACAACCATCTTTCAAGGCTTCCATTGGGCATATACTCCAGCACTATTGCTCCAATATCCAAGTCCCTAAGGGTGCAACTTGCAATGAATTCAATCAAATTACGATGGCGAATTTTGCTTAATATGTCACATTCAGTGTGAAAAGTCACGCGGGCTCTTGCTATCTTGAGGTTGAATACCTTCGCTGCTGAATGCGTACCATCATTGAGTATACATTCGTAGAAAGTACTGTAACTCCCTCGAGCAAGCAAGTTACCTTCATTGAATCTGTTGGTAACAGTCACAAGCTCATGATAAGAAATGCTTTTGTGTTTTATATCTGGTGATGTAACGTTTTGGACTGCTGCTCTTTTCTTCATTCGACATCTGATCAACAGGATAGCCATAAAAATTGACGCAAGAAATGTTGGGAAAATCACAAGAAAGATGAGCATGATTAAACGGGTTCTTCTATTGGAGTGAATGATTGGGCAGGGAGGCACTTCGAACCGAGAATCTCCACAAAGGGCAGCATTTGACATAAATGAGGAACCTGTGAAGTTCTGGAAAGGGCCTTCGCTAGGAATTAGTCCACTTAATCTATTGAAGGAGACATTGAACAGTTTTAGGTCGCGAAGAGCCTCCAAGGACTGGGGAATTTCTCCAGTTAGCTTATTCTGAGACAAATCTAATAACTCCAAAGTCGGAATCTTGCAAAATGAATCGGGAATGGAGCCCTCGAGTTCATTCTGCCCCAAGGAAAGATGAGTCAGCTTCTCCAGTTTTCCAATAGTGGTTGGAATATTTCCGGTAAACCTGTTCACGGACAAATCAATGGATGTTATAACCTTCAGGTTTGCAATTTCAGGAGGTAGATGACCTGTAAGCGAATTCGCTGATGCATTGAACATCACAAGATCTTTCAATTTCCACAAACTTGGTGGCAGTCCAGAGCTGAAATTGTTGGAATCTACATAAACTTCTCTAAGAGAAGTAATATTTCCTATGCATGATGGTACAGGACCGGAAATTTGATTCCTTCCTAAATATAAGTCCCCAAGTTGCTGTAAGTTGCAGATTGTATCTGGGATTGTCCCCCCTATACGGTTGTCATTAAGAAACAACTGCTGAATTCTGATTAAGCCTTTAACTGTTTTTGGAATAAAGCCAGTTAAGTCGTTGTGAGAGAGATCAATCTTAAGAGTGGTACTGAGGTTACCGATTTCTGCTGGAATAGGCCCCATGATTTTGCATCCACTTGCATCGAAAAGAGTGACAGAGGTGGAGAAGTTACCAATGGAAGCTGGGAGTACACCGTACAATGGATTTTGACCAATCCAAACTTGAACTAAGTTTCTGCAATTTGTCAATGCAGTAATGATACTCAGCTCTGAAGATGAAGGTTTGATCTTCAATTTGTTTCCCCCTAGGAACAGATGTTGAAGGGATCTTAAATTTCCCAAGGTTTCAGGCATCAAGTCTGTGAACCCGTTATCAGCCAGGGATAAAGTAGTGAGTTTTGTAGCATTTGAGATGGAATTAGGGATAGTCCCCATAAGGATATTATCTGATAGAATCAGATTCATAAGGTTTGGAGTCCCTGAACCCAAATTAGTTGGAAGGTTGCCTGATAGCTTATTTCCCGGACAGGAAATGTGTTCCAGTGTTGAAATGTTGAATACACTTGCAGGTATAGAACCACTTAAGAGGTTGTCATCCAGCGATAACGTTTCCAACCTACGCAAATTACCAATCTCAGTTGGTATCGATCCTGAAGAATGTGTTATCCATGACAGACATGTTAACTATATATTGGCATAGATGCAAAACGTTTATCAAGCGTGAAAATATAAGACTGGAAAACTAGGCCAAGAAGCTAAGTTCAAACTGAAAGTGTTGGAGGTATTCAATGTGGCTGCTGAGAGAACATCTCATATAGCTTCTTAGTGTACCTAACTTTCTATCTTTTGTCTATCTGCTTAATTTAAGCATGCATGAGAGTAAGTATGAAAGAAACCAAGCACGCCAACTATCGTAAATTTGTGATTCATCTCAATCAAGAGGCAGAAATAGTACATACCTGTCAAATGATTGTCACCAATATCCAAATGCACTAGCATAGATAAGTTCCCAATTTCTCTCGGTATCTTTCCAGTGAATGCATTAAATGACAATGATAGAACCTCCAACTCTGCACTTCCATATGAATATGCCGGGATAGGACCATCAAATTCATTCTTGTTAAGCACCAGGACTTTAAGGAGAGAAAGATTGAAAAAACCAAGTGGTATAGGCCCACTAAGTTGGTTAGAATGCAGGCTTAGGACTGTCAAAGAATGGAGATCAGCTATCTCCCTCGGGATGTTCCCGGTTAACATATTACCACTCAAAACTAGAATCTCCAGTTTGGACATGTTGGAAATTGAGGAAGGAATGCTGCCTGAAAATGTGTTATTCGAAAGACACAAGGATCGAAGATTTGATAAAGAGCTAAATATCGATGGCGATATCACCCCTCTAAAACTGTTATTCCTTAAATCAAGATACTCTAATCTTGGCAACTGACCAATCCCTTCAGGGAAATCTCCATGAAGAAAGTTGTGACTCAGGTCAAGATAATTGAGAAAAGAAAGATTTCCCAAATGGGGAGGAATGGTACCAATGAGGCCCATCTTAGAGATGTTCAAACTCGAAACTCGATTAACGCTAGCGTCACAAACTACGCCTTTCCAGCTGCAAACAGATGATTCTGCAGTCCAATTCTTCTCCAGGACAATATTGTCAGCACCAAAAGAAAGATGAGACTTCAAAACCATCAATGCGGATTTATCTGTGCTGATGTCTTGAACTGGAAAAGCTAGTGACATAACACAATGAGTAATCAAGAATGTGACTGCAGTAAATAGGACAGCACTGCCCATTAATCTAACCTACAAAACCCAAGAAAGTAAAATCTCTAGGTTGAAGAAGTACCAAGGATGGCTATTCTTCCATAATGAAGATATACACATTTGTTTGCTTTCTATAATTTGTTGGAATCTTGAATTTAACTCCATGTTGTTTAACATGTTACCCAAGTTTTCGTTATGCTTTTGCTTTCGCTTTCATCATTCGGCTGATATATTGTTATAAGTAAAAAAACCCTTTTGAAACAAATGGCTTTTCAATCCTGAAAAGAAGCCGCCGAGTGGGCAAAATGTTCATCATTTTGGACTAATCAGTGGATTTTCCTACTTCAATCATAAGAGGCAAAAGATTACGAATGAAACATAAGTCACAAATTAGAAGAGGACAAATGAAGTGTGTATGGTTGGTTGTTAATTATCACTATTTAGACGTCTTTTACACAAATGACAAGATAAAAGTTGCAATCTTTCTGTAATATTCTGGGATATGAAAAACAATGCCGACCAGGGTTCTTTACAAAAATAAATAAATAAATATTGTACTGCCGTAGTACCCACCGGAGTTTTAAGCCGGCCAGCTTTGGCGTTGGCGATGGCGATAGCAGAGGTTGCTCGAACTGCACCGTTGACAACCGCTCTAATCCCGATTAACCATCGGAAACCGCCGGTGCCCAATTCTATTTACTATTTTTCAAGGCCGCTATGCCGGAATATCTCTGTTAATGCCTCGTCGGAATCAGTATCGAGAAGAACAGCTACAAGAAGAGCTGTATCTTTCTTGCTCGCTGCTTCATTCTCTGGCCTAACAAAGTTCTTGATTGACCCTCTTCCTTGTTGGTCCGAACCCACAACAAAACAAGGCTTCGTGGAGCTGCCGGATTCTGGTGGGGTCAAGGCTTTGGACCTTCGAATTGGGGATGGAGATATCCCTGTTGATGGTGATAAGGTAATTCCATCCGGCCTTTCAATAGATTTTCTTTTCTCGGTCTATTCTGTGACTGTATGTGTGTGTGTAATATTCTCCTGCTAGTACATGATTACTGCATAATGGACAAACCCCTGGTACATCTGCTTCATTTGCTCTGTTAAGGTGACAAGAATGGAGGAAACTGAAAAACTTGCTGCTTTTGCAGTCCGTGATCAGACTTTTATACTTTAGTCCAGCTTTGGGGGATGGAAAAACAAACTATCAAATCAGTTAAGATGATGTACTTCTAATGTTTATGTTGACACGTCAAAGTTCAGGGGGCAGGGGGGAAAGGAGTGGATTGTGAAGAGCCTGGGCCATGAAACTTGGGCTTAGTTCAGTTCATTTCTGCCAGAAAAGTTCACATTTGGGGTGGGCATTCTGTTGAGTTGAGTGTAGCCATGGCTAACAAGTTTTTATGAAACATAGTTTGCCCTTAGGTATGAGGCATCGGAATGTGATGTTTTGTGTAAACATATGATGAACCATGGCAATGTTGATTAGTAAGAACTTTTGCTTGAATTGAATCCTTACAGTTTCTTATTGATGTAACAATTCATCTCCATTGAGCCACTTCTTGTTATTTTGGATCCAAGAAAAAATTTTTAGTCTTTCTGCAATATCGAGGTTCTTACTTTAATCTGCAATTCTGCCTCTGGTAAAAGTTATCTTATGTAATAGGGTCTGCAATGATTATGATATCTTGGATTCGTTGGCAATACAAAATCATCTAATGTGTTACTGGTGAAAATCAGTTGCTGTTTTGTTTTGTTCTTGGTCTGGAGTAGATTTGCTGATAGGGTTTCATATCAAGTTGAGTTGAAGATTTCCATTGATACCGTAAATTGATGCAGTGCTATTGGTCGTGTTGATATCTATGTCGTCTTTCCACTTAAAATGCATACATGGCTTGCAAAAAATCAAAGCGAATTAACTCATTTACCCTCTTGTTTGAGAAAAGGTCGCAATTCATTACTATGGAAGGTTGGCTGCAAAACAAGGATGGCGGTTTGATTCTACATATGATCACAAAGATGCAACTGGTGAACCCATTCCTTTTGAATTCATTCTCGGCTCAGGAAAAGTAAGTTTTTGAAAGCATTCCAGTTGGCTGCCATACATAATGATTAGCATTATGGACTGAAATTCAGTTCTAACTTTTAGCATTATGGACTAAGTAGGAGTACTCTCAGTTTCTTTCGTTAGAGAGAAAAAAGAGAAAGAGGGCATTAACTTCAGATCTCGTTACATGAAGACCTGCACTTATTAAATCCTGTAGGTCATATCTGGAATTGAATCAGCAGTCAGATCCATGAGAACTGGAGGTATTCGTCGTATCATTGTTCCACCTTCTGAAGGCTATCAGAGTACATTTCAAGAACCGATTCCACCTAATGTATGTGATTCCATTGGGGTAACTCATTCATATTTCTTTGTTTGAAAACTCCTAAATGAAACCATCTAACCTGCAGAAATTTGATTTCATTTCCTTTAAGTACCACAAACTACAATGCCTGCTTGCTTTTCTGTACCAAATTTATACCTCAAATTTGGTTTTATCGTTGCCTGCAGTTTTTTGATAGACAGAGATTATTTACAACCATTTTCAATCCAACCCGTCTTGCTAATGGAGAAGGCTCAACATTGGGGACACTCATATTTGATATTGAGTTGGTCAGCTTGAGACACTGAGAATCTTGTGAATCAGGTGTATTTAATCCTCTCTCAAATTATATCCCGGTGCAATGAAATATTTGTGGTGTATGGTAGCCTTTAGGTTCTCTTAGCAGGATTTCATTATCTTTGTCAATTTTTTAAGTACCTGAGCTGAGGCCGTTGAGATTCCTTTAAAGCTTTCTGGTGACAGTTTGGCATTGATAGGTTTGGAAGTCCTCAAAATGCACATGGACTAAGACAACACCATTGCCTTCCATGAATCCGTAGCAGAATGAAGGCGAATGTAGAGATTAGGTTGGGAAGATGAAAACGAAGCTCTTTCAATTCCATATTGCATAGTTTTTGAAATCAAAGAGCAGATTCATCTGAACCAGCTGTAGCTGTTGTTTAGATAGTACCAAGCTTAATAGACTACTTCCTTTAGAACATTTGTACATGCAATGAAGATTATTCTTGCCTTAAAATATGACCTCCTTGTGTTGTGACGACTGAAGGTCATGATCCTCCAATTTGAATTTGAAATGAATATGCAACAAAAGAAACATTTGAAAATCTTGGTTGATGGACTGATACTTGTAGAGTTTTGATGAATGCCTTTTTGAAGTTGCTTTTGGCTTTTGGCCACTCTGTAAAAGATTTCTGCCCTGAATAAGGTTCATATGCTTCGGTAGAAATTCCTTTATGTAGGATATGATGGATTAATTTTGTCCCTGTATTTGCTCATATTGCCACCATCAACCATTCTTCTAAAATGTAAAATCCATCTCTTCTTTTCTAAAACCATAGCCAAGTAGAGTAAAATGCAAAAGGTTTTTTTTTTGGGAGAGATCAGCACAATAAAAATTAAGGACATAACGAATTTCTTATTTTTCTTATTAGGGTGCGTTCAGAGCGGGAATATTTCTAGTCAAGAAAAGTCAATATTAATCATTTTTCAATTTTCTTTACAATGTTTAGAAATGTTAGGATTTATAATCTTTTTCTCATTACGGTGTTCTTTTTGGCTCAATACGCAGTGGAAAAATGAAAAAAAAAAAAATCAATAAACTTAAAATTTTCCTTAGAACTAACATTAAAAAAATCAAAATGAAAAACATTTATTTCATAAATCACTTATAAAACCAAATATAACTATACGTATCATAATGTAAAATAATGTAATCGTGAAATTTGGTTGTTTGACCAAACAAAAATTAAAATCGATTTATTAAACAAAATTGAAATGTTGAGACATCAAAATTTAGTGTATTCAAATAACTCAAACATTAAAAAAAAAAAAAAAATCTTAAAACCATATTGAAAGAGAAAAGTTATGTCAAAGTCTAATAAAATAATTTGACTAATCTTCACATACGTTTTAATTAAGCACTTCACAACGAAACAAACAAAACAAATTCTTAAGTTGTGGCTGTCGAATCATATCCAATTTACTTTTCCATCAATTTGTCCAATATGTTCACTGTTGAACTCATCATCAATAGGGGTATTTTTGGCATTTTTCATTTTTTAAAACCAGGATTTGAACTTTCAGCCGGTCAGTTAAAAAATGCATTGCATTGTTTTAAAATGCATTATTTGTCCTTCACGTTTTTTGAAATATAAATTTCTTATCCTTCACATCTTTACCGTAAATCTTTTATTTTTTCTTTTTTGTCCTTTGATACGTTTAATTGGCAAAATTGTTCCCAAAGATAAGTTTACTTGTCCCAAACCTTAAGATGACAAGTAAGTACAAATGCAAACTACTAATGAATAGTAATTACCTAATAATATAAACTTTTAGGATTTTCCTCATCATTGTATGAGCACCGTTCCCTACTATATCTAAATAACTCAATGAAAATACAAGATTTCTTATTAACAATCATTTGCATTATGATAGTTTCACCCTTTAGGAAAGTTGTTAATTAATTGTTACACTTGTTCAACGGAAAAATTGGTGTTCATACCCAAAATTTTGGGGCCATCGTTAATTCTACCTTAATGATTTTCGGTTAGCCACTTTTGGCCTTACTGTTTGAAATTTTTGTCAATTCTGCCCAATTGGCCAATTTTCGTTAATCTTAACGGATTTTTGTTAGTTTTTAACCAAAAATACCCCGATAGTTTCAGAAAATTATAAAAATAACTCAAAAAATTTAAAAATAATGAAATAGTCCTTTTTTATTCATTTTTTATTTCATTTTATTTCTCTTTATTACTTTTCATAACCATCAAAATATACTATATGATCTTTTAAAAATAATTATTTCTTTTCAAAATTTATTTTTCACGTGCAACACATGTGATTTTAAAATTTTTAATTAATTTTTTTATTCGTTATTTTTAAGATTATTTTTCTTATATTTCCTGACTTGTATATATTGATACTAGTATAATTATTAAATTTCAATAATTAATTTACCTTTTTATTTCATAGATTATAAAAAAAATTAACATAAAGGAAATGAGGAAGAAAAAATCAAGTTTAAATAAACATGAAAATTAATTGTTTATCATTCTAAACAAAAATCAAAAAAAAATTTAAAAAAATCTGCAAAGACAAGTCTTTCCTCCTTGATTTCCTCTAATTCATAGTTGAGTTACGAAACATAAATTTTACTTGATCTAGCCTAAAATAATTATTTTCTTCGTTATAATAAAAACAATATAAAAATTAGACAATCATTTGAAACATGAAAAAGTGCTACTTTAATTAGTCCACAACGATACATTCCTGTAAATTTGATTATCACTATTTTTATTCTTTTTTAATAATTTCTTTTTGTCAATTGGCAGTTGCTAAACTACATAAGCAATTATTGAATTTCATGGAAAAAGATAAATACGTGAATTTTTTAGCAAAATAATTACTAAATTATACTACCTGATTTGTATTATTTTTATTACAAAGAACAAAATAATTATTTTAGGTTAGATTAAGAAAAATTTATGTTTCATAACTTACCTATGAAAAAGAGGAAGTTAAGAAGAAAAGACTTGTCTTTGCACTTTTTTTGCTTTTTGTTTAGAATTATAAACTATTAATTTTCATGTTTATTTCAACTTAAGTTTTTCTTCCTCATTTTCTTTATGTTTAAAGTTTTTATAATCAATGAAATAAAACGGTAAATTAATAATTAAAATTTAATAATTATTCTAGTATCAATATATACAAGTAAGGGAATATAAGAAAAAGAATCTCAAAAATAGACGAATAAAAAAATTAAAATTTAAAAATTTAAAATGACAAAATTACCCCTCAACCCAAATCACATGTGTTGCACATGAAAAATAAATTTTGAAAATAAATAATTATTTTCTTAAAGATCATATAATATATTTTGATGGTTATGAAAAGTAATAAAGAGAAATAAAATGAAATAAAAAAATGAATAAAAGGGACTTTTTTATTTTTATATCTTTTAGGGTTATTTTTTAATTTTTTAAAACTATCGGGGTATTTTTGGTTAAAAACTAACGGAAATTCATTAAGATTAACGGAAATTGGACCAATTGGGTGGAATTGACAAAAATTTCAAACAGTAGAGACAAAATTGACTAACCGAAAATCATTATGGTAGAATTGACGATGGGCCCAAAGCTTTGGGTATGAACACTAATTTTTCCCTTGTTTAACTATTTAGATAAGTCAAAGTGGCCTTATTGGAAAGACAATGACAATGATTCCACGTGCACAACAATCGACTACGACAACTTGGTTACACGTATGAACCATTTCAACTACGACGACAACGGAGCTCTTTTTCCATCCATTGGAGAGCTAAGTTGATAGTCCTTATGCACTCTTGAATTTTCAATAACATAAAATATACAAAAAAAAATTGTAAGGAATGATATGATTAAAATTTAAACTCTTTAGCTATTTTTAAATGGATAAACTCTAGGGTTCGCAGAAACATGGAAGGATGTGGCTTAATCGACATTGTTGTTTGTATATTTTCCTTGTAATTCTTCCTTGTACGCATCTCATGTTGCTAAATGGTGCCGTTCAATGATGCCTCGTGTAGGAAGTTGCATTAAATCGATTTTATTATCACGACAATGGCAACACTTATGAGTAAGATGAGAAGTCTTGATGCAGCTGAATCATCAAAACATTATCAAGTTGTATGGTGGTTGTGTAAAGAGAAAAAAAGACGATCTTAGCCAGAAGAAAAGATTCCTAGTTTTTGAGTATGCATCAAATGGCTCAGTAAGAGGCTTAACTGGAAATGGTAAGCAAATTTTTATATTGACCTGTGAATAGAATTACATATTTTCATTGCCTTTTCTTATGTTATCTTTTGTTTCTTTTTTTCTCCTTTGGATGAGCTATCCTTTGATTAAATATGTCCGTTCAGAAGAAAAAAAAAAAAGCAAATAGATTGTAAAAAATGGATCAAGATAGCTACTGGAGTCGCTAAAGGTTTAATGCACATGCATATAGAACCACAAGTAATGCACCTCGATCTAAAACTAGATTCTGTTTGATGATAACTATAACCCGGAAATTACAGATTTTGGGTTGGCCCAATAAGTTCCCAAGAGATGTTACAAAGACACTCGTGTAGAGATCGTTGGACATCCCGTATACATTGATCAATGTATACAGATACATGCCAAATAAGCTCTAAATGTGACATCTACTCAATGGGTTTTGTCATTCTAGAGACCATTTCTGGTAAGAAAGCATGTACGCTGATGAAGCTGGATGAAGCTATGGTACAATGGGTGAGTAACCTTCTAAGACTTGTCTCTTTAATGGTTTGTTTAGTTTCATTTATATGTGGTTCGACCATGATCTTCATTTAAATATTGTGTACTTGTGTTTGATTGTATATAACTATTGTAGACTAAATCAATCATGGAAGATGAGAAAAAATGGAATCAGTTACTGGATCAATAATTAGCAGTCGAGTATTCACATGAAAACTTCTACCAACTTTTTGGTTCAATGAAAGATTTTTTCAAGAAAACCTAGGAAGAACGCCAAAAATGCAAGTCAAATGTTCTCTAAATTGGGTAAAATTTTCACCCACAGCCTTTATAAAACAAAATGAGAAAATATATATATATATATATATACATTATTATTATAACTAGCCAATTGTTATAGTGTAAAAGTTTAACTTTACTTCTAATATCGAAAGAAAAAAGATAGTTAGCTAGGTAGATTAAGACCAATGCAGTGGAAGTCATTATTTGTGCTATAGATTGGTTGATATCAATGTTTCCAAAGTCGAGATTCTACACAGAATCATTTTGAATTATAGAATCAGAGTTGTATTGTTGGTTTAATAGTTATTATCATAAAGATCAAGTACGCATTTTAAAAATGCTAACTGATTGACATGTCTCTTGCAAATGTGATGATTTGTCTAAATAAGTATAACAATACATAAATACTCAAATTCAAACTCCTATAGTTAAGTTAAAACTTAAAAAAAACCTCACTGCCATGTCTTTTAAATCAAATCACATACAGTGAAATGTCATTAAATTAATAATTTCAAATAATTAATAATTTTTTAATTAGGGACTAGTACAAAAAGTGAGTGAAATTGATAAATAATAAGATAAAAATATTTCAGAAACTTCTTTATATATCTATAGATACCGACAATATTATAAAGAAATATAATCACCCTAAATCAAAATAATAATAATAATAAAATAAATATTTAGTAAATTATGAACAATAGATGATTCTTTTTTCTTTAAGGAAACTATTTAAATTTAAAATTTAGTAATTTATTAATTATTTAAAATTTTTTGTTGTATTATGGAAACTAAACTGAAAGAACACATCTAAAATCAACTACAAGTTCACCACAAGATTACTCACCATCATGATCATTATAATCACCGTCGTTATTGAAACTTTTGTTCTATCTCGTAAGATTTTCTTGAACTTCATTATCAATAGATAAACACTTATCACTGTCCATAGAAATGTGATTCATATGCACCCTCGTCTGTGTCGCTGGGATGACTAGTGTTAAAATATTCACCTCTCATCATTTGAATATCATATTGACTAATAAAATTCACATCATCTTCATCTCATTCTCACATTAATCTTTATTTTCATCATCCTCACTGGAAAATAATTGTCCCAGCAAAATACTTTCAACAAACTTTCACGAATCTTACGTGGATGGGTGGATCGGACCAACTACATGTCCCACTACGTTTGCTTTTCTCTCTCTTTGTTTCTTTTGTATTTTATATTTGAAAAAGATAACTTGAAAAACCTGCATATCTTGTACTCTATTAGTTCTTCATCTCATTCTTCAAAGTCTCAGCCAAAATTCCCAATAGTAACAGAGTTGCAGATCTATTTCTTTTGTTCTTTTATTTTATGAATTCAATTTCTTGAACTTATTTATGAAGAGATAAATATGAGATGAACCTATCTCTCCTAGTTTCCTTCAATGACTTAGAATGTGATGAGAACTTCTGCCATTATCAAATCTGAGTGTTCATCCCTTATAATGAGAGCAATTGATGGTGTGTAGAGGTAGCAGAGGATAAATGTGAAAATTAATGTTGCGAATTTTGTTGTGGCCATTAGGTAGAATCAAGATTGATTAGACAGCCATGAAATCCTAACATATTTGATTGCTGCTCTTGTAAGAGCAACCTCAATGGTTGAACCAAAATAGGAAATCTCTCAGTGTCACGTTATTGGGCCACTACACTATACTCTCATCTATTATTTTTTCCAACGGTTGAACCAATAAAAAATGAGTCCCATGTTATCTTTTTGTTTTTCTATTCCGGCACAACTCTTTTACTTCCTGTATTTTTCAAAAAAAAAAATTCTTGTATTGTGGGACCATCTGTCATAAAACTTGACCATTTTTTGGAGTTTGTCTGCACTATTCCGTATAGCTTCTCTACACCCACTCCAATAGCTAGTCCACTAAAAAGGCGGTATAGTGTCTGACACTACACCACCATTGTGATTGCTCTAATATTGGTGAATAACAAAAGGAATCTTTCTGAATACCAGTCTTGCATCAATAAACAACACAAAATCATGCTGCAACTGGATATTCGAATTTTCCATCAGTTCACTCCCATCCTAACACTCCAAAGCATGACTCATCTAAATGGGCTCAAATAGATGGAATCTTAAGCATCTTCTTTACGCCTATTAAACTCAAAACCGGGAAGAACATTATGGTTCTCCTTTTTAATTTCACTATGAATAAAACATTAAAACCCAACCAGATTTTGCTTTGAGATTGATCATGCTTATATATTTTTCCAAGGGACAAAATGCATTTTTGGTCCCGAAACTTTGGGGGGTCACAACTTCGAGTAACTATTAATTTTTTACGGACGAAATTGGTCGCCGTCTTTTCATTTATTCATCTATTTTAGTCAATTTAACAGAATTTATCCTCAACTAACGGTCAACTCTTTACTCCGTTAGATTTTTTTAATTTTTTATTAATTTTTTAACTGAACTAGGGCCCACAATGTATTTTCAAACAACAAAATCAGTCCCTTGGTATCTTTTTTTTTCAATAATTTTAGTCACTGTAACGAAATTTTTAAAAATTTAATGGCCCAATTCATTTTTCCGTTAAAATTTTTTATTGATTTCATAATGGATTGTGGGTCCCACAAGTCTTTGATTAGAATTTTTTTAAAAAAATAAAATTAAAGGAATGATAAAACTATTTCCGGCCAACTCTGAATATGCTCTGTTCATAACTCTGTTCATCCTTGGATTTCATGATTTTTTCTGAATTTTTTTACCAAATCACATAAACTTAGATAAAAACCGTGAAATTCAAGAATGAACAGAAAATATTCAGAGATAGACCACTGCGACAAGAATAAAATGTTCGAAACAAATTCAAAATTAAGAAAACAACATAAGGAGACAATGAAAAGGGTGACTCAAACAAAGAAAGCTGTTAATTTAATTGGATTACCTGAGAAATAAATTCTAAAAGAAACTCCCCCCTCCCACCCTCCAACAACGAAAACGATCAATAATTTAACTGGCCGGAAATAGTTTCATCATTCCTTTAGTTTATTTTTAAAAAAAAAAAATTATGATCAAAGCCTTAAGATTCACAATCCATTAAGAAATCCATACAAAATAAAGGTTTAACGAAAAAATGAATTGGGCAATTATATTTTTGAAAATTCCATTAAAATGACTAAAATTGTTGAAAAAAAATATTAGGGGACTGATTTTGTTGTTTGAAAATGCACTGTGGGTCCCAGTTTTGTTAAAAATTAATAAAAAATTTAAAAATCTTAACGGAGAAAAGAATTGACCTATAGTTGACCAAAAATTCCGTTAAATTGACTAAAATTGATGAATAAATGAAAAGACGGTGACCAATTTCATGAGTCAAAAATTAATGGTGACTCGAAGTTGTGAACCCCCAAAGTTTAGGGAGCAAAAGTGCGTTTTGTCCCTTGGAAAAATCCAACTACAAAAATAATAATGTTTATCATAGATATAAAATGTATGATATGATTTTTATGGCCAAATAAAATACATATAATTTTTTTTTTTGAATGGCTAGATATGCATAATAGTACTTCAATAAACGGGGTCACTTGGAAAGGAATTATTACAAGGCAAAAGATCTCATATACCATTATCCTATATCATTTACGAACATTTCGACATGTGGTCCCAATGGGTTCATCCAAAGATGGGTTAGAGTATTTAAAATTTTTAAACAAGGAAAGTAGTGATTAAATAGAAAAATGTAAAAATATTATAGTTGGGTTAGAAAGTGTTGTAGGATTGTCATGTAAGATATGCTTAATCTTAGTAAAAGATAAATGGGAACGGGACTAAAAATGATAAAATAAAACTTCAGTCGAAGAATTACATTTACGAGGACTAATAGTGATGTAATAGTGATTAAAATCGTTGGAAGAAATCTTATTGGTTTTTATCCCTTTTTTTTTTTTTTGTCAAAATTGGTGGAGTCAATTGCGGAGGAAATTAATAAAATATTATGCATTTAACAGAGAACCGTTAATTCCCTCCAAATTTCTTTAAAAAGATCAAAACTGGTAAGAAAAAACTTTATGTGGACTAATTTTGTTAAGAAAAATTTTTTGGTGACTCGGTCTGGCTACCCCTTAAACTTTGGGGACTGAAACTGTGATTTGTCCATTTTAGAATTAATAAAAAATACTAATCTTATTTGACAAGGGTTTAATTCGAACCAAAGTTGCATCATTACATTCTTATCCTTGCTAAAGCCTAAAACCACTCCAGAGTTCAGTTGACGTCTCGCCTGCTCAATCACCTTCCTCCCTGAAGTGCTTGCGCTTTCTTCATTTCGGTTTCCAAGAAATTCTGAGGTTAAATTTCAATTAATCTTGAAGAGAATGTCAATTTCTTTTCAGTTGAGTGGTTTGATTTAGTAATCTGATAGGAATTCGTATTAGTATGCTTCGCAAAAGTTTATCAAATTATGGTGTTGTCTGGGTTTGCCAGACTCTTTGTTGTATTCTTCGTCAATTTGTACCGAGCTCTTGTATGAAAGGAAGCCCCTTTTTTTTTAATAAATATGTGCATATTCTCTGTTACTTGTTAATGTCACCGGAATCCCGATTTCTTCAACTAGTTGCTTCTTGTTTGTGTTTGATTGAATGGATTCTTTTTCATTTCAATTGTAATAATGTCGCTGAAACCCCATGATATGTTGCATAAGCTCATGAAATGGACAAATTTGCTCTACATAATCCAGTTTCAGTACTTGATGTGGATAAATTTATACTGTGTTGATAACATTTAAAGGCCAAGTGTTGAGTGGTCTGAAATACTCTTCTTTCTGCCCCAGTAGGAAGGGGATTTTGAAGGAGAATGGATCAATCTGGGAGTAAAAATGATGCTGCAGCTTTACCTAGTCCAGATTCTCAGAAGAACAAACCGAAGAGGAAGATACCGAGTCCGAGAGAGCTTGTAGCACAATATGAGTCCCGAGGCATGGATACCCAGGAAGCCTCCTTTAAAGTTATTGAGGATCTCCAGAATGCACTATTCAGAACCATGCTTTCGAATCGAAAAGACCGAAAAAGTCCTCCTGGGCAGTCTCCTGATATATCGAGGAAGCTGGATGTGATCAATGGGCGTCTTCTTCAGCTTGATATGAAGGTTGATTCTAAGCCAGGCTACCCACAAATGCTGGCTATTGGGGTAACATCTGGTGCCATTGTCGGTGCTGTTGCCAAAGGTGCTTCCGAGATTTGGGCTGCTATTCAGCGTACTACAAGCACAACCAATTGATTGTCTTACTAACTCTAGCTAGCTGAAAGTAGTTGACATATTAGCCGAGCTTCTCAATTAAGTGCGAGATTCAAATGTCATCATCTCTTGAACTTGTGATGAATTTCCTCTCAATATAAGTTTTGTTCTGGTCTTAAATGATTTATTGGTTACGGTGTGTATGCATACTGCTGAGTGCTGAGTTTTCAATTGTATCAATCTCTTTGGGGTATGTTCTTGTCTGTGAATATAAACTAGGGAGATCATGAGGAAAAGGTTCCTTCTTGTCCCATCTTTAAAGGTTTCGAATGTGTTGTTTTCAAGATCAAGTCATATGTGCTTCAATTGCTGAAAACAGGTGTTCCTGCTCACGTTCTGTTGATCCAGTTTCTTGTTTTTCACCTGTTTATTCAATGTACTGTACCCTCCTAGAGATGTAACTTTTCTGAGGATTCATTTCCTAATATGAATCAGTGGTCTGTTGTCATCAAAGGGTTGCAAGACACTCATTGACAAGTAGATACATTAGGCTCTCTTTTCTTGTGTATGTTTCTGAGATAAGCAGAAGAGTTGTTCTGTTAAAGCTAATGCTAGGAAGCTTGATGAATGCTTGAGCCATCATCTTCTGATGAAATCTTTTGCTTCAGTTCCCTTGTGAAAGCATCTAAGCTACAGGAAAATAAGGTACAGTTTGGAGAAAACCATTTTGCAACCTGTTATGGGAGATGTAAACGCTCACTGGGGGCATTAACATCAATGGACAAGGAGTCAGGACATGACCATTGGGGGTTTCATTTTTCGATTTATCCTATTGCGTTCCATTTCTAACAGTTTTTGCCGGCCTAAGTAGTGTTTTTTTTGTTGGAGACTAGGAGTGGCGATTTGTGACATAAACAAAAAAATATATATAACATGAACTTAATTAAGAAAATCTTAACGCGATATAAACGTCTACATCCTAAATATATATTATCTCTGTTCTAAAAAGTTAGTACACATTAAATTTTTAAATTTATAATAAAAATATTACAAAACTCAAAACTCAATATTAACTATTTTTTTGGGATAGAAAGGATAATATAATTAAATTATGAAAACCTTAATGTGATAGTATACACTGTTTATGTTGTAATTAGAATTTTTCTAACGCGCAACCAGTTCAGTATTTGAGTATTTTGAAAATCATTTATACCTCTAGTATATAGTAAATGCTGAATTTTAAGATAATGGAATAAAGAAACACACTAAAAGAAGAATGTTCACATATAATGTACCAAATTCTGCTTCAATGTAGTTATAGATGAGACTTTAGCACGTAATTTAGAATAATTAATCCCTATGAAAGGGGAAAAAACAGAGATAAAAATTTTTCTTACTTTGGTTAAAACAGACTCCCAATCTTTAATAACTCAAACTTTAGATAATCTAACCTATTTTTAAGAAGCACACGAAGAATAAAAATCAGAAGATTTTGGGGAAGGGGAAAATTTGTGGGGAAGGAAGAGATGAAGAGCGACCGAAAAAATTGACAGTAAAAATGGACAAAAAAATGACATTTTAATTGTTAACATCGGATAATAACCGCCGTCGTTTAGCCCGCCACATTAATTAGGTTATTTCTCTCGACTAATAACATATTGGGTTGGCAAAAAAAGAAAAATAACTTTATTAATTTACCGTTATAGCCTTGTTTTAAATTGCTGATGTCATGTTAATATATTAACCAATCAAAAGGCTCAATTTAAAATTGATGATGCCATGTGAACTAATGGACCCATCAGAATTCTTAATTTAATTTCCCGACCAATAGCGTTTAAGATTCTAAACTCATTAAGAGGCTTTTACTTATGTAGACTAACATGAACACGATATGAAAAATGAAAATCACAATTTGTATTTGCAGTAATACTTGGCTCTGTTAGGTAGAAACAATCATTTATATCTAGACCTAACACAATGTTACTTCTTTTTTTATTCTCTATAATTTCGGCAAGCTTTTGGCATAATTTCTTAAAACCCGTTTTTGCTAGTATGAAATATAGTGCATAACGTCACTTTTAAAAGGGGGAAAAAAGTGAAAACATCTTATTACAGTATTACTTTATATGTTTTTGGATTTTTAACTTGCAAATCTTTATTTCTTTTCTTATTAAAAAAAATTGATATTAATAGTTGATAATCCGCCCTTTGCGTTTAAAAACAGCAATAATTGAAAATTCAAAAAGCAACCGAAAATAAACCCCAAAACCCAACCCAGGGCGGTCCCACCAGGCCAACTCAACAATTTCTCAGAACCCTTTCCCTCAATTTAAATACGCTTTTTATTCCACCCAGTCCACCCCCACTTTCTCTCTCTATAAAAATACACTCCCAAATGCTAGAGAGAGAAAACCAACAACAGTACGGTCTTTCAACTCCTTTGATTCATCGCTAAGCAAACTCAAAATACCTAACGAGCCGGAGATCGGGGAGGATTTGATCGGATAATCTGTTTTTTTACTGCTTTCCTGCGATTGATTAAGGATGTCTGGGCCGAAGTCGACGTTGATCTACAGTTTCGTGGCGCGGGGGACGGTGGTGTTGGCAGAGCACACCGATTTCAGCGGCAACTTCAACTCCATCGCCTATCAGTGTCTCCAGAAGCTTCCGGCTTCCAGCGTCAATAACAAGTTCACCTTCAATTGCGACGGCCACACTTTTAATTACCTGGTTGACAACGGCTTCAGTAAGTTTTTTTTGTTATTGGCGCTAATTTTTTTGACTGATTTTTCTTAACCGAGATTTATTGTTTATTTGTGCATTTTGAAATGTCTTAATAGTTTAAATATATTCAAATTTGAGATGTTGTCGCCAGTTCGTTCTGGCTGTTTGAAATTGTTGGGAAATGAAAAATGTATTTACTGATGAATGTTGCCTTACTGTAAGATGAGACAAAGATGAAATAAATTATTTGAGCGTTGGGGAATTCGAAGGGTCTCTTGATTCTTCCTTGTTTTTTGGCCTTGTATTTTCCGTTATCTACAAGGAATTACTTTTGTATGTACTTTGTTCTTATATTCAGACTGTATGCTTAGTTAAATTTTGGTTTCTTCCTGTTTCGTTGTTGTTGATATACCTATGTTGGTTTGGAATAATGAGTTTGAAATTTGTTTATCTTCCGCTCTAGTTTAGATCATTATTATCTTGTGGTGTAAACCGAGAGAGATTTTTCAAATTCAGTTTGTGTTGAACTATATATTTCCTGGTAAAGAGTTAGTAATTAGTATTGAAATGATATGGAAAGCTACAATCACTTTCCATACTAGTGTGAATGGGAACAACATCTTTCTCTGAAAGTGTAGAGATGAGATGCTATCTTGAATCTATAGCGCTTTGTTGTGTTGTGAATGCTGTTTCTCTCTGTACGTGTCTATGCAGAACTGCATTTAGTTTCGTATCTATTGGTGTGAATTTTAACTGGTATCCCAGTTCTTGTACTTTTTTCTCTTAGCTTCAAAATGTGTATCAAACTTATTCATATATAGGTTGATTTTGGAGAAACTCTCCTGCATTTTTACCGTTTTGCAAATTGTTCTAAATACGTTTTGTTTATAAGCTTCTCATCATTATGTCTTCTAGTGTTTTGAGTTCTGCTTGTTTTATTCGAGTCTTCTAGAGCTCAAGGTAGTGTCTGATGACAAATTATGCACGGTAGTCTTTGGTTCCTCGTGTGCCATCTGGTTGGCTCTGAGTATAAAAACTCTCTTGTTATGCTTTTTGCATATTTCTGTCTCTGGTCCTGTGCTCATTGGATTAACCAATCCTCCTTTTGTTTGCTCCAAACCTGTTATTTGTCTGTCACTTTTTTTTTATGATGTTTTCAAATTGGTACTCAGTGTGGTTCAGAGTAATGTGTTAGGCTTTATTTTTTATGATCTAGGTTTTTTTTTTGGTTTAAGATCGAGCTTACGAAATCAAAATTATTATTATTATTTTTAACTGGAGATGAATGAGAAACTGAATATTGCTTTAGAACAACACTAATTGGTTCTGCAGCACTTCATTGACTTCCATGCAGTAATTATTTGATTGGGATCTGTGCTGATTTCAGCAAGCAAACTCTCAAAAAAGTTATTATTATGATAGCCAGTTATTATGCAGAGAGATATTTTTTTTTTATCACTGCTCTTGAAGATTCTCCTAAAATTCTGAGTCTGGAAAACCTGTCGTGATGAAATATAAACTTGTTCTTTATAGCTTATTGTGTGGTAGCCGAAGAATCAGCTGGAAGACAGGTCCCAATTGCTTTTCTGGAGCGTATTAAGGATGATTTTGTTTCAAAGTATGGGGGTGGGAAGGCTGCAACTGCACCAGCTAATGGACTTAACAGAGAATTTGGGTATATTAGTTTGATGATTTATATACAACCACATATCAGAATATTGGGTGCAAATGAACTTAATCAAAATGTAATTGTTTTGCAGCCCTAAGTTGAAGGAACACATGAAGTATTGTGTTGAACATCCGGAGGAGATTAGCAAACTTGCAAAAGTCAAAGCTCAGGTTTCAGAAGTTAAAGGGGTTATGATGGAGAATATTGAGAAGGTAGTGAAAATGCATATTCTTCTTCTCTTCAGAGTATCCATGGTATCTCTCCTGTATTGGCTAAATGGTCATCCTTGGTTTTACATCGCTCTGTGTAGTTATTATATATCCTCTTGCCGTGAAACAAAAATAATTTATTTAGCTATGTGTTAGGAGAAAAGCACCGATTTCTGTCATTTGACTTTAAGCAGAGAGGTTTTATTGTGGTTCTTGATCTCATTAGCTATTTAATATCAAAACATTTAATATCAAAACATTCAAAATAGCATCTTCTTTTGGTAGCAAAGTTTATTTGGTTTTATTAGAAGCATAACATTGGACACAGAATTTACCTTCGTGGATGTCTAAACATCACTGCTGTATATAGATTGGGGCAAACAATGAGAAAATCGTCTAAATTCTAAAGTGTAAGACCTGTGGTTTTCTTGAATGTTGCACCATATCACTCCGTTTCGTGGTTTATTCTTTGATCATTCAGTATTTTGTTTCCAGCATTTCCTCTCAAGTTGTTGAAGAGAATAATAATACACATGAGTATATCAAATTGGTTGAGTCTTGTTTTATGGGCATCTTGTTCTGATTCGTGAGTGTTGGGTGTCGATGTTGGAAGTGGCGATGTATGTGTTATAGAATGATTGATGTTATTTGGAAGATTAAAAGATGATAAACACATGCAGTATGTTGTAACCGTCATTCATTTGCTTATTCGTCGAGGTCTACCTTTCTTTTTTATTATTTCTTGTTCTGTTGTGGAGCTAGTTGATTGATTTCAAATTGAAACAGTAGTACATCATATTCTTCTTATAGTTTGTCGCACTTTCTGTGTTATGGTTTATTACCTTTTGTTGCGTTGTGGCTGTGTGCTTTATGTTAGAACCTTTGGTTTGTGCCAACAGCAGCTGACTTTGTTCATTGGTGTAGGTTCTAGATCGCGGTGAAAAGATAGAAATTCTGGTTGATAAGACTGAGAACCTTCATCATCAGGTGACTTTCTTTTATTGATGGCATTCTCTCTCTCCTTTTTTACCCCGATTGATGTCATATATGTAGACTTTCTGTGGATCTGGAGTTTAAATTCTGGAAAGTGTTTAGTCTTTTGGCATATCTTTAAGCATAAATCGAACTCTTTTGGACATGAGCATTAATGTATATGTATTTGTGTAACTTCAGTGGTTTGATAAAGTTGTGCAATTTACTCAGATATGTATCATCAATTTTTTCTTTTATTTCGTGAATAGGCTCAGGATTTCAGAAACACGGGAACAAAGATTAGGAGGAAAATGTGGCTGCAGAACATGAAGGTCAAGTTGATCGTATTAGGTATTATTATTGCGTTGATTCTCATCATAGTTCTCTCTGCTTGCCATGGGATATGCGGTAAAAATTGAGCACGGCCGAATGGTGATGAAAAATTTGTATGGAATGGCTCCGTGCTGTTTTATCTTGTTATAAAGGCTTGGGTAGGATGATCTATTTGCAATTTTCTGTTGTTACATATGATGTCTGTTTAGAAAGTACACATTCCAGACGCTGAAAAGATAAACTTTTAATCTGTTGCTATCTTTTTTGGTAGAATGAGCTATTTTGTTTCCTGTTATTTGGAAAGCATCGAGTTCAATTCATTCAACTGTGTTGGGGTAATATCAACTGTAAAATTCTATGTTCTACATGTTGATATTTTGGTTTGGTTACTGACATAGTTCGAAGTATATAATCAACATTGTTATCAATACGGAATGGTGGAAGCAACTAACATTTTTTTTCCCCGTCACTGGTTGGTTGTGTTCCTGCAATGTCTGTGACATTCCTGGAGAAGTTTCAAAAACATAAACTCTTGTAGGCGGTAGACTTATTGTAGGCTAGATTAAAAACTCCATCAAGTGAACTCAAAAAGGTGATACTCCTTCCGTCTTATAATTATTGTCCAGTTTGAGTTTTCATTTCTAGTTCAAATTATACTAAAAGTGAAATTTTAAACTGGACAATAATTTTGGGACAGAGGGAGTATATAATATGCACAATAATGATATACAATACATTCGAAATAACAGTGTAGTTGGGATGCAAACAAACAACCATTCTCTCGTCAAAACTGATGGCAAGAGGTACAGAAATGGAGAGTGTGGTGTAACTTATGTTTGGATTATTTTTTGAGTGTGTTTTTTTATATTGAAAATATAAAAATGTGTACTGGATATGACAGATATTAATTAAAAATTATAAAAAAAACTAATAAAAAAACGAACCAAACAGAGAGATATATAACAAATAAAAAGTCAAAAGGCGTATTTATTATTTCTCTTCGGGAAAACGTCTTGAAGGTCTTTTTTTAAAATGAAAATTTGGGTTGGCGGATTCGAACTTCGAAGTTGGATTTTCATTTGAATTTTGAGGGCCAAAGTGAGATGAGATGGGATGATGTAAAGGGGGTGGAACTTGAAGATTTACTCGTTTTCCTGAAATTACTAAAGCAAGAGGAACATAAATGGTTCTATCCGGACAAGCTCAGGCCATACTCAACTGGATTAAGAAGAAATTATCTCTACATTACTTAAAATCGAAAAACAAGGGAAAAAAGAAACATCGCAAACTTCAATATATAAAAAAAAGAAATTTTCTCGCAATTATTACTTTTAGAAGTAGATTAATATTATGGGAAAATGGCGCGTAGCTTATGGTAATGTTTTTGTTGGATTTTTTTAAATATTTTAGAGGCATTTTTTCAATTATTATTCATATACTTGAGACGTACATGGTGGATTTCTAACTTTTAAAATGAGTAGAGTGGTAAGATATATAGGACGGGGAATTCTTGAACAATTAAGTTGTGCAATTTAGGTTCGAAAATACATCCTCCTTCCCGGGAAAAAAAAATTTTAAAAATTGCCCGCATGATTGTTTAATTCACCAGAGTAAAATAAACATTGTCGGTTCGCAAAGTTTTTTTATGTAATTTTAGGTTCTTGCCTTCTCTACTACCTTTCTTAGAGTCGTCCCTAGGCAATACTCCTTCCGTCTCATAATTATTGTTCAATTTGATTTTTCATTTGTAGTTCAAATTATACTAAAAGTAAAATCTCAAAACTGGATAATAATTTTAGGACAGAGGAGTACTAAACAAAAACCTCAGACAGCAAACCAATTGCATTAATTCATCAAAGTATATACATATCCTATACATCAGAAATGGATAAGTAGCACCTTCCCTTTGCATTCCAACTATATTACTATCAATCTATCCTGCATTTCAGAAAAATGCAACTTGTCTGTACCTCTCTCTATAGATAGGTCAGTAGTAATGTAAGGTAGTGACATCTTATGATTGACTCAGTGAAAAAAAATCAAACGATTAGTCAATCTCATCACACGGCATATTACCTTTTGTTAATATCTGTGCCACATTATTGACAGTATATTGAGATATTTTGTTAATATTTGTGTCGCATTTTTTAAGGATGAGATGCCACATTAACTATCTTTTGCACAGGATTGGAATGATTCATGATGCATAGAGAAAGGTGGCACGTTAATTAGTTATTTCTACTCCAATTTCGGCTTCAATTCATTACATTACAATCGTATATTACTGAAACCACAGGCAAACAAATTACTATTAACTTTCTTAGTCCCTCTACAGTTGCAATAAATAAGTTATAAAATTTAGAATATCCTTTGCCCCTTGATGAAAGCTTGTTCACGTTTAGCCAGTTAAAGAAAAATCTTATTATTCATCGGTCAAATCCAGAATCAAAAAAGGAGCAGCTACGACGCATACGTCAGGGCTACATAAAAGATCGATGACCTATGGGACATGAGGAATATAGACGTCCATAACCATAATATGCAGGTATGAGGTAACAGGAATCAAATTGAGAAGGTCCTCACTGATTTGTACTTATTAACTAAAAGCATTAGATCCTCAACCCCACAATTTGGCTCAGGGAAACAAAAACAATCTTTTAAGTTGGACACAGAGAAAACAAAACAGTAACACGTGACCACCAATCAATTATACAAATCTTGATTTGGCTTGGAAAAGATCAAGAGTCTTGGGAGAACTACTTTGATTGCTGCTCGCCTGATGCAATCGCTGGCTCATCCTTCTTTGAGCGAGAAACAGCATCTTCTAAAGTGCCAGTAGTAATAGCTTGCAAAGTCTTGTAGAATTCCTCAGGAAGAGGACCAGGTCGATGCAGGGGTATATGCTTAGGAACTGGAGCATCATTTTCAATTATTTCGCATTCATAGTCATCAGGGACACCCCATGGTTTCCACTCTGCACACACCCCATCAACAAGTCCATTGGTCAAAAATATAATTGCTACTCCAACATCATACAAAAATATCTAAATCTCATAACATTTCCTTTCGGCTTCAGAGAATATGCAAAACCTAGCATTAGAACATTATAACTCAAAACAACACGCCACTCCCAAAAGCTATAGCTTCACATTAAGCCAAAATAAGGCAAGGAAATAGAATCACAGTAGCAACAAAGACAAGTAGATTGGTTCGTAGAAACAGAATAAATCTAGTCAAATGGTAAGTAATGAACTTTCATATACAGCTTTACTGAGAGTCTATTTACTATCCAAACATTTCGCCAAAGTGTAGAGAGCTTCTACTAGTCATGTCAACTATCCAGGACTAACTAAACTAGAGTAAGTTGTCGTAACACTAATGATAGACGTCATCTAGCTTCTAACTAGTCAAAAGAAGCAAACCAAAAAACTTCTCATACCCACCCGAAAAAGTAACACAGATGGTAGTACAATATTGGTACCACAAAAACAAGAATACCTATCTTGGCACCCAACTCATTCCTCTTCTCTACAGTACTCTCGATAATAGAAAAAGCTCCGCATTATGATATACTAAGCCGCCTAAATGAGGGGGAAAAATACTGTTCTTTACCAGAGGCCATTTGTGAATAAAATTCTATCTAGCTTCATTATCCTAATAATTTGATGATCTCTCCAGACTAGAGCTCAAAAAGTAGAAAGCTTTCAACAACCCTCACTTCACTTACAAATCCACTATAGGCTGCAGTAATATTCCCCATGAACACAATAAGGATAAAAGTCACAGGATTTACACACATTGTAGAAATAAAGCTTTTCATCCAAGAGCCACTCAAAAGCGAGGTGGTGTTCCAATTTCAAGCTAGTTATTGGTGGGTGGCATTAAAAGATCAATTAAACCAATTGAGCAGTCAAGAATGTCAAGGGAAAATTTTGAGTGAATTGAGATAAAGTTGTCACTATAAGCGTTCAGAATGTTGAGAAACGATGCTCCTGATACAAAACGATTACAAGCTACAGACGTCAACCCTATCCAATTATCCAAATGCCACATATCACTACCCAAAAACCACAGAAAGCCCAAATCATGGAATAAGTCAAATCCAGATTGAAGGGGCAAAAAAAAAAAAAAAAAAAGGTTAAACAAGAAATCAGGCTTCAATTCAATCCGAATCCGTAGCTCTTTGAAATAAAAATGGAAGAACGCGAGAAAATGAATGATTGTACAATTTACCGATCATATGGCCAATAAGCTTGAGCTCATCCCTAGCTTCTTCAATGAGCTCTTCCACCTGGCCACAACCGAGGCGTTTCTCGATAGTCTCCCAGTCCTCTTCCTCCTTACAGACCTGAAGACGGTGGCGCGTGAAGCTCTCAACAGCCTTACGGTAGCCTTCATCTTCGGGGACGGCTTTGATCTCATCTAGGGTTTTACTATACAAATTAATCAAAACCTCCCTGGCATTTGGGACAACATCTAGGCCAACAATCCCCGTCGTTTCCTTTACCTTGGCCATCATCATCAATGGCCGGGCCATTCGCCGGAGAAACATTTTTTGGCGCTTCCGATTCGATCTCAGACGGCCTCACTCGGATATTGACTCGGTTGGGACTCGCTAGCTCTCTCACTCAAAATGGCAGATTTCCGAAATGAAAATGCCACTCATCAGTATGGTTTGTGGGAGTGACATTTTTCATTTACTTTGTGGGCCTTACGACAACAAGTTAAGTCCATTTAGAATTTCCTATCCAATTTTAGATGACATTAATGGGCTCACCACAAAGGTCCAACAATAGAGCTCAACTCTAGCCTAATAAAAGAAACTTGAAAAAGGAGATTAGTTACTGTTGGCGACGGTGAACACTCTACAATATAAAAATGAAAAAAAAATAAATAAATAACTTGAAAAAGAAAACGCTCATTACTGGTTAGTCATTTTTGTGCTAGTTACATCCATCGAGTTTCTATACAATTGTTGTAGCCCGATGTATAAATCAATCAGGTGAACTAATAATATTACCGCCAAAATTACAGACAAAGAAAAGGATATGATATTTTGTTATATAATGAGTGTATCGTTACAAAAAAAATAAAGAGACCACTCTGATTTATTAAGATGAAATGTACAAAGAACCGCACTACAAGCCAAACTACCCATGGACATTCTCTACTATATAAACTTATCAAGTTTTCTTTTTGCATATTGTCCATTATCGGCAACAGTGACTAATAATATTACCGCCAAAATTACAGACAAAGAAGAGGATATGATATTTTGTTATATAATGAGTGTATCGTTACATAAAAAATAAAGAGACCACTCTGATTTATTAAGATGAAATGTACAAAGAACCGCACTACAAGCCAAACTACCCATGGACATTCTCTACTATATAAACTTATCAAGTTTTCTTTTTGCATATTGTCCATTATCGGCAACAGTGACTAATTTCTCTCGCTCATGATAGGCATCTTGATGGTGGGAGAGCTGGCCAAAGAATTTCTAAGAGCATGTCCAGTGAAAAATCGGTATGTATACATAAACTAAAAAAGTGACCCACTGGTTAAATAAACATATTAGATGTTAATATTTTATACTTCCTTCATCCCAAAATTATTGTCCAGTTTACATTTTCAGTTTTAATACAATTTAAACTAGAAATAAAAATCCAAATTGGACAATAATTTTGGGACGGAGAGAGTAAATTTTTTCTGTAATTTGTAATGACTGACCCCGCGCTTTTCCTCACCTCTTGGATTTTATCCATGAACAACTTTTTTGAAATTTTTTGTCACATTGAACTTTCTTGCCCGTTTATGTATAAACGATCACCTACTTGTCAATATAAACCCTACTCAACGAATGGTCGTTGTTGATGCCCTGAACCGATATTGATGATAACTACTTATACAACTACGAATATCTTCTTTAGTGATTGTGAAGGAACTGGCAGAGTTGGTGCATTGGAATCCAGGCCAACTATTCCGGCAATGTCTATCACCATGATGCATTTATCTATGCCTATTTCCCTTTCTACTTGTAGTCCTGCAAGGCAGGCCATGGCCTCTGCGGTTCCACTTGAAACATGATCAATTTACGATTATCTGCCAAATACACTTGTCTTCCCTTGGTAAGGACCCTTTTCAAGGTACTTATTTGATGATGGAAAAGCAAAGGCAAATTCATGATTTCCGCCAGCAACAGAAAACCAGGGAACAACAATGCTTGAAATGATGAGAAGTTAATTTAATTAGATCATTTTTTTTATTACTCAATCTATATGATCAGTGAGTGTGATTCAACCCGATGACTACCACGCATTCTGATTTGTGAAAATGTGATCAACGTTCATTAGTAAAGGTTTGATAGAAATTTCATACAACCTACGTGAGAGATTAGGTACTTCTTCAACATGCTCTCTAGCTGCATTTCATAAATCATAATTAACAAAACAAACACATCCGAAATATAGAGTATATAATAAACCGTCTGACTTTGGAATTAAGGATTTGTTTCAGAATAGAACTCATCATTTAAACTTCATGGATGATTAAAATTTTTACTTTTCTCATCCTCTTTGTCCTTTATTTATTTTTATTTTTTTAAAAAAAAATCAACCCATCTTCACTTTATGTTTAATTTTCGCTTTCAATTATTCTCATTGTTATTTCGAAATCTTTGATTTATCAAAACATGACAAAGTTTGTCACGATTGTTAGGCTCATTCTCTCAACGTGACTCGTGAACAGTGTTGTCAGGCTTAGACTGGAGCTCGACTCGGCATGGCCAAGTGGTCGATCGAATCAGGAGTCGATTCGGGGGGTCAACTCGGATGACATCATAATGATGTAATAAACACTAATTAATTAATGAGTATATTTTAATTAAAATTTTATAAATTTGCTAGATGTTGTTCTATTGACCGAATAGGCCATGAAAAGGCCGAATCTTCTCATCATGTAATCTTCCTGATGCCATCACAAAGTAGGTTTGAAACGAAAATGAGATTACAATTAGCACCCTCAGACGAAGTTGTAAAGATAAGGACAACAAAAAGAGCTTAAAGTCCGCTCTTCCTTGACTTAAGATATGGCTGCGGGGATTTCTTTCTTACTTGACTTTCCTACCTTCTGGTAAGAGTTTGAAATAGGCATCTGCATAATTAGTAATTGAATGTAGTCTTACTCGGGCCTTAATTAAGAAATAATAAATAAAAGAGTCCCAGAGGAGAAGACACGAAGGCTATATGATTAGTTGGTTGCTGCTTCTCATTCTAAGTAAGGGCTGTAGCACTAAGTTAGAACTACTAAATACTAATCTAAAAGGGAAACTGATATTCTAACTTGACTTGCTTATAATTCTATAGCTTACGGGTCTTCTTTCTATGAAAGGAAGGAATGCTCCTGGGCAATCCAGTTCGTGTAATGGAGACGGAAGGAGACATGATATCGGGAATTGAATCCCCAGATACATAACGTTGCAGAAGAACTCTTTACTATTATGTAAAAAGGTAAAAAAATATATTTTCTAAGAAGTGATTGTGTTATTTTAACATGCAACCTCTTATTAGTTGCGAGAACGGAATCAACAAATAGAGGTATGGGAATTCCTTACAAGACGTAGAAAGTGACAATCCGTTGCTACCCAAAGATATTGCACTAGAATATTAGAGGGCCTGACCACACCGAGGGACAGGCCCTGAAGCGAAGGACGGGAACGAGCGGACTCAATGTGTTCCAATTTCTGGCCTTGCACCGACCATCCAATGGACCATGGACTAAACAGCCATTGCCCGAGAGGACTATGTCTAGGGGAATGCCCCCTACAAGGTACATCTTGCGCCTATGGGCCGCTATAACTATCCAAGAAGACACTCGAAACTGGAAGGATAAACAAACCCACCCGGTGGAATATATATTTTTCAATTGTTAGAGTCAAATTAATACTTCATAATTTCTAAATAGGTCTCCATATAATCAAATTGAACTCATGAGGTAGATTATGATGATGTCATTATTACTAATTATATAATATTAATATTTAGTTATTTAATATATTTAAAATTAAAAAAAACTTAAACTTTATATCGCTCTTCGATTATATTAGTTGATATTGATTTTTTCAGTAGTTAGTTGTTATTCAAGTGAAGTAAATTAGTATACTAATAAAGTAATTAAGATAAGTACACTATTATTTAGAAAAAATATTGAATTTGAAGTACAACTAATATGCACATTAAGAAAAAATACTCCGAGATTAATTTTTGTGACATATTAGAATTATAATATAAAATTTTTCATAAAATGATGGAAGTAAGTTTATGTAGCGAAATTAGAAAAAGATTATTCAAAATATTATATTTGAAAATTGAAATTGAATATGGGGACTAAATATCAAATTAATACTTTTAAAAAGTACAAAAAATTAAAAGTTGTTGGGAAATTTTGAACAAAAGTCTTGGAAGATATTGGAACTTGAAATCCATGGGGAAATGTGCAATTTTCACGTCAAAAGTCAAAAAAATAAAAATCTCGGTTCGACCCGATTTTAACCGAGTCGCGATTCGACTAAGGTTTTGACCGATTTTGACCGGTCTTCTTTTTACCGATTTTAATCCTTGCTCGACTCGATATAAGAACCAGTTCCCGATTTAACCGGTTCGACCGATCGGTCCGAGCCAAGCTTGACAATACTGCTCGTGAAGGATTCTGTGGAATGATACATATAAATGTCGCTATAAGACATTAGAGTTGCATTTAGCTTCCGCATACTACTTATAGTTGCATATACTATATATTTTCTCTGGTTCGAAATTATTATATGACTTTGTAGTAAAAATTAAAATTTAAACTAGATTATTGTTTTGAAAAAGACCAAGCATTGTTCGATGTTTGTTGTAAGTCATTTGTAGAAGAGATGTGCGTCAAGGGCTTTCAACAGGGCCATAAAATGGGGAATTTGGATCCAACACCAACAGAAGTACTTTTGCTAATCTAGGAAACAAACGAACATCCATTATGTGAACTTTTTTTCTACCCAAATCTTCCAGATATGAAAATTTACGGTGGAAAATGCTAGTAAAGGTGTGATTTGTTCCTCCGTAATAAAATAAGTGGGAGGGAAAATAATTCTGATTGAATAAGAAAATCAATGAAAAATGCAAGCTTGTTAGTGTACTGCCAAGCTTTTGATCGATGGGTTTATGTGTTTCCCCTTCCTTTCTTTACCCCCTTCAATTTCCCATGTTCTACCTCTTTTCTTTCATCTTAATTTTTCCACTTTATTTTAACTCACAAACATAGATATCCTGAATGAGATTTTTAACTAGAACACGTCCACTTATGAGGGTTCATAGATCAACCGATAAGCAATAAGTTATGATCAAGAAAGGCAAAATATTCAGAAAGCCTTTCTGGTTGGGAAGAAAGCAAGTTGTCAGGTGACCTGAGTCAACTGCAACAATATCAATTACTTGATTTGGAAAGTACTGGGAGTATGAGGTAATCAGTCACCAGAAAAGTTACTTGGCGCATTATATGGATTTTCTGCTATTAAAAATTCAAAATCTCCAGCCATTCTCTGCTGCAAAAACCAATTATGAAAGTTGGCAGACATTTGCTAAATTTCAGAAGCAAACACATAAGCATGACCAAAGTTCACAAAGAGGACAAAAGGCAAAAAAGAACCAAGAATGGAAAAAAAAATGTTACTACATACATATTCTGACATATTGGATTCATATATGCATCCCCAAAACAAACCAAATTCTCCTCCAAAAACTTCTTGTAATAGTAGTATTGATACCTTGAGTCTTGTAGAATGCTTCATAGGCCAAAACTTTCTCGATCAGTAACAACATATAACCCAAAAAAAACATCATCTTAGAATATCACTATAAATGTATTAGCTCTATATAGAAAATTTATCACCATCATCATCAGCACCACTCATTTGCAGCAGCAACAGGGAATACATAGATATAGACTACACTCTTCCTTCTTCCTCTACCAATTAATTTTTCTTCATTCATCATTCCAACCTTGGCACAGGATTCTCTTCCCATTTCCACTTCTACTGAAGACCCCACTGTTTCTCATTCCTATGTCCATCCCAAAACTCTTATTTACCATTCCCATTCCCATCTTAAACTTCACCTTCATCCTCTTCTCAGGTAATTCAAATCCCTTTTTCACCTTTTCACTCCCTTCAATTAGCAGCTTTCTTTCTCTCTCAGCAAAATTCTTTCTAGAAGTTTCCTCCCACATTACCTCTGTTCTGATTTTTGTTTCCAGCCCCAACCCATTACCAGTTATTTCAGGCATTTCTGGTAACCATCTTGGAACATGGACTAAACCCGTTTGACAGCCACTTTTCTTCACATCTGGCAAGATTTTTTTGGGTATTGGCTGAGCAAAAGGGCTTTCCTCATTCCAATCCACAACCCGCATGATTCCCTTTAACACGGAAGAAGACATCAAACAATGCGATCCCTGTAATTCATGTGCCCCAACGAAGCCCTGAACGGAACCCAATTCCTCAAGCGCGCTTACGATGTCGGCCAGATTGGATTCGGTGCGGCCGCCGGAGTTGGCAGAGACGGTGGCGGAATCAGCAATTGCTTGGATAAACCGGCCGGCGATGTTGCTGAGGATGTCTAAAGCGCGGTTTTGTGCTTTCTTGTAGCCCACAGATTGACAAATTTGTGCCACGGAAACCCTTGTGATGGCGGAATAGAACCGGGATTCTGATGATTCCGAGTGGCCCTGATTCATCGTATTCGTGGTGGTAGGCGGCGGAGGACGGCGGTTGAGGAGGGTGTGATTTTGTGCCGGGTGCTCTGCATTTTGGTCTGAGAGAAAAAATATGTACTGAAAAAATTATGATTTGGGCGTGTGGGCTTGGGTTCTTGTATTTCTCGGCTGCGTTAGATATCTTTGGGCCAGAAAGGAACCAAAGGACCGTTGAAATATTATGGGCTTTCGAAATGACTAAGCAAACGGTCCATTGTTAATAATTTGTCAAAGAAACTGTAAATCCTGATCTTGAACACGAATCAGAATTATAGGTAAATATCTTGAGATGCATAATAAATAATATTGAGCGTTCAAAATCACGACCTCTTTATCTCTCCACCGGGTTAGGGACTAGTGAGTAAATTCACGCATGCAAAACTCATTGTTATATTTGTCCCAGTCAAATCTAGCCTAACCTCTAAGATTGATTACTATCATCTTGGAAATGAGAGGGGTCCATAAATCACAATCTGGTAGCGAGTTTTCCTAAATGATCAAAAAAAAGAATGCGAAATGTCATAGTGTGCAATTTTGAGCTTGAGAACAACATTTTACCAATTTCTAGAATATTTTTAAACTGAAGTATATATTGACTCGAAGAAAAATGACATTGACTCGAAGTATATATTACCAAAGAATGTGAACATGGAATTTCCCATCATATTACGCGCAAGTGATTTTTACTATTTTATGGAAGGTAATCAAATCCCTAATACACTCTTCACAATTACTCTCTGTCTTAAAATAATTATTCGATTGGGGTTTAAATTTTCAACTTTAGTACCAATTATGCTAAAAATAAAAATTCAAACATGAATCATTTTTATTCGAGTGCTAATGAATAGGCTAGAATCACATCTCGTACACTTCATATGTTCCAAAATTGTGTTCTGAGTTTCAATTTTTATTTTTAATTCAATTTATACTAAAAATTAATATTTAAATTAGACAATAATTTCGGAAACAGACCGTACAGAACACGTCTTGATCCGGGTGACATGGCATTATGGTTTATAAGCTCTCCCGGCATATGACACGGGGAACCTGTAACTTTATCTGGATGCTAAGTGAGATATCCAAGGGGAAGAAAAGAAAAGATGAAAATAAAAAGAAGACAAGGAGTGCAGAAAGGAGCGTGCGTGGAGGAGGTGATACATGGTTGTTGTAGGCCAGGATTTCCTGTGTCATATAAAATGGACCATTCTGTATTGGAGAATTGTTCCCTTAAGTTTCAACTGAAAAGGACACATGCATTTGTTTCTTTTCACTTGTCACCAAAGCCAAAAGAAAATTCATAAAAACCAAAAAACATGGAAAAAGTCATTGGAACTATTGAACTTTAATGCCTTTGTTTTTTCATTAAAGTAAAAAAAAAACAAAAACTCCAGTTATTCTAAAAGCATAGTAATAAATTGGATGATAGACCACAAATCTGGAAAATGGGGTCCCCGTGATTTGCAAGTCAGAACGTGGTCGAAGGGGCCTGACTATGACCACACTCATTTCTTCTTGTTTATTTATTGCTAACTAAAAAAAATATAGTCCGGTGAGTTGAGACATTTTTTTTTTTTTGGGCGTGAATTACAGTATTATTTATCAAGTTTAGCGTTAAACTAGTAATTATTTGGAGTCAAATAATGATTAAAAATTACAATATTGTGAGTGTTTTTTAATTATGATCTCTGTTTCTCATCAATGTATAAAGTTTCAGATAATTGTTAGTTAATGTTATTGAATTAAGAAAATGAAGAAGATGATGCCCGGGAATTGGTTCAATTATAGCCTCCAAAAGAGAAAATTCCAAACACGCGACAAAATCCCCAATCGCCATCTCCATCATCATCATCACGCTTTCCCCTAATATTATTGAATGCATTCAGAATTTCTTTCCTTCACAATTTATATTGATTGTACGTTTATGATTATTAGGTTGTTTCTGACAGGACATTGGGGCTGTGCTGTGGCCTGTGTGGGTTGTTTATCTTGCAATCTAGGCTAGATAGATGTCAAAGTTGATTTATGCTTAATAATGAAGAAAACGAAAGATAAAGATAGAGAAATTATGTACATAATATATACATGGTGGTGACTTATCAAATTTATTTTCATTTGGTGGTGATGTGGTTGAGAAAGGTTTGGCAGATTCGTAGTTAATTTTTGTAGGCTTACGCCTGACCAGGTTACATGTGGAGGATTGATTTGATTTTTTATTTTTTTTTCATTTTTGGGTTGTTACTATTACCTTCGTAGAAAACTAACGAATCCTCCACATACAGTATGTATAAAATCCCGCAAAGTAAATACTTCCTCTGTCTCAAAATTATTATACAGTTTGAGATTTTATTTTTAATATAAATTAAACTAGAAACAAAAATATAAACTGAAAAATAATTATGGAATGTCTTTTTCTTCTAATATAAATATATTTTAACTTACACGATCATCGATACATCATCATCTAATTTCTTTTGGATACAGAAAAACTAATTACTGTTTCCATCCCAAAATTATTATTGTTAAGTGTCTTTTTCTTCTGAAAACCAAGCATTTTATGTCACTAAGGGTTGATTGGCAAACTGTAGAGAAGGCAGTATCAATGCCAAACAGAAAATTACTATGTGGTTGATTGGCCAACCTCTCACAAGTTTTTTTTGGAAAAAAGTTAATTCATCTCTTAAACACAAATTATAATACAAAATTTACTTATAAGTTTATATTGAAATTTTACCGTCTCACTGAAGTAAGAATGAGTGGTCTTCTCTAATCATTATTTCATTGCCAGGCTAGTTATTATACAAATTTATAATAAATTTTCACTAATGATATCGTTACTCCGAATAAAAGAAAAATCAAATGAGAAGATATGCAGGATTAAAAACAAGAACTTAATAAAAGATTTCTTACAAATGATGGAGTCAAAGTCAATTCTTACACTCTGCAATGTATCTCTGGACTCTGGAAAGTGGAAACACACACCATTTAATGAGAATTGAACACAAATTCAACCTGCAAAAAAAAAAAAAAGTCATTAAAGTTGGTTGATTTGGGGGCCAGATTACACGTTTTTCCTGATCCTTTAAATCCAAGATTACACACGTTTTCCTGTGCTGTAATAATAATTTTACCTTTAATTACCAACAAAGTGTAAAGAACTTCCACTAAAAATTTGTTCATGCGGCAAAAGCAAAATCATTTGATTATGAATTGTCATTTACTAGTACACCAAAGGGATCGGATTGGTTGCTTTATTTCCAGAAACTGAAATCAGTGTGATTCAGGTCTTTAATTGCATTTCTTTTTTGCCTAAAAGTACGATAACTTTATATAGTTGTGCGTTTAATGATATGTATGATCTGGTTATTTAAAGATTTAGGGTTGTTTTTTTGTGCTCCTTTTTTCCCTTCTCTTTCTTTCTTCTGTCTCTTTTAACTTTCGCTTTTTGCCTCTCATACTCCTCCTATTATCAGTCGATACGAAATGTACAGTTACAGCCTTACATGTCACATTTGATTAATACAATGATCGCCATGTTGTCAAATGTCGTAAGTTGCAGTTTTCTCTTCTTCTTCTTCACCTTTTGCAAAATGTCAGAATACTGCTCTCGTCCCAAAATAATAATACGAATAATGTAATTATTTTAAAACGGAAAAAACACTCCTTTCATGGAGAGTTATGTATAGATGGCCTAATCAGGAGGTTCACCGTGCATGAGTCAAAACTGTTGGAGTTAAACTAACGTTTCGCATGCAACTAATTCAAGTATGGTAGCTTGCTTGACTTCTTGAACATTATGTTTATTATTGTAAATTTCTGACATTTGGGTCTTCAATTATTCACTACAATTATCTTATCCCTGAATAACCCGAAAATTAGATACTTAATGTAGTTAGCTTATCGGTCAATTACCGTCCAAATCATCGGTCCCAACTCAATATTCGTCGGGTTTTGATAGATTTATTCAAACGACCAAACCTTAAGTTTCAGGCTAAAGTCTTGCAGCTTTCACAATAATTTAGTCATCATCTACAAGAACAATAATTTTGACTAAAGAAATTTTTGAAAAATAAAAATCAAAGGAGTAAGAGTTGAGCCAACGAGCTGGATTATTTAGTTCAAAATTGAACAACATTATTTCAATAATGATGATATGTCTCTTTCCAAAGTACGTATTTGTAGGTCTTTGACTTTTAAAATGAGGTAATGACAGTTATGGTTAGGCACGAATCTGGCAGGCAGTACCGGTCATTATAAGACCACCACGAAAATCGAAATAGAAGAGTTACATTATTGCATATCTTTAATTTTCTGATCAAGTTTTAATTCTTCTTCTTAGGGTTTCTATTAGTCAAGGCAAAAAAAAAAAAAAAAAAAAGTTCCAGTAAATTGAGAACCAATACATTATTTTGACCATTTTGATGATCATGAATTAAGTCACAGTTGAAGACTTGTTATTCTATTTTTTCAATTATATATGCCAATATTCACGCATGTTGGTACACATCAGGAACAGTGTTCATGACTTCGTCGATCGCCAATTAGTTATTTTTTTGTACAAATAAAATAAAATAAAATGTTTTAGTCAAACGTTAAATACGTAACATAATCATCTGTCTTTGATATGTGAAAAAAAATGCATGGATAAATGGTGTGGGTGTGTTGACCATCTTGAATGATTCTAAATGTGTTTAAAGAAGCAATGGAATTAATTTTATTATTATTATTATTTTGGATAAACGACTTGCACGCGACGTAGTCCCATTTGAACGTTAGTGACATTTGTTAGGACTTATAATTAAGGTGCATGAATTGAATCTTTCTCATTAGGTACACAACATGTATATTAGAGCTAATAATCAGAGACACAGAGAGAGAAATTAAGGTTAAAGAATTTAGGTCTGAAGTGTCTAACTAATGCTTTGTACTTAGTAGTATTATTGAATCTCGAGAATTATTCGTTTCGTGAGGTCCTAAGTAACTTTTATATTATTCTTAATGTTCTAATTAAGCATCGATCGGGTTGTTTCTTTACGTATGAATTCTCTTGTATAACATGTGCATCGTAATTAGAAAAATAATTGTTTTTACCAACTATTCAGATGACGCCTATTCATAAATCATAATTTGATGCCGAATAGTACAAGTAGTCATAGGATTTGTCATACTTTTTTGTTTTGAATGTTGGCATTGGCAAATTGCCATTTGTGCGACTCAAGAAGGTCAACTCTTTCTTTTTTTTTCTTTTTTTTTTTCTGTATTTCAGCGTTATATAGATGATGATGGTAGTATCTCATTAACGGTTTATTTGGTTTTTTTTTTTTGGGGGGGGTTGGGGGCGGGCAAAGCTAAATATAATGGTGAATTATCATTCTTCTCCCCAATACATAGAACTAAAATATAATGGTCCCATTGTTAAAAGAAGAAAAAAAAAAAAAAGAAAAGAAATATAATGGTGTGAAGGGGAGTTACGTTACTAATTATGTACCAAAAAATAATCCGCCAATCTCAAAATAATTATCCAATTTAGATCTTAATTTCTAGTACATATTGTACCAAAAGTAAAAATTTAAATTAAACAATCATTTGGGGACAGTAAGAATAATCCACATTGAGTTTTGATATAAATATACAAAATAAAAATTCAATATTAATTACTATTTTTTGGAACAGAAAAAATATCAATTATCTTACTCAGTAAGTATAAACATTTCTACGTGTAATGTGAAACTTGTTTAACATGTTATGTATGTTGAACTAGGTAATTAGCACTACTTATAAATTTTTATCATGGACAAGTCATTAGCACCACTAATAAATTCTTTTTATGGGACGGAGGGAGTATTTAGATCTTATACGTAACAAAAAAGTAATGGTAACAATGACGGATATGTAGATACTCTATATATTGTCCATGTATATATATACTTACTTCCTATGGTCCAATCCTCTGAAAAACTAAACTCTCTCGATTAAACTTCAATATCACATAGAAGGGGGAAAAAAAAAGAAAAAGAAAAGAAAAACTATGCACTTTCTTCTCTTTTATCTATTGTCAACATCCGTCATCAAACACCAAAATGAGTTCGCTGGTAGCATCTCCCGAGGATTTTCCAGTATAGTGTTCGATATATACGATATAATATATTTGTCCATCATGATCCTCTCCCTCATAAATTCTATACTACATTATACACTCATTTAATAAAAATATAAAATGGATTGGATCTTTGATGATGGAGCTAAAAAGAAAAATGATTTCAAAAGAAAACCTAAACAGTTACAAATTACAAATCTATATGCAAAAAGAAATTTTTTTTTTAAAAAGAAAAACGTTCTACTAAATGATGGAGTAACCGACTCAACTAATCTAAAAATCATGAAAATTAACTTATTATCTTAACAAGAAGAGAAAAAAAAAAAAAAAAACCCCTAAACTCCAGTACCGAATCCAATCCCTCTCCCATTCAAAGTTTCAAACCTATTTGTTTTATATAAGAATGAGAAGGAGCACATGAAAAGATTCAGCAAAAGAAGAAGAAATATGGGGGTGGGGGTGTAATAATTGTTATGGTGTACCATACCCACAAGAGATCACACCTCATTCAATACATATGCATTGTTGTCCGTACAACTTCCTTCCTCCCTCCTCCGTCCTCAATATCCCCACAATCTCCGTCCTTTCCGACTGGAAACAACAATTATTACGCATATGGGACTTGTTAAGGAATGGGGACAAGGTACCAAAACTGGGAAACCCCGCACATGTCCCCAAACAGAAACAACTCCCCAAACCCAACAAACAAATTAAATAATAAAAAAAAAAAGAAGATAAAATACACCTCCCAATTGGAAAAGGTGGACCCATCCCCCAGACGTGGCAAATAAACAAACAAACAAAAATACAAAATCTGAAAAAGCTGACTGGCATAACCCCCCCAAATGAAGAAAAAAGAAAAAAAAAAAAGAAGGATGGGATTAAATTTTAAATTTTCTTTTCTTTCTTTTTTTTTAATAATAGCATAATCTCGGAACGGGTAAGTTTTCATTTCGACTTTAATAAAAAAGAGATTTTGTCCAGATCTGGACAACCTTAACACGTGCGACACATTGGGTCCACCTACAAGTAGTCCTGTTTTCTTCTTCCCCCCTCCCTACAACGTTAATGTATACTTGCTGACGTGACGGCCCGTTAAGTTTAACCTACGGAGTATTGTTGATTTACCCAACCTTTTTCCCTACCAGCTAAAATAGCTTTAGGTGATGATATAAGATAGATATAGATTGGGGGAAAATCCGTGGCAATCTGCCCGAATTGTCAGTTATTAGCATCGAAACTCACAGGCCACAGCCAACCACAACACGTCATCACTCTTCCCACCTCGGAAAAGGTAAAGATAACACAAACAGATGATTGAATGGGTCCGTTAAATTAGAGACAATCCCAAATCTTTTTAATCTTAATGAACAAGTTTATACTCATTCACAACTGTAACTGCTCTATTTTTGGGAATAATTCAGGGGTTGTACAAATTCATCCCATAATTAAGATACTTGCGTGAAAAGTTAATATCGAAAAAATTTGCCTAAATATATGTACAGAAATAATTTTATGACTTAATTAAGGTTGTTCTTTCAAAAAACAAATTTTACCATCACATTGTAGCTTTGCGTCTCTTCATTGGTGTTTCTTTTCACAATTTTAATGGAGTCTGATATCTTTTGAATTTTCATACTTTATCGTAATTATTACTATTGTATTATCTCCCTCATTTTTAATACAGTGTAAAATTTCTGGATTATATCTGTCGTTTATCGAGGGTGAAATAAAAGGTAGACACATTAGTTGGTTTGTTTTTAATTTATGAAAAGGTAATTTAGTATTTAGACAATAACTTGGAGTTTCTGTTTCCAAGTATCAAAACCTTAGCGATTAATTAAAGGTGAAACAGTATTAAGATTTGATAGAATCCTTGAAGGAAATCAAGGAACTAATGGGAAATAATTAGTGTGAATTAATAGTACTAGAAAAGAGGAAAAAGAAAAGAAAACGAGTAAATTGATTGGAATAATGTTCTAGTTTTAAGGAGTTTTGGGGGAAGTGAAAAGGAAAAGGAAAAGGAAAAGGGGCAAAGAATTGATTGATGAATGCATATCCAACAAGATTCTTTTCCCTTTTTTTTTTTAATTCAGTTTCCATTTTCGAAATATCTGTTTCTGTTCCCTTCAATTATTTTAAAACCATAAATAATTAAATAAAGTACAAAAAAATACAAACTATTCCTTCAGTTCGCGGATTCCAAAGCTACAGAAGTAATCCCCCTTTTCCCCAAATTAAATAATTCTTGCTTTTGCCATTGATTGAGGGGTAGTAGTAGTAGTACTACGTCTTTTATTTAGACTTTCCTAGCCACTCTAGAATTCTTTGACTTTCTTCCTTTTTTGAGTTTTTTCCTGTCATCACAATTATGAAATTAAAAAATATAAAATTTATTACTTTATCCACGCAGCGGTCCTGGTCGCCACCTCTGTCTTTTATATACCCCCCATTACCCATTCATACGATTCTCGTTTTGCTTCCTCTTCTTTATTCTCTCTTTTTTCTCTCCCAAAGACTTCAACCACAAAAAACGAAAATCCTTGAGAAGAACAAACTCCACAATATATATATATATATATATTCATTACCAGAAGAAGAAGAAGAAAGAATCAAAGGAAACAACCCAAGTATTAGCAGCTACAGATTCTCCATCTTCTTTTTAATGGCAGTTGATGCAAGTCATCTTAATCTTCTTCCTTCCCAGTTGCTTCATCCTAATAGGTAACAAGCCTTTGTTCAGCAACCAAAAAAAAGCTATTGATTCTCTGTTTTTTAATGTTGTTTCTTTTGTTGGTTTGGTTTTGAATCTTATTAAAATCTGGTGGATTTTCAGAGATATAGCATTTTCGAATCAAGGAAACAATATGTTGGCGGCGGCGGCGGCCTACAATAACCACCCACAGGGGATTAGTCCTTTAGTTCCGGCAATGGCGGAAAGTCTCCTACCCCCTCTGCATCGATCCATGGTTTGCGAAACGGTTCAGCCCAAAACATCAATGAATACTGATAGTGGGCTGACTTACAACGTGACGGCTTCCGCCGCTGCTACCCGGAAACGGCCAAGAGAGTCGTTCGACCTTTTGAGTAATGTCCCCACCGGCAATTACTATGCTCCGACTTCTCAGAAGAACTCCGGCGATGTAGTATCTTGCTTCCCTTCCTCATTCGGAGATAATATTCTCCCCTGCCTCCAACAATACCAAATGGACATCGACGCCATAATTTCTCAACATGTAAGTTAAAATTCAGTCTTGCAATTTTTAATTTCTGTTTTTTTTTTTAAATCATTGGATTAATTGTACTGATGTGGGATGAAAAATTTGCAGACAAAGAAAATAAGGATTGAATTGGAAGAGAGACAGAAGCAACAAACGAGATTACTAATGTCGGCAATCGGTGAAGGGGTGATGAAAAAATTGAAGGAAAAAGACGAGCAAATTCAGAGGATGGGGAAATTGAATTTAGCACTTCAAGAAAGAGTGAAGTCTCTGTACGTGGAGAATCAGTTGTGGCGGGATTTAGCACAAACCAACGAGGCCGCCGCCAACACTTTGCGTACCAACCTTGAACAAGTCCTCGCCCACGTCACCGACGAGCGACTCTCCGCCAGTTTAGTCCCCACCGGAGGAGCCACCGCCGCCGCGGCGGCGGAGGATGACGCCGAGTCCTGCTGTGGAAGCTGCGATTACGGTAGGGAGAATGAGGAAGAACATCAGAGTCTAGCTGGCGATGCCGGAGATAAAGGGGATGCCGGCGCCACCGCTACCGGCGGCAACCGGATGTGTAAGGGGTGTGGCGAGAGGGAATCGTGTGTGTTGCTGTTACCGTGCAGGCATCTGTGCCTGTGCACGCAGTGTGGGTCCACCCTGCTACGTAGTTGCCCTGTATGTAATTCTAACATGAATGCCACTGTGCATGTTAACTTGTCATCTTAGATCAGGTTTTTCCTTGATGACAAATACAGAGGTAAAAAAAAAAAGAGGAAAATTACCGTTTTGTTAGTGAAAAGGGAAAAAGGTAAAAGTTAGGAAGACATTTTGATCTTGTTTAGGGTAGAACAAGTTGTAAATTCCTTTTACCTTGAGTAAATATATTTTGTTCATCATTCTTTTAATTTCCATTTGTTCAACTGTATATAGTTTAGCTCTTATTTTTATCACTCCCGAAATTCGCATATACCCTTTTAAACAAGGATAACAAGAAAGGTACGTAGGTAATGAGTTTTTTTTTTTTACCGTAGTGTTGTTTTTGGGAATGGAGTTCATTGCTGACTTTTTAAGAGCAATAATTTTTCCTTTATAAATGGCTCTAGGAGGAAGGGGAGAAAAGATTGATAGGTATCATCAATGTCGAATAAAGTTAGTATTGATATGTCCAAACTTTGGCCAAAGAATCCCTACTTTTTTTTTTTTCCAATAATTTCTTTCCTTGTACCCATTTGGTTTTGAAGTGGTCCATTTTCTTTGCATTATATAATTTTAAAAAAATTAGGTTGCCTAGCTAGCTAGGAGAAAGAGCCTTATTGGATTGGGCAATTGAACTCATTGATGATTACATCCAATCCCATCATGATTCTCTCAACCAGCATGTGTGTGTTTTCTCATTTTTCTTTATACCACCATTTATTATTATTATTATTATATATATATATATATATATTCGTTTCACCTAAAGAAGAAATTTTTTTAAAAAAAGGAGGGGCGTAAGGAATTTCTGTACTTGTTTGTTTGCTTGTAAATATCAATTAAAATTTTTTTTAATAAATAAATAAAAGAAAGGGTGGATGGCAAAATTGATGATGATAGATGGGTGGAGAAAAAAGGTCCTACTAAATTTGATGGATGGATGGGTGAGGTACAACTTGATGATAACAACACAATATCGATAGGTGGGATGTCAAAAGAATTATGTTGAAGAGTACGACTTGTTGATTTTATTTTTATTTATTTTATTTTTTGTTTGGTAATACTACTATCATTATTCATTTCCACCATCTTTTTTCTTTCTTTTGTTGAATTCCAACACAGCTTTTGTGAAAGTGGCCCAAGGCAAATCAAAGCAAAAAAAAAAAAAAAAAAAGAAAAAACAAACAAAAAACCAGCACTCATACTACAATTCCAAACCTCCCCGGCATGTACAGTATGTGTGATGTGAAAGCTACTCGTTTTATGGTTGCATTTGTAAAATGGAAATCAATGCCACCATGCCCCCCACCTTCTTCCCCCCGCCCTTTTTCTTTAACTATTAATAGTCAACTAAATCTTTAATCCTCTTGTTTATTACTTTCCCGTCCCAAAAAAAATAGTCCACGTTAAGTTTTGAGTTTACTGTTTTAGTACAAATTTAAAAATTCAATGTCGACTATTTTTTTGGAACGGATGTAGTATATTTTAATTTAAGCATTTCGTCACAGAAGAAAAAGGATATTATCGGTTAGTAAAATTGTCCTCCATGGTTTTTATTAATTAGGACAATGAAATGGTTCTTCTTGTTTTTGTTTAAACAAAGAGAGTAGGTAAAATTGTAATCAGTATCCCCGTGTGCATTAAAATCTTTGAATGTATGAGTAGGTTTTTGATCATGAGAACTCCATGAAACCTTGTGTGTTTCGGCCAACAATCCGCATTCACATTAACCTTTTAAGAGGGTCTAAACATTGTGTTTAACCTGCCATTTCTTAAAAACAAATACAAATAGATCGTGACTTACCAGCTCAAACTCCTTGCAGTGATGTAGAGTGTGTGTTTAACACGAGTCCGACTTTCATGTTTGGGTTAAAAAATGATCAAATGTCTTAAATAAGTTCATCGGAAATGGTGGAATATCGTATGGAAATTAACGTAAGAATTATTATATATCATAGGATTAATTTGTCGTTGTGGTAAATAATAAGTGCATGAATAAGTAGTACGAGATATGGTCGCTGCGAGGCACTTCTTGTAACTAGCAGCATTTAGGGGAATTCATGTTGGACTAAAAGACCAAATTATATACCTAATCAAACAAATTAAAGCGGATTGAGGTTAACCATTTGTTTGTTGGCGGAATATAAAGCAAACATACAATACAACAAAACTACTTGACTATTGATTATGCCAAAGAAATTTTTGAAGGTATTTGTTTTGTTTCCCAGAATCTTCCCCGATAGCTTAGCTTAGACAATGTTTAAGATTCCACGAAGACAACAAAAACCGATGTGGGAAATTGGAAAAAAGAAAAAGCAGCTTTTGATTTTTATTTTTTTTTTAAACCTTCACATTTGCCTTCAACAACGACGGCTCAAATTTAATTGATTGATTGGCAATTTTCAATTGACATGATGACCAAACAAAACTAATCTATCCATCTAATTGCCTAATGGACCAAATCAGCACCCTACTTCCAAGAACTTCCTCTTTTTCTTTTTTTTTTTCTTTTTTTAATGAAAAAAAATAGTTTTGTATTTTTATATGAGGAGTAACTATCTAGTCTAGTGCTTCGGAAGTGGTGAATAATGTTGGATTGGGTAGTAGTATTAAATTGGTGATAAGATATCATCATATCTGGCAATTTTCCCCCCACTTACAGAAAAGGGCCAAAAGCATAATAATTATGTGAATTGAATGGGAATAAAAATAATTTTCTTAAAAGTGTGTTGGATCGATTGTCACAATCATGTGTTCTATTTGGTCCAGCGGCCACCCGTCACTGTTACAATAAATTGCACAAACTACACATTAGATAAAAGAGAAAATTATCGTCAATGTGGATCCTATAATGGAAGACAATAGCAATAGTCGGCAAAAATTTAACTCCATCGGTTATGAAATAATTTTTAAATTATAAAAATGATTTTAAAAATAAAAAAAAGAGCATTTATAACCATATATGAAACTTAAATCTCACACTGTTTATAACAACCAAATCTCTAATTAATTTGCATCACTAAGTTACAAGAGATGCCAGCCAAAATATTTATAACAAAGATATATCTATATAAAATTAAGAAACTTTTGGCCCCAACGTCACGGGATCAGTTCATCAATTGAATAAATGCGGAATAAATGATGGATTTGGCAATTTGGCATAAGTCATTCTCATTATCATTATGGTCTGTGGAAATCTTTTTTAACCCTAAAAATGAGCATCACAGACAAAACAAAATGTCAGTCAATTTCTCCATCAACAAATGGCAAGACAACACAAGCTGATAAATCTTTGCCTTCAAAAATCAGCATCAATCCATCGCTTTTGCTTTGGAAACTTCAAATGATTTAATAGGGTCCCGACATTTCATTCAGACAATAGGTAAACTCTTATTTTGGGTTAATGTTTCCAAGATCTTTCTCATTGAACATCTTTACGAGCAGTTACTTTTTATATTTACAATTGAAGATGGAAATTACCCCTAATTACAGAAAAGAAAAAAATCGAAATGTGTTTTTTTTTTTTTTAACCCAGTTAAAATCTTAACATAAAACATTAGTGATTTCCATCAAAGTAGGAGACATAAATATATAAGCTGAACCATGTGACAAGTGGCAGCCAAGTTACTGACACGTCAGACTCAAGAAAACAGAGTTAAATATAATAATAATAATAATGCACAGTGATTTAAAAAATAATGAAAGGCCCCACCACATGTGAACATGCATGGTTGCATGAGATTCTGATTTCTCTCTAACTCATCATCATCGCCGTGACCAACCTTTCACAGGATTCCATACCTGTACAAACAAAACTAATAAATAGAGCACTTTATGACTGAAATTAATACAATTATGCATGAAAATAACATCTATATATATAACAATATTATATTTGAAGAGTAGCTAAAAAAATACGCTCATGAATTTATACATGTACAAAATTGAGAAGAAATGTAAATAAGCAAAATATTGGAGCGTAGTCGTAATAGTGATGGGAGTAAGTAAAAAAGTAAGAAGAAATAGTGCCAGCAATAGAAATGGAAAATCAGGTAGAAAAGATAGAAAGGAAACAAACAGTAGTGCAGTGGTTCATAGTATATTAGTACGATAAAAATTGGAGGAAAGTAGTACAAAAACGACAACAAAGAAAGAAAGCAAGAAAGAGATCGAGGTGTCAGTGGAGACAATGCTATGGACGATGGTGACAGAATAATACTGTATGTGCCTCTGTGTGTGTGTGTGAGAGAGAGAGAGAGAGAGAGGGATGGCAAAATGTGGCCGTACGTTGGAGCACTAAACGTACTTTTGGATGGATATTGCTGCAGCAAATCCACCCACCCCACCCACGAGAGACTAGCAATAGCATCCAACAAACAACAGCAAAACCAATTCCATATTTCCAATGGCTAAGAGTTAAAAAAAATTACTAACAAGTTTTTCGTGCCCGAAATAATTTTTTCACAAGTAACAGTAGTAATTCAGTCATGTTTAAACTTCGCAATTTTATTGTGTATAATTAAACTGACTTCATATTTTTTAAAATTTACTAGTTTGACCGGGTGTCTCCTGATATGGACGTAAAGTAATTTTGCAAGTAAACGTTAGGGAAGGGAGTCCCTAAAAAACCGCCGGTTGGTTGGTACAGTAAATCATAGAAAGAGAGGAGTAAATGGGGGATTCGTCCGAGAAAGGGACGTGATGGGGGTAATATTGCTGTTCTGCTTTGCGTACGTTTGGAGCAGTGGGGCCTCTGTGGGCCAGATTATGTAACAGAAGGTCGTCAGGGACGTGAAAGTTGGGGTCTTTCTTTCTTCTTTGGTAAATGGGTCAGTCGTCCCAGTCGGGTAAAGTACTGATCCGCTATACATGAATGATGATGGTTCTTCTCCCCACCCCCTCCATCTTTTTGGACAGTACCGCCTCTGGTGCTAAAGATTTTTTTTTTTCTCTCACGTTCTTCGATGCCGACAATATTTGGGTAAATGCACCTCTCAATTTTTTATTTTTTATTTTTTGGTTGGTGTAATAGTGTTAAACATTTCTGATTTCTTTTCCGTCCAACCGTTTGATTTATTTATTCATTTACCGGCTTTATAAACCAAGTGCGTGAATTTAACTAATTCTGATTAGATTTCCCAAGTGGTAAACGGAAAAGTTATAGGGAGGAACAGATAAAGATTGTCGCAACCTGATTTTAATTGATGTGTTAAAAATTTTAAATGCAAATGTGATGCAAAAGATATTTTTTTTTGGGGGTGATTTGAGAAAAAAAAGGCAATGAAAA